CGGTTGCAAACGTCTCGCACCGGAAAAACTTGCATGCTGTCGTGCAGCCGGGCTGCACGACGAAGCGCCGGGCGGCCAAGCCGGGCTTGAAGTCGCTCGCCCGCGGGATGTACCCGCCGGCGGTATACAAGAAGAACACCCGTCCACGGCTGGGCCTGGACGAGGTCAAGAACCAAGCGGAGCCGGGCTCCGCAAAATAATAAGACGGCGCATGCGAAGGTCGCTGCGCAAGTCTCGGCCTGGGGCCGAGACGCTACAAGAAATGTTTGCCGGGCAGACGGAGGCTGAGAAGCCGGACGTCGAAACGTTGAACGTCTTGACGCGTACCTGTGCCGGGTTCCGGTACAGGGAGATGACTCTCACTAACCCCTCCGACGCAAGCGTCGGAGTTGACTTCGCTTCCAGTCATGAGCTGGAAGCGCTTCGCGCGTGACTTGCACGATGGACGCACCGAGCAAATATGCATTCTCTCGGACGCCGAGAGAACGAAGAGCGAAAATGAAGAACTGAGGCAGTTTTTCATGGAGAGCACCACTGAGAGCGAGGACACTCTCAGTGCGAAGACGAAGAAGGAGCGCTTTGAAGAGCAGAGCTGGGACTCGTTGATAACGAGTCCCTACTACGAGATTCTACGGGAGCACGCGGACGTGCTTCCGGAAGAGATCCCTGCGGAGCTTCCGCAGGACAAGGGCTCCAGCACGAGATTGATCTCGTGCCGGGCACGAAGTACTGTGTCACCCGGCAGTGGCCACTGCCGCGAGAGTAGGTCAAGGCGATCGGCGACTTCTTCGAAAGTCGTCGCAAAGCTGGACAAGTGCGGGAATCGAAGTCCCCGCACAGTGCTCCGACGTTCTGTGTCAGGAAGCCACAGGGCGGCTGGCGCATCGTTCATGCGTACAACAAGCTGAACGATGCGACGATACCGGCGCAGACACCGATACCGCGAAAAGATGTAATCGTCGATTCGATGGCCAGGAGCACTATCTACAGTGCTCTTGATCTGCGCGATGGGTTCTATCAGATTCTCATGCGTGAGAGCGATATCCCTCTCACGGCTGTGAGCATGCCGAGCGGCATGCTCTGGGAGTGGCTAGTGGCGCCACAGGGTCTGAAGAACGCCCCTGCGACCTTCAACAGGTGCGTGACGCACTTGTTGCGCTCGGTGCGCGACTTCGCACCGAGCTACTTCGACGATGTGTTCGTCCACAGCCGGGCTGCGGACGGGATGAGCGATGTTGAGATGCACAAGGTGCATCTCCGGAAGCTGCTTGCGCTCATGCGCAAGCACAAGCTCTATACGAGCCTGAAGAAGTGTATCTTCGGGGCGAGCGAGATACCCGTGCTCGGGTGTCTCGTTGGGACGATCCTGAGAAGGTCAGAGTGATCAATGAGTGGCCGACGCCGTCGAACGTCAAGGAACTGCGGCAGTTCCTTGGCTTGGCCACGTACTTGTGCAAGTACGTGAAGGACTACGCGGGCATGATACGCCCGCTGTCACAGCTCCTGAAGAAGGACGCCGAGTGGGTTTGGACTGCTGATTGTCAGCAGGCCTTCGATGCGGTCAAGCGGGGCTTGACTGAGGCGCCGATCTTGGCGTTGGCCGACCAAGATCGCCCATTCCACGTTGTATGTGACGCATCCGACTTCGCAATCGGATGTGCGTTGATGCAGCACGATCACGAGGGGCGTGATCGTGTCGTCTACTACCAATCGCGTCAGCTGAAGCCAGCTGAGCGCAACTACCCGGTACATGACAAGGAGCTCCTTGCCATGAAGTACGCACTCGCGAAGTTCCGAGTGTATCTACTCGGAAGCAAACCGTTCGTGGTAAATACGGACCACGCGTCGTTGTGGACGGCTGTGAAGTCGCCGCACATCTCGTAACGGATGGCGAGATGGCTCTCATTCTCTTCGCAGAGTATAACTTCCTGGTTGAGTACAAACCCGGAAGACTCAATGTGGTGGCCGACGCGCTCTCGCGTCGACCTGACTACGCCACGACTGACGCCGACGTCAATGCCATTGACGCCATGCGATCGAGCGCCCCAACGTCGTCACTGTTGGACGACGTGAAGCTCGCGTACGCGCACGACGCGGACGCGAAGCTCTTGCTCGCCTACGGCTCAGCGCCTTCTGACCAAGCTCGTCAGAAGCTGCCGAAGCATCTTCGTGCTCGTGCACACCGTTACCGGGTGCACAACGGGTTATTACTCTACAGTGCAGTCGACGACAACGCGGACCGCGTTGTCGTGCCCAATGACCATGACCTGCGGCTCAGGATCATGTATGAGTATCAAGATGCACCGACTGCGGGGCATCCGGGCCGTGAGAAGACATACCTTCTTCTCACGCGGGACTTCTACTGGGTCCACCAGTATAAATGGGTACGCAAGTACGTCCGTGCTTGCGAGGTTTGTCAACGTGTGAAGCCTGCGCCTTTCGCGCAGGCTCCCTTGCAGTCACTACCAACTCCACGGGAGTGTTGGCAGTCCATGTCTTTGGACTTCGTGTTCGGTCTTCCCCCGGACAGCCAGGGAGACACGGGCGTTGTGGTTTTTGTTGACCGCTTCAGCAAGATGGTACATCTTGCTGCGGTACCCGCTGAAGTGACTGCGAAACAGACGGCGCGCCTGTTCGTTGACATGGTGTTCAAACACCATGGCATGCCGATCGACATTGTGTCGGATCGAGACCCGCGCTTCACTGCACACCTTTGGCAAGAAGTGTTTACACTTCTTGGGAGTCAACTTTCGATGTCGACTGCGGACCATCCGCAGACGGACGGGCAGACCGAGCGCGTGAACCGCGTGCTCGTAGACGTGCTTAAGAGCCACGCTCACTTGTTCCAACACTGGAGCGAGTGTCTGCCGATGGCGGAGTTCGCCATCAACAACTCGGTGCATGCCTCGACCGGGCATACACCGTTCTACGTGACTGCCATCAGGCACCCACGCCTCCCCAGTCTACTCGGGATGGTGGGTCCTTCCTTAGTGGGGGAGGATCTACGACTGCAACACAGCAGCCGCAGAATGCCGCTGACACTCGCACAGTGTCAGCCGCAACGACACGAAGTAAAGCCAAGAACCGCGCGTCTGTGCAGGGCACAGACGCACGAAGAACGTGTCTGTGTCCCGCACAGACACCAACAAGAACAAGAACAAGAAGAGCGTGTCTGTGCAGGGCACAGACACCACGAAGACGAACGCAGAGGCCGGGCCTACTGCTGGAAACGAGCTGAACTCGTTCAGCTCGGACGCAATCAACTTCGTGCAGCGCAGACAAGCCGTCATTCGGTTTGTCCAAGACGCCATTGCAGCTTCTGTCGACCGACAGAAGCTGAACGCCGACAATGTTGGCAGGGGCAACACTAATGAATTCGAGAAGGGTTCAGTAGTCTTGTTAGTTACTCAAAACCTGCCTAAACATGCAGTTTCCGACTTCGGGGCGAGCAAGCTCGCTCCGCGCTTCATTGGACCGTTCACTGTGCTGGCACGGCACGGCAACGCCTACACACTGGACATATCGTCTAGTATGCGCCTCCATCCGACGTTCTACGTCGGACGGCTGAAGCCATACCTGCAGCACGAGCTATCTAGCTCGGCTGAACCAAAGCAGAAGACTCTGCGGAAGCCATCATCCTCTCCAGCGCGAAGTCGCGCTGGAGCAGCGGGTCGGGCTAATGGTCCAGCTCGGCCGGAACGATCGAGGCGGTCTGGGAGGCCGCCGCAACCTGAGGATACTTCAGAGCGCCAAACCGAGCGATCTGGAACTACTCCACGACCGGAACTCGGTCGTGGGGAGACGCGAGATCAGGGTCAACACCAAGTTGACCACACACGGGGCGTGTTCCCACCACCTCCACCGCCAATTCGCGACGCACATGGCTCAACTCGATGGATAGTTGAGCAGATTGTTGGTCACAGTATCCCGAGAACGAACAGGCAACCGGTTCGTTTTCGTATTCATTCGAGAGGATTCCCTCCCAACCAAGATACATGGGAGCCGCGGAACGTCTTGCTCGAAGACGTCCCGGACATGGTGAGGGCATACGAAGCCCACCATGCGCTACATACTGGAACGTAATGCGAGCGCTGCTGTTAACAGCAGCGCCCGAAGACACTTCGAGGGCAGACGTAGGTACCTGCCCCCGCGGCAGCGACGCGCTTCGCACGTTGCCGCGCATGCTACTCAGCAGCAGAGAGGTTCTGCGCTGCTGCGCAAGGGGTCTTCAACTTCGACGTGCTCGTTACGGAACGAGCACGCTCTCTTCAAACGTCACGCATTAAACCAAGCGGTCAATGGTGGTTGACGTGCCGGGACGGGCACGTCTAACCTTGACGGGGGGATGGTGTAACGGGGTTACACGCACAAGCGGCTACAGTCACTTGTTACTCTAACAAGATGCGATGTCTGTTAGAGGTTTGAACACTTCCTCGACCTTGGTGTAAGGTACACCAATGGCTACATACATTTTCGACCACCACGACGGGTGGTCCATACACATTTAGGATTCCTATTGGCTGAAAGCAGCATCTTTTAGCCAATGAGTGACTTGCATGTTAGCAGAATCCTGCCAACCAGTCGTTGGCAGATTCCTAGTTTAGAATATCACATTTAGAGGAAGTCAGAAACATAAAACAAAAATAGCAGTTCTCATCTTTTACCAAAACCCGCTACTTGGAGTCTTTATCTTGTTTAAAGTATACTCGTGGATCTCGAGTATACTTAACTCAAGTAAAAGAAACCTACGCTTCCTCGTACACGTGCGCATACGTGTAAGCCGTAGTAGTGAGCCAAGGTAGGCCCACTACAAGTCTAGTATACTATAGTTTAACTTAGAGGGGGTTGTCACCTACGAGGTTTTCTCCTCCTCAATCCCAAGCTGCCGTGGGAAACAACACTTGCCTCCTGCGTTCTTCTTCTCGGCTATCTTGCTCGCCCTACGCTGCTGTAGTGCTGTCAGGTTATGAGCCCAAAGCTCTGTGTGGAGCAGTACGAGGATGTCCAACACGCCCCCATCAAGTTCAACTGCTGCTTCGGCAGCTTCAACTACATCTATGTCGCTGGCTGTCGCTACAGTTGCTACCACGACCCCTGTTTCTATGATGGCGCCTACGTCGACTGCAACTAGCGTTCCTGCTGCTACTGCAGCTCATGGCGTTGGAGGCTTTCCTGGACTCGCCGTTGGTACTGGTCATGGAGTTAGTGGTGCGGGTCCTGGTGCTGGACTTGGAGCTGCGGGCGTGACTGGAGCTGGCGTTCCTGGTTTTGGAGCTTGGCCCGGCGCTCCTGGTGTTGGAGCTCGGCCCGGCTCTCCTGGTGCTGATATCTGGACTGGAGTTCCTGTTGCTGGTAGTGCTGGTGGTACAAGTGCAGGAGCTGCGGCTACTGACTCTCAGCTGTTGTGTCCGGTGGAGCATATACCGATGGCATTGCTGGTGCTCTCGGAGCTCGTGGAGTTGGCTACATTACTGGTGGATTCAATTTCGGTGGATTTCCACCCAGCCAAGATGGTTATGGGTTTCCTCGCGCGTCATTTGGTGGAGCAACTGGTGTGCCCGTGAAAATGGATAACGTGCCGAAAATGAAAGGAAGTTTTGATTTGTACGCGGTTCAGTTGCGCACGTTCCTGACTCGCATGGGTTGCTGGGCTGTGGTTGATGGTTCGATTGACCGGAGTGATCCTAGCTTGCTGCCAAGGACAATCTTGCTCGTGAGGCAATTTTGTATGGTGTTGCTGTCCAAGATGCTGAGATGATCTGTCAGGAGGACACAGCTAAAGCAATGTGGACACGTTTTGTTGACAAGCAGACAAAGCGTGAATACTCGAACTACATTTTTGCTAGAGCCGAGTTCTATTCGCATGTGTACTCAGCGGATAAGAGCATGGATCAATGGCTGCGAGAAATGGAGTCAATGCGACGTCAGATGCTACACTATGGAAAGCGAGTGACTGACAAAGGTTTTGCAGCGACCCTCCCTGGTCATGTAGCACAGACACATCGAGATGTGGTCCGGCAGTTCTCCAAGCATTACGTAGTGCGTGTGATGGAGGAGCTGACCGACCTGTGCCAACTGCCACGCAGGTGATGAATGCCCTGCGCGCTGAGTCTGCCCATGATGAGCAGACGGGTACAGAAGACCTGAAGCCTGTTGGTATTGCTGCGTGTTGTAAGGAAACTAAACCACCGAAGGAGAAGAAGCAAAATCCAGGCAAAAGATATGGTCGTGGTAAAAAGGAGAAAGATGGTAAACCAGTTGGCAAGAAAAGTGGTAAACAAGAGACACGTACTTGTTATCACTGTGGAGAAGCTGGCCACATTCGCCCGAACTGTCCGAACCTGGACGATGACTCATCCGATGGCTGCGACGCAGACTGCCATCTCGGAGCGAAAGCGATGGCAGAAGCGACCTGGTAATGATGGTGTGGTGTAGCGGGATCGGCCAAAATCTGATTAAGGCCTGATCGAGCTTCCCACCAGCGCCCAGACACCGACTAACGGAGGGGGTCCCCCAACGATCCGTGATCGGCTGAACTTGTTCTCACCTTGTGTACCCGTCGGCGGGCTGGATCTGCTCTCTCGGGGCTCCGAAGATGCAGCACTTGGTGAAGATCGAATGTCTTGGCGTGACGCGGGGATAGTTTGTGGAGCAGCGCGGTAGTCTTCGCTCTGCGTCCGAGTATACGCTCCGATAGAGGGTTGTTTGCTGCGATCGGTCGGCCTGGACTTGATCCAAGGCTTGTAGTTGCCTTTCCGGGTGTGTTCCTTCCTTTCCTGAGCTGCTTGCCGCTTCCTATAGCGGGATCGAGGTTGATCGAGAGGAGAAACGATCGCCGGCCAAGCACTAATATCCGGTCGATCGAGGACTTGCACACAAGAGATATATCACTAGAGTAGGTCAAGCTGGCCAATGTATTAATCCAGTCTTAACCGTACCGCTAGTTCACTACCCAAAGTGCCGACACTGCCGAGGCCAATGTAGTTTCTGGGACTTGGTGACTTGAGGGGACTTGTGGTCTTTGGTGCAAATTCTCTTCTGATTTATGTTTAGCTGGTCTCTCTCTACCGCTATCATCTCATCTACCATCCTACAACTAAACAACCACTGGATTCTTGTCCTGAATTCGTCCTCCATATGCATCCCATCGCGGTCGATCCACGATCCACGATCGTCCCACCATCGACTCCCGATCCGCGATCGACTCCCGATCGGCGATCGCTGATCAACTCTCGATCGATGACTTGTGCCGGTTGTCGTACGCCGCGGATCCATCATCTTCTGTCCTCGGCCATCCTAGATCTGCGAGATCTGTCGTCGATCCGGGCTTGGGTCAGCTCCGAAACATGTCGCAGCTCGAGCTCGATCATCCAAAATCTGGCTTGCCACATGTCCTGCCTTACGCGCCGGCGTCATCGGGCCACTTGAGATCTCCCGAAGAACTCCTTCTGATCCATAGATCCTCGCTGCCTGTCTCTCGATCGCTGATCCCCCATACTTCCAGCCGATCGGCCCTGCCGCCTTTCTCGGAGGTCAGTTCTTATTCAGCACTTCTCCACAATGGTGAAAACAAAAAGAGGAAGGTCAGTGCTGTTGATTGCATTCTTTGCGAGACATTGACAGTTGGGTCCGTGTCAAGTGCTAGCGAGGACACTGTTGAATGGGTATTAGATTCAGCGAGTGATGTGCACGTCTGCAAGCAACCGGAGCTGTTGCCAGAATTGCAACACGACTCGAAGCATGTCTTCCAGGGCTACGATGGCAAGGTCACGGATAATGAGAGGGTTGGTAACGTGCATTTAAGAGTGAAGAATAACAAGCAGCCTCATCAGGATGTACTGCAATTGCAGAATGTTCTGTTGAAGCCGTCGGCTCCAGACAACCTGCTTAGCCTTGATGCACTGGAGAAAGCTGGATGGACGTTGAACACAGTCAAGCAAGGTTCTGATCGGATCACCTGGATAACGAAAGGCCGTCTACAGCTTCTGCTGGTGAAGTCTCGTGGTCACTACCGCTTGAAGACTACGGTTAGTGCTGTTTATCGTGTTCCAGCTGTGAAACAACGGAATCGGAGAGATGATGCGTCGTCGCTTGTGCGTTGGCACCTCCGATTCAATCATCTCAATCTACCTGCGTTGCAGCAAATGGCCAGACAGCAAGTTACGACTGGAATGAATGAAAAACGCTGTGACGATGCTAATGTGCCATGCTGGAGTTGCAAAGCGGCGAAGATGACTCGTATGTCGTACAAAAAGATAACGACTCGTCGGGTTAAGAAGCCTTTCCAGAAGCTAATGTCCGACATGTGCCACATGGGCATGGTGCCGTTTGACGGATACAAACACTTCCAACTCGTGCAGGACGAGGCCACGCGTTGGCTTTGGGGTTTCTTGATGAAGCGAAAAGAGGATGCTTCTGAGGTGGTGATGAAACATGTGAAGTGGCTTCTGGCTCAAGGGCATAAGATTGAGTTGTTCAATTCGGATCAAGGACGTGAACTGCTGAACAATAAGTTGGGTGCCTATCTCCACGAGCATGGCATTGAGTACACGTGGACCAATGCGTACAGTCCAGAGGAGAATGGACTGGTGGAAAGAATGAACGGCATTGTTGCTGCTCGTGTGCGCTGCCTGCTGCCTGCTGCTGATATGCCAGATCTCTTGTGGGGAGAAGCATTTCACTTTTCAGTTGAAGTCGGCAATATTTGTACTACCACTGCGTTGGGAGGGACACACCATACTTCCGGCGGTTCGGTGATCAGCCGGATGTGTCTAGTTTGCGCACGTGGGGTTGTCTAGTCTACATCTTCACACCAAAGAAGTTGCGCAAGTCGAAGCTGGAGAATCCTGGCAAACCCGGATTGTTCATGGGGTACGCCAAGCATTCTGAGAGCTATCGCGTGTTGAGTCTCATGACCGGCAATATGCAGGAGGTTCGTTCCGTGGAGTTCCAGGAGGGGTGGACTGTCGAGCGTAGTTACGTTGAGTGTGTGCTGAAGAACCGGTACCGAAATGGACGTCTAGTTCGATATCAAGTGATACCATTTGTGCGGTTACCTGTGTTCTACTCATTTTGAAGTCGAGTCTGCTCCGGCATGCGCGGGTGCGCCTGCTGCGTTGCCGTTGAGTGATATTGGGGTGCCTCCTTCTACTGCGGTGGAAGATCGGATGTTGCAGCGTGGAGTTAACACTCCGCATGTGACGTGGGCCGACGCCGATGATCCTGAGGGAGAACAAGAGCTGCGTCCGTCTAACAGCGGACCTACGGTCGAGTCTCTTCCTACGGCATCGCGAGGAACCTCACCTTCGGTGGGGGAAGGAAGGATGGATGGTGAGGTTGCACGGCGAGGTAGCCTAGTTGAGGTTACTGTGGTGTAGTACCCCGGGGAAGAAGTGGGCGCGCCAGGCGCCGGAGGAAGAAGGCGCCGGGACGCGAGTGATGGACTACGACGCGGCTGATGAAACGCGACGCGGATTGATGGGCGCGACGCAGGGCCGAGCTCGACGGGAAAGTCGGCGTGGGTGATGGGCCGTGACACACGGTGCCAGAATCCAGTGCGACGCGTAACCATCCGACGGGTCGACCAGCGCACCCGGTTCTGCAAAATGCGCCGACCCTAAACCCCGCCGAGCAAAACGCGCCGAGCAAAACGCGCCGACCCTAAACCCCGCCGACCAAAACGTGCCGAGGTAAGATCTTGATTGCGCCACGCAAATCAGGTTGAAGGACGGCAATGCAAGCACGACAGAAGTAGGGATAGGCACACAACGATAGGCTTAGCAAGCAGTAGTACGGAGTAGCCAGTAGCTAGGGCATAGGATAGGGTAAGGACTCAGTCCCGAAATTTCTCTGAACCACAAAGACCTCCCGTCTTCTCCGAGGTTCCAGGGGAACCACCAAGCGCCGGCAAGTAGAGCCGCCTCGATATCGCGGCCCCCCGTCGTTTGCTGGTTCGGGTGCTCACCCCCCACAGACCCGTGCTGGAACAACGGCACGTTAAACGTATACCGTTTAAGTGGGCGCCCGATAACGCGCTGCCTAGGCGGAGGACCGCACTGGCCTGATAACCGCCGTGCACAAGACCCCCGTGTAGGCCCGATAACGCCACACAAGCCCCAGGAAACGCCGGCCCGATAACGCCGCACGCCCGACGGGAACGCCGAGGAAACGCCGGCCCGATAACGCCACACGCCCAAGGCTCGACGCCCTACGACAAGGAACAAGCGTCAACACAAGAACCCCCAACTCCGAAGCCGGCGAAGACTTGGGCCTGTATTTCGAAGATACGCTACTCCAACAACCGGGAATAATTTGCTCGGCGCGACCGCTATCCAGACGCGCCGCGTTTGTGCGAGATCGCATTCGCGAGATTTCTGCGAGGGCGCTACTCCGCAATGGTGCCGCGACCCGGAAGTACTACTTCGAATGACGGGCTAACGATCCAAGAGGCATCGGAGGCAGGTGCGCAGTCGGCCGGAAGGCCGCCGACCTCAAGAGATCACAGTGAGAGACCTGTCGCGTCGTGGAGCTCTGAGGGAACCTTCACGACAGGCCACGGGGCCAGCGACGACCAGGAGGGCTACGAAGAACAGTTTGCCGTTCCCGATGCGGCTCCCGACGAGGGAGCCGCGAAGGGCCGCGACGCAAGTCGCGGTCCTACCGGTCGGAAGCCTGCAAAGGCCGACGACCAACAACAACCCACCGCCAAGGCAGCCACGAAGCGCAAGTCGCCCAAGAGGAAGGAGAAGAAGAAGCTGCGCGCGCCGGACTCGGCGGAGGAGTCGCTGTCCAAGCCGCAAGGCAAGGACACGGGACGTCAGTACACCGTCGAGGAAGTACGGTACGTCGTGGCGCGCACGGAGCTCTTCCGTCTGCTAGAACAAGACCCAATCTTGGTCTTCCTCAAGCCCATGCTGATGAGCAACTTCACAGGCCCCTTCGTGGCGCCGGACTTCGATAGTCTCACCAGCGTCGCCCACGCCGCGCCGACTCTCTTCCAGATGCTGTGTGACTCGGGGTTCGTGCTGGGGGCTTTCGAGATGGAGAGGCTGTGCGATTGGGACCTCAAATCTTGGTTACGTGCGATTCGCGTCGTGCAGGAGCCCTTGATGATTCTCGCCGGATCCGTCAAGCAAGACGCGACGAGTTCCGCGACGGGCCAAGACGCGCCGAGTTCCTCGGCGGGCCCAGCCCAGACTTCGACGACCACGCCCTCGCCTCCACCTCGATACCAATCGAGCATGGACTCCGACAGCAGTTTCGAGTCGCCCAAGCGCATGCCCATGAACCGGCCGCTGCGCGTCATGCAGCTATCCGCGGCGCCCGCGCGCACGGAGGTGACGAAACCCGCCGAGGAGGTGCTTCCCAAGGCCTTGAGATAATCCATCATCAAGTTGATGCAGACGACAGTGATGAGCACCCCGCGTGCCGACACAGCCGCAATTCCGACGGGGCCGAAGCCGCCCGCGAGTCCCACACTCACGGTGGCTCACCCCCAGGACGCAGCGGATGTAGCCATGGAGTCGGTCAGTTCGCGTTCTTCGACGAGGTCCAGAACTCGACGCAACGCAGACGAGGACCCCGATGACCTGTTCGACTTGGACATCGGAGTGCCAAGAACCGCGGCCGCCGTCTCGACGGCGACAGCCGGCGGCGTAGCCCTCGCCCGCGTACGCCTCTCAGCATCTCCCGAGCTGAAAGAGTTCTCGGGACGGGACGCCAGCGAAGAGAAAGCCAGACTGTGGCTCAACCGTCTGAAGTCCGCCGCGCGGCGCGACGGGATGACGGGCGAAGAAGTGTGCGGGCAGTTCAGCGATCTAAGGAGCGGCCCTGCGCGCCAATGGTATCTCCAGTTGCCCAGGAAGGTCAAGAAATCATGGACCGAGCTGATGGAGCAATTCCGTGTGCAGTACTGCGGCAGGGGCGTGTCAATGGCCAGCCGCTACTATCATGCGGCTCAGCGCCCCGACGAGACCCCTCTGGATTACTTGTACCGGCTCAACGTCGCGGGCTTGAGGGCCAACATCCCATACGCCGAGGGTATGACTGAAGAGAAGCGCGAACACGTCGAGCATTTCATTCGGACGCTGAACACACAGGAGGCCGAACTCGCCTCGCGTCTCACGCTGATGGAGGTCGCCGACTCCGAGGCGCTGGAGAAGAAGCTGCGTGCCCGACAACGGGGACTGGCCCACCAGAAAAAGTCTCTCTTCGGCTCGAACAAGTTCCGCCAAAAGGCGCCGACCCCACCGACTCAGCCGGCGCGCGCCGTGCATGCGATTCACGTCGCGTCGGACGAGTACGATTCGGGACGCGAAAGTCGCGACAGCGACGATCGCCAGTACGACCAAGACGAGGCGGACGAAGAACGCGCCAAGTTGTTCGTCGCGGGACAGGCCCCGCCGGGAGAGTCGGCGCGTCGCAACTTCGATCCCGACGACTCGAGACGCGACCGCCCGTGGTGCCGCCACTGTGGTTCACGACGCCATGTCGAAGGAGACCGCTGGAAGTTGTTGACGTGTCAGAAGTGTGGTGGCCAGCACCCGACGGAGCGATGCTTGAGGGTGTGCAAGGCCTGCGGTGACGTGCACGAAGCCGGAGAATGCCCGATGGAGGAGTTCTTCAACCAATTGCGCCAGTGGTTTGACCCGAATAAACACGCAGGAATGCTGCCGCCGGCCGCCGAGAAGATGTTAAACTAGGACGCTCGCTGGCTTGGAAACCAGTACGAGACGAGCGACCTGTTTCCGTCTATGCATATGTGACCAAGAAGTCGCGAGAGGTGGTTAGTGAGAGCCCGACTTCCCTGAATGATAATACATGTGAATTCAACCTGAAACGTACCACGCATGAACGCGCGCCGCGAATCTCGGCGGTCCGACGTACGACGGACGACGAGTTTGCACGTGAACCACCCCTGGACGAGATCGACTTGCAACCAGGAGAGCGACGCGGATACTGGAAACATTACGCGCCGCACAAGTGGTACAAGCAGGCCAAGATTCATGGAAAGCTGAACAACCGCCGTGCTGTGATATTGCTCGACACAGGTGCCGAGGTGTCCATCCTGGACACCACCTTTGCTCGTGAGGTAGGCTGCCTGATTGACACGGAGATCACGCAAGAGTGTGTGGGAATTCGTGATGAGACATATTACACGGTGGGGAGAACCAGAGTCAAGATTACCTTGGCTGGGAACTTGGTGTATTACATGCACCTGTGGGTCGGCGACTTGGTCGGCCAGCACGCAATCCTGGGAATGAACTTCATGGTGCCCGCTGGAGTGCGCATCGACCCTGCGGACGGCACGGCGTGCCTCCCCGACGAGGTGCATATCCAGATGATCGGACGAAGACCGCTATACGGCGCACGGATGCCCCCGGTCAACGTCAAGACGCCTGTGAGGCTCGAACCAGGAGACACACATGAAGTCTTGCTGAGGCCGGATCGAAACGCGCCGTTGCTGTGGGTGACACGGGCAGAGTCGTGGGTGACTACCTTTGCCAAGGGGAGAGTCGGAAAGAAAACGTACCTGCGTGTCACGAACATCGGAGACGCAGCGATAACCCTCGACGCGCATGAAACGCTTGGGTGGTGGACGCCGTCTGACGGCCAGCCTCGGAACCGTGGATTCGTCCGACTGGGCTCCACCCGGTACCAGCAGTGGCAGAATCTGGCGTACGGCGCGACGCGCGACGCGGAGGAGAACTGGATCCCAGCCGAGCTCGACGGACCGATGACGGATCGCCCCTCATACCCGACGCCTACAGCCATCTTGCGCCCGGAGCCGAGCCAACTCGGGACGCGACGCGCCGTGACCCCAGTGTTGGCGGCTGTCGCGGAAGCGCCGAAGGGAAGGGGGGTAGACTTGCCACCCGACGACCACAAGCCGGATACGGACGAGGAGGCGGTGGAAAGCGAACCCGATATGCCTCCGACTGTGGCTGGAAGCGCTGCGATGGAATGGAAGAATCGCCGGAGTCGGAACTCGCTGAGCCAAAACTCGACGGACCAAACCCCGCCGAGCCGAATTTCGACGAGGCGAAACCTGATGAGCAGGAGAAAGACGACGCGGTCCTCATCCACGAGGGGTCCGACATCTTCGTAGAGGATCTCGAGTCTGAGATGGCAGTGCTGCCAGACCTCTTGCTGACCGCCGAGGTGAAGATCGAGAACTTGAAGGTCGGCATGCCGACTGGACTCCTGCCCGAGGAAGCCGTGAGACAAGAAACGCGGCTACGCCAAATCATCTGGCAGCGACGGAAGTGGTTGATCGGCAAAGGCAACGCCTTGCCGCCGGCCGCCCTGGGTGTTGTCTGCGACATCGACGTGGGCGACGCAAAACCCGTCGCGCAACGCGTCCGGCAAATCCCGCCGCAGTTTCGAGAGAAGGTCGCCGACTTGATCAAAGGGCTGCTGAGCGCGAGGATGATCTAGAAGTCGAAGTCGCCGTGGGCGTCGCCCAATGTCGTGATAATAATGAAGAACGGCGTCGATATCCGGCTTTGCATTGACTACAGGCTCATCAACGGGCTGACACAGTTGATGATTTACCCCATGCCGCTCGTCAACGACTTGCTCGAAGACTTGGACAAGTATCTGCGGTACTGCTCCCTCGACATGGCGAGCGGCTTCTGGGTCGTCCCCATGACAGACCGGGCCCGGCTCATCTCAGCCTTCATCACGCCGATGGGACTGTACGAATGGCTGCGTATGCCGTTCGGCCTGTGCAACGCGCCGCAGATTTACCAACGCTTGATCGACAACGCGCTCTACGGGTTCATGAAGCTGTCCCCGGGTGGCAGCACTCGGGACGTCTTTCAAGACGGCGAACCGGTGAAGCCAGGTATTCACTCCATTCTGGGACGGAGGTCGTACATTGACGACATCCTCATCGGGGCCACGTCGTGGGACGATCTGTGCGAGAAGGTCGAACGCTTGCTGGACGTCTGCGAGCAGTGGCACTTGTCCATCAGTGTCGAGAAGAGCGAGTGGGTTATGTCCAAGGTCGACTACCTGGGCCACCGAGTCTCAGGACTCGGTCTCGAGGCGAAGCCGAAGAATCTGGAGTCGCTGACGTCGCTCGAGTTCCCGCGCACGCTCAAGGGCCTGCAATCGTTCTTGGGTAGCCTCAATTACTACCACCGGTTCATTGCAGACTTTGCGGTGTATGCAACCGCGCTGTATTCGCTGACGGAGACCGACTTCAACGAGTACGTCGCGCGTCCAGAAGTCCGCGGGCATGAGAAGTGGACGCACGCGACGCGCGCCTTCGACGCGCTCAAGGCAAAACTCGCCGAGACCCCAATGTTGAAACACTTCGACGCGAACCGAGAATCCGTCGTGATCGTGTACGCCAGCGACTGGGCCATCTCGGGGGTGCTCACGCAGGTCCACGACGAAGTGTTCATGCCTGTGAAGTTCACCAGTCGTACGTTGAAGCCCAACGAGCTGAACTACGACATCGTCGAAAAGGAGATCTTGGTCCTGTTGCGCGTCTTAAACGAGTGCTACACGATGCTAGCTCCTCGTCTTAACACGTCACACGACACTCGCCTGGTTGTTCCGGTCCAAAGGACTACAGGGGCGACTGTCACAGTGGGCCGCAATCCTCTCGCCGTGGAAGTTGGAAATCCGCCGATCCATGAAGGGAGAAGAAGGACTCCTCGGCGCGCTGGCCGCGAGCATTACCCCGCGAGCCTTCGTCGACGTGGCGCTAGAAGAGATCGCCCCATGGAGACGGGCGTCCAGGATTGTAGTCATTCCAGTCCCCGACGTGGCGCGCGACGAGGTCCTGCACGTCTTGAGCTTTGACGGATCGGCCAAGGCGAAGCGAGAAGGCGGAGCATACAGTGCCGTCATTTGGCAGCTGCCGAACTGGGAGATCGTGCGCGCCGCGTCGGGATATGCGACGTACCTCACGGTCAACGAGGCGGAATACCGCGAGCTGCTGCTAGGATGTTCTCTTCTAGAGGAGCTCGACAACGTCACCCGACTCGTCGTATGCGGAGACTCCAACCTTGTCATCAGGCAGATGCGGGACGAGATGGGCTGCAAGTCCCCGGGGCTGAAGCTGCTGCGACAAAGGACGCGAAACGCACTCCAGGCATGGCCGCGCCACGAACGCTTCCACGTACGACGAGACTAGAACGCGAGTGCCGACATGCTGGCTGGACAAGCTCTGCAGCGTCAAGGAGGCCGCAACGCGCACAGCCCCGAAGCGATTCAAGATCTGAAGACGCTGAATCGCTTGGAAGAAGTCATCCGACCGCGGACATCGAGTCCCGGGATGGCGTCTCCACCCAGGCCCGACGCGGATAATCTCGACGCGGAAAACCTCGACTCGGAAAATCGCGACGCGAAAACGCGCGGCGTAAATGACCCCGCCGGGAAGCGGGACGCGGGACAGCACAAGTCCTCGCTGTGACAACGCGCTCGGCTGCCGCACGCACGACAACACGTAGGGTCCGACCTCCAGAAGTCTTGGAGGAGCTGGTGGTGCATCGACTGCGCCTGGACCGCATCCGCGTCGCCCAGGACGAAGAGGTCTGGATCGTCAACCTCAAGAAGTATCTCCGCGGCGACGTCGGAGACCTATCTCGGCGCGAGGTGAAGAACTGCCAAAAGCTTGCGCCTCAGTACGAAGAGGGCGAAGGCGGGCTGCTCTACTACCAGCCGAGATGCGACGATTCCGCCGAGGATCGCGATGTGATGATCAAGCTGGTGATCCCGGAGACTCTTCGGGAAGATGTACTCCACCACTATCACGCGAGCCTGGAAGGCGGACACCAGGGTATTGGCCGCACGTACCAACGCGTGAGGCGCCACTTCCATTGGCCAGGGATCTTCAGAAGCGTCCAGCGTTACGTCGGCGAATGCACCGACTGCGAGACGGGAAAGGGTCGGTCGACCATCCAGGGCGAGTCGCCGGGCAACATCGTCGCGACGTACCCGTTCCAGGTCATTGCCATGGACCATATTCCGTCGTTGCCGGCATCCTACAAAGGCAACACAGAGCAGTTAGTCCGGGTCGACCTCTTCACGGGGTTCGTCGTGGTCAAAGCGAATGCGTCACGAACCGGGCAGACGGTGGCCGAGGCGTACGAGGAGGCGGTGTTCAGGCGCTTCGGCGAGAGCGAGGCTATCCGCCACGACCGCGAGCCGGGCTTCATGTCCGACTTCTTCAAGGCGTTCAGCAAACTCATGGGTCAGAGACAGCGAGCGACGCTTGCTTATCGTCCCCAAGCTAACGGTGCTTCAGAACGGATAGTGCAGACGGTTACAAGAGCGATCAAGATGTACATCGCAGACGTCGACCAACGCGACTGGGACGAATACGCCGAGCGTCTTACCTTCGCGCTAAACACGTCGCATGACCGGACCAGGAATGAAACCCCGTTCTTCTTAGTGCATGGCTGGGATCCTCGGTCGACGCTGGAAGCGACGCTGGCCGTCGGGAACACGTCGACCCGGGACGCCGAGGCGAGGCGGTGGAGGCTCCGTATTCAGTGACACTACAAGGTGGCAAGGGCACAAGCGTTGGAGTTAGTCCGAGAGGCCGTCGAAGAGAGAGCGCGTCGACAAACTGAAAACGCGACGCGACATGAGACCGCGACGGGCTCGCAAGTTTGGCTGTACCTGGATCGGGTGAAGCCGGGGTATGCGCGCAAACTCGCGCACATGTGGCACGGACCCTTCCGCGTCGCCGAGCTGGTCAGCGCGTTCGCAGTGCGCCTCGAGACGACGGGTACGCCCTATCAGCTCTACCCCGTCGTCCACATCTTCCAAGCTGAAGTCCGTCCGGGAATTCCCGTCGCGACACGCGACGCAGCTGACGGTGCCGGCCGAGGAGCGCTTCGACTTCGACGAGGAGCTCTAGCCGGAGGATAGCTGGGAAGCCACGCGCGAGCTGGAGGACGACGTCTTCGAGGTCGAGAAGATCGTGAATGTGCGCGAGGGGCGGGCTACCCGGTATGGCCGCACGCGACGCGAGTTCGAAGTCAAATGGAAAGGCTACCCGGACACGACGTGGGTCGACGAGCTCGAAATGAATTGCGGCGGGTTGCTGTACGACTTCCTGCGCCAACGCACGGGACGCAACCGGTTCGAGGCGATGCAGTCGCACGAGAACGCGGAGGCGGTGGAGCCTGGTGGGTGAGCGCCCGCGGGTGCGACGAAGTCGGCGGGGGGGGGCTGCCGACGGGAGGACTGGTGGGAAGCCTCGACTCTGGGAATGGCCGGAGCGAGGGATTGGCTGAGGGAAGTGAGGAGGATCAGCCTGTTGCTGAAGATGGGACGGCAGAGGGCCGTCTCATAAAAGATGTGGAGAAGTGGAAGGAAACAAGGGAAAAGATCAAGGCTACGTGTTGAAGTTACGGCTACGACAACTAAAAGCGACGAACTACGACGATAAGCCAGGGGTCAAACCTGCTGGATGAACTTACCTGCAAGACGCGGCACATGGCAGGCTGGATGATCGCGCGTCACTTGGCAGCGTATGTAGGCGTCCATCTCGGCCACAGTGAGCGGCGTCCGATAGACCCGGCGCCAGGGCTCCTGCGCGTCGATATCGTCGAGCGCGGCTTGCAACGTAGCGTGCTGGAGGCCTGGATACCACAGTCCGATCGACGCGTGCGCGGGCGGAAAGTGAAGCACCATTGGGTCCAGCAAGAGGTCCATGTCTGCGAGCCCTTGCTGGAACAGCCCGGCCACCAGCTGCAACAGGCTGTTGAGGTGGTTGCCCGCGTGTGAGCGACGCGAGTTGCGCGCCGTGCGCCACCTTTTCCACTCCGCGCCCTGCACGAAGAGCTCATGGGTGGCCTCCCAGTACGCCTGAGCCCAGTGCTCGATGTGGTACCGGAGCCGACGTAGGAATGGGCGGAACGCCGCGTCGCCGGACGCGAAGAGAAGCGCCTCAGCGGCTTGAGCGAGGTAGCGCCACGGCCGAGTCGCGTATAGCGCGTCGACGTTGGCCAGAGTCACGAGGGCGCGGTTCCAGTTCGCAGGCGCGGGGGGGGGGACACGGTGCGGAAGGATCCAGCCGGGCGGCGGCAGGAAGAGCGTTCGCAACTCCTGCACGGTGATGAGATGAAGGCGGAGACGTCGTACCCGCTTGGACCAAGGAGCGTAGCGAGGCTGCCGCCAGCCAGACGGAGTTCCGGCAGGCGGAATCACAGGGTCGAAGAATGGCGCCGCCGGAGCACTCCCCGCTGAGCCGCTGGAGGCGGTGCTCGAGGACGAGGCGCGGGACGACGAGGAAGCGGACGACTGGAGTCGCCCGAATCGCCCGGACCAGTGCCTGGTCCAGCTCCGGCTGCCGCACGGCCCCTCGACGAGGAGTGCGTCGGCCGTGCAGGAGAAGACTGGCGCGAGGCCGCCGACCCCACCGAGTGCGCCGACCCCGCCGCGTGCGCCGAACGCGTTGAGCCGGCCGAACGCGTCGACGCCAAGGAGGGCGAGCGAGAACGGGAGCGCGAGCGTGGAGGCGAGTGCGAACGCGAACGAGAGGCCGAGCGGGAACGCGAACGCGAAGCAGAACGGGAGCGCGGGGATGTCCGGGAACGTGACTGCGAACGTGGAGACGGACGCGCCGGCGACCGTGAGCGAGACCCGGAGCTATGCAGCCGGCGGCGCTTAGACTGAGCTCGCCGCGCTTGGTCCTCGCTGTCCGAAGACTCGGAGCCGAAGCGCGACGCGTCCTCTCGTGCGCCCGCTGCAGCGGCCGTAGAGGGCGTAGCTGCAGATGAGGCCTGCGCAGCGGCGTTGTCGGAGGCCTCAGTGTCGGCCACGGTAAAGAGCCGTCGACTACGTCGAAGGGGCGAAGAACCAGACGACGTAGCGGACGCCACTCCTGACGGCCTAGACGCGCGTGACTGAGAACCCGAACGACTCGACGCGCCGTGTCGAGGTCGCCGAAAACCCGACGAGGACGAGGCAGAGGACGAAGTCGGAACATGACGGGAGCCCGAAGGACCTGCTGGAGGGGAAGCGCCAATCGTCGAGCCCACCGTCGAAGCCGACGAGCCCGCCCGGGCACCAGAGCTCGACGCAGTTGGAGCAGGAACAGGAACCGCGGATGCCACAGGAACTGCTGCGGACGTAGGAATAGCAGGGGGAGGCGTCGATCTCCGCCGTAAACGTGGCTTCGAGTCGCCTGACCAGGTCAGCGGTGTCGATCTGCCCGCCTACACGCGTTACGACGCCGGCGAGACGATCAGCAAGCTCGTCGCACACCCGCCGCGCCAGCTCTCGGCCCCAACGCGCGTCTCGAAGCATCCGACGCCAAGCCACAGCGCGTTCGTCGCGCTCTCGGATAGCCAAGTCGCGCTCCTCCTCCAGCTCGGCGACGCGAGCGCTGAGACGATGGGTCTGGGCGCCGACTGCTCCTCGACGCTGCTGAGACGACCGCCGCATGGACAGCCACCCAGCTTGATACTGCGCCGCGCGAGATGTGGCGCAAAGTTCGCCGGCTTGAGCCCGCGCCATCTCGGACTCGGCGGCCACCCGGAGAGTCGTAGCAGTAGCCACTGACTCCTCCAGCTCGTGGATACGCGTCGCGCCGCGGCGGAGCACCTCGGCGTGGGCCACTAAGAGCGCGTTGACGCGCCGAAGGTCGTCCTGCAGCGGGACGTTCAGGTTCTGGGCCGCCTCGATCTCCATGCGGCTCTGAGAAAGCGACGCTCTTAGTCGACAAGAGCGCGCTGCTGCTCCAGAGCGGTCAAGGCCTGACGAGCCTGATCTCTCTCGGCGACGGCAGCGTCTCGCCGCTGCTCAAGGGCGGCCACGGCTTGACGTGCCCGGTCCCTCTCGGTGACAGCAGCGTCTCGCTCGCGTCTCACGGCCGTGGAGGCGCGACGCACTTGATCTCGCATGTCGAGGGCCCCGTCACGCTCTTACGCGACGGCCATGAGAACGCGGGTCACGCGGTCACGCTCGGCGAGAGCGGCGTCGCGCTGCTGCTCGGCAGTGGCCACGAGCTGCCGCATGTGATCTCATTCAGCTTCGGTGGCGGTCACGCGCGCTTGGACAGGAGCGAGGGCGGCTTGGGCGGCTGCGAGGTCGACGCGAAGGTCGTCACGCTCGATGCGAAGGTCGTCGCGCTCGCCTTGTGCAGCAAACAGCCGCGCTAGCGACACGGTGGAGGGAGGCGGCGTAGCAGGAGCGCGCGCGAGTTGGGCAGTCAAGTCAGTGACCTGGTCTCGTGCCGCCCGGAGCTGAGCTTGAAGATCACGATATTGCTCTGTCGAGGAGCCTCGCTCGGCGCGGAGTAGAGTCTCGGCAGCGTCGGCGCGCTCAGCACGAGCGCGGAAGTCGGCCACTCGGTCCTCCAGGACGGCGTAGTCCAGCTCGGCGTGCTCCCGGGAGAAGATCGCCTGCTCGAGCCGGATCATGCCTGCGCGATAATCCTCGCGAGCACGATGCAAGATCGCGAGATTGCGGTCATGCAGCACGGACGCGTGAGTAGCCAAGCCCACATTGTGCGCTGAGACGAGTTCGTACTGGGCGCGCAGCTCCTGGTTCTCGCGCTGGAGAGTGTGCGCGTCGGCGACAAGAGCAGTCACCGAGTGGACGGGGGCGCCTGAAGCCGGAAGCTGGACTTGGGTCGCGACGGGGAGGCGAGGACGATGCGCGCCCAGGGCACAAACCGCGCAGCCAGCGGCCTCGAGGTCGTCGGTGTCAAGCTCTTCTTCCTCCAGGTCGATGTCGTTGACGTCGACGTCGTGGCGGCGAGCCATGAAGCTTGGAGTACCGCGAAGCGGACTGCGAGGGCAGAAAACGCGATGGTGTCGAGACGAAGCGAAGGCGCGGGGCAGGTTCTGCGACGACACACCCACCTGGGGAGTGCGCGTGTGTGGCAGCGGGACGAATGTGGTGTAGTACCCCGCGGAAGAAGTGGGCGCGCCGGGCGCCGGAGGAAGAAGGCGCCGGGACGCGAGTGATGGACTTCGACGCGGCTGATGGAACGCGACGCAGGGCCGAGCTCGACGGGAAAGTCGGCGTGGGTGATGGGCCGTGACACACGGTGCCAGAATCCAGTGCGACGCGTAACCATCCGACGGGTCGACCAGCGCACCCGGTTCTGCAAAATGCGCCGACCCTAAACCCCGCCGAGCAAAACGCGCCGAGCAAAACGCGCCGACCCTAAACCCCGCCGACCAAAACGTGCCGAGGTAAGATCTTGATTGCGCCACGCAAATCAGGTTGAAGGACGGCAGTGCAAGCACGACAGAAGTAGGGATAGGCACACAACGATAGGCTTAGCAAGCAGTAGTACGGAGTAGCCAGTAGCTAGGGCATAGGATAGGGTAAGGACTCAGTCCCGAAATTTCTCTGAACCACAAAGACCTCCCGTCTTCTCCGAGGTTCCAGGGGAACCACCAAGCGCCGGCAAGTAGAGCCGCCTCGATATCGCGGCCCCCCGTCGTTTGCTGGTTCGGGTGCTCACCCCCCACAGACCCGTGCTGGAACAAAGGCACGTTAAACGTATACCGTTTAGGTGGGCGCCCGATAACGCGCTGCCTAGGCGGAGGACCGCACTGGCCTGATAACCGCCGTGCACAAGACCCCCGTGTAGGCCCGATAACGCCGCACGCCCGACGGGAACGCCGAGGAAACGCCGGCCCGATAACGCCGCACGCCCGACGGGAACGCCGAGGAAACGCCGGCCCGATAACGCCACACGCCCAAGGCTCGACGCCCTACGACAAGGAACAAGCGTCAACACAAGAACCCCCAACTTCGAAGCCGGCGAAGACTTGGGCCTGTATTTCGAAGATACGCTACTCCAACAACCGGGAATAATTTGCTCGGCGCGACCGCTATCCAGACGCGCCGAGTTTGTGCGAGATCGCATTCGCGAGATTTCTGTGAGGGCGCTACGCCACATTACTGCGGGTGATAATCTTGCTGAGGACGATAATGATTCTGATGATCTTGAGGATAAAGCACCAATTGCGTTTGGCGATCCCGCTAGTTCTATGGACGAAGTTGCTGATTCGATTAGCAACAGTGGGAGCGAAGATGATATTGCGATGAATGACACTGCTGAGTTGTTTAGGCGTTCAACGCGTACTCGATGGCCGAATTCTCGCTACCGAGATTATGAAGTGGAGCTTCCTATGAGTTTGGTGATTGAGACGGTCAACTCATTGATGGACCCCGAGACGGTGGACAATGCTCTTTCTGACCCGGACGCCGAGAAGTGGATCGAGGCCCTAGAGAAAGAGTACGGCGACCTCATGAGGAACAATACGTGGGAGCTCGTGGAGAGGCCCAAGGACAAGAAGGTGTTGACTGGCAAGTGGGTGTTGGTGCAGAAGCGTGATGCGCATGGCAACGTTGTGCGTCACCGAGCCAGGATCACAATCAAGTGCTGTCAGCAGCGCTACGGAGTCGACTATTGGGAGACGTATGCTCCTGTTGTATCACAAGAGTCTCTAAAATGTATCCTGCTGCTAGCGCTACACTATGGACTCTCTTGTCGCCATGTGGACTTTGTTACAGCCTTTCTTAATGGACCGATTGATGACGACGTTGAAATTTATATGGAGATGCCTGAATATTTTGATGACGGCTCGGATCGTGTCTGTAAGCTGCGGCGAAGCTTGTATGGGCTGAAGCAGGCGCCATTGATATGGTATCAGACGCTCGACAAGCACCTGAGGTCATGTGGCTTCCGTCGATTGAAGATGGATGGCGGTCTCTACGTACGGACAGTGGGACGCAGCCCCATATTTGTGTCGGTGTACGTGGACGATTTGGTCATCACCGGCACAGATGAGAACATTGAGCTTGTCCTGCAAGAGCTGCGTGCGAAGTTCGAGATCAAGGACTTAGGTCCTGTGACGGATCTGCTGCACATGGAGATCTCGTACGTGCCGGGTCAGGCTTTGTGGATCTCTTAAAGAGGCTACATCGATAAGCTGTTGAAGCGGTTCGGTATGGAGTCATGTCGACCGGTGGCTACTCCACAAGCTGTAGGGAATCTACCCGATCCAGTGGGTGATGATCAACCTGGAGTAAATGATCCGAGCATACCCTATCGCGAGCTGGTAGTAGGCCTCCAGTACTTGGTGCAAGGTACTCGCCCCGACATAGCGAACGCGGTGCGAACGCTTGGGAAGTATCTGAGCAAGTATACGAAGGAGCACTTTGTGATGGCAAAGAGGGTGTTGCGATATCTTCAGGGCACACGTGACTATGGGCTTGTGTGGAACAAACCAGCGACTACAGATTTGCACTTTACGGCGATTCGCATGCGCATGATGCGAAATGCTTATCAGGCCTTTCCACAAGCTGTAATTGGTTCGCCAAGCTAACATTGGCAATAGCACCTCATCCTGAAATTTCGATGAATTATCGCTAATTTTTGATAGAATTACGAAAAAAAACCTACGGAGGACTAAAATTGCTGGCAGAAAAAGCGTTGTGCCTCCTTCAGTTCTCACAGATAATAGGCAGCAAAAATCAGGCGTTAGAGCCTGCCTCTAAGCTTCATGATAAGGCCTCACATGGCCAAAACTCTTGAGTAGAAGCGAAGATAGAGCACAATTTCGAAATCATCATACTTTCGTGGGACAGAGAAGTAAGTAAACTTGAAAAGCTAAGTAAAAGTGAGTGCATCAATTTAAGGGGCCCAAAAAAAAGAATGCACCAGGCTAATAGACAGAACTAGCAATATCTACCCAAGAACGCCGTGTTGAGCCTCCAACTACGGTACCACCACCACTTCTCCGCTCAAACGATGACCGAATGTACTTATACTGATAGTTTTGAGTCCCGAAAGTGGCGGGTACGGATTTAAAATAGTGTAGGGTAGCCATGAAATCTTAACCGAGCCATCAACGAGCCCACGCAGCGTTGAACCTTGCACCCTATCGATTCAACTTGCTGTTCATGCCTGAGTCAGGCAGCCTGACATTGTTTGCTGTATCATTCAATGATTCATTGATATTGCCGCAAGCACGCCCGTCGGTCGTCGGTCGAGCTACACTGTAGTCGACTGACGAGCAGCGAGCGGCCGCGCTTCAACGTGCGCTTCAACCAGCGGGGATCAGCAGGGATTGCTCCGCGGTGGCGAAAGTGGATGCGGCGAAATCAGTATTCAGGCCGCGTGACGATGGATCGACTGACCGACCAACCAAGCTTGAAGGCGGCACCATGGCCACCAATTTCCCCGCAGGGATCGGCTCCATGCCGAGAAGCGGCGGCAACGCTCCAATCCCATGATTGTCGTCGCCAGTCTCCCAGTCTGCTGCTTGTCGGCGGTGCGTCAGGCCTCGTTTTGGTTTGGGGTCTACATGTACATGTAATAGAGACCAGCTCGCATAGACCGTCTATGCGAGCTGGTCTCCAGCGCAAAGGCGCAGGGACCCTGCGGCAGGTCTCCGCTGGATCATTACGATCAACGAAAGCCACGTGACCCGTATCGTTTGGCGGAAACCGACGACCTCGTGCATGGCTCGGTTTTAGACTAAAACCGAGCCATGCACGAGGCTAAAACTTTTAGTCGGCGTCCAACTCGGACGGATGCCATTGCTGCGGATTTGCACGTGCTCATGTACGTCAAGCTCGACCAAATCGAAGCGAGGGTCATTTTCCAGGAAGACTCCGCTCATGGCGGGGTTGATTCAGCCCTGCGAGCAGCAGCTACAGTAGTGTAGCTGGAATCCAGCTAGCCAGCCTGGATAGAGAGTGCAGTCGCATCCTGCGCGGCCTCCGAGGCCGCATCGGTCCGTGGCCCTGTCGGTGCAGCAGACCCTACTGTAGCGCAGCAGCTCTGCGGCCAGCGTTTGCCAACTACGACCCGTTGGCTGTCAACGAACAAGCCGCATCGAGACCGAGCTAGCGCGCGGCGATGCAACTTGGCGGCGTGTCTACTCAGTAGACTCTACGGTAGGGTATGAAGATCTTTTGCTTGGTTTGCGACGACAACGTGTTGATGTCCACCTGAAACGGGCGACGCTAATCGTCAGACAGTGGGAGGTCCTCACGCTGCACGACCAGGCCCACTCGCCTTGGCTACAGGCCCTGTACTGTGTGCTGGAGCACACCCCGCGGGGCCGCCGAGCGGCATGCTACGCTAAGGTTTCAGTCGATATCTTCGGGCGCCGAGACTCGAGCAAGGCTGGTCGGTCGACGTTGGATAGGCCCCGCCGGCCGGGGCCATGGAGTGCCGTGCGCCAGCGCTCGCTGGGGTTTGCCGCCTCTGTGCCCGCGCCGGTCGAGGCCGATCACGGGCCACCGGCAGGCATGTTTGCTCGCCTGTATACGCACGGCCTCCCTGGCCGGCAGTGGCGCCAGCGTAGCACCGCCCTCACGCCATCTCGCACCGAGCAGAGCCCGTGCCTGTATGCCACCCAGACTCGCGCCAGTCGCAGGTAAACTGAAGAGGCTTACATGCCGCTGGATAGGGAGCCTCGGCCGTGTCGAGAAGCAGGGCGGTGACTGGCCTCCCTCGGCCCTTGCTTGGCTACACCAGTTGAGTTGAGCCGAGGTGGCGGCGCCGCTGTGTCAGCCCGCCATCCTGACACCAGCTATCAGCACGCCGAGCGCTTCAAGCAACGGCCGCGAGGTCCATGGGAGATGGAGGAAGAGCGGCGAGAAGTGGCCGCCTGCATCTCCGACCCGGGCCCCCATGGCACGCCCGCGGCTGATTTCGGGGCACCGCTCGCGGCCTCCGCTTCAACTTGACCTCCTCGGCGCCGCGTCCTTGCGCGGAGCAGAAACGCAGCGCGCTGGGTCCCTGTCGCTTTGTGGACCCCACACGCTTCGGGCGCTTCAACGAGCTCTCTCACTTTTGAATCTGCACCGAGCCGATCACGAGCCACACGAGTCGCCGCGCGCAAACGTGAAGCAAATCGCGCTCCGCGTGCCTCAGAAAGCAGCAGCCAAGTGAACCCTCGAAACCCTACATAGCACCCTCACCCTCCCTCCTCATGGCCACCACTGCGAGCTCGGCCAAGCCCAAGGACGTGGCGCCGTTCCTCAAGAGCCTGCGCCAGATCCTGGACACGGAGGACCCGCGCATCCTGCGCTGGACGCCCGACGGCAAGGCCTTCGAGATCCACGACATGGCCGCCATGATGCAGCTCGTGCTGCCCAAGTACTTCAAGCACTCCAAGTACACGTCCTTCCAGCGGCAGCTCAACTACTTCAACTTCCGCAAGTGGACCAAGTCCAAGGCCGTCGTGTGCACGTTCTCCAACCCCTTCTTCCAGCGCGACGAGCCCGCGCTGTCGTGGCGCATCACGCGCAAGAAGTCGCTGCACTCGGCCGACGGCAAGAAGCCCGAGAGCCCCGCCAAGAAGTCGCCGCCCAAGGCCAAGAAGGCCACGCCCAAGCCCAAGCTCATCGTCATCAAGCTGCCAGCGGGCGAGGCCAGCAGCCCGGCGTCCTTCCCGTCCCCCACGGACGCGATCTCGCTGGCCAGCGCGCTGGATCTGAGCAGCGTGTACGGCGAGGTGGCGGAGATCCGCTTCCACGAACCGTCGAGTGAGGCCGCGCTGGCGGCGGACGACGCGTCCCTGGACTGGGTCGACGCGCTGTACTCGTCGCTCGAGCCGCTGCTGGACAACGCGGCGTACCCTTCCTTCCACGACCACGCGTTCGACTACGCCCAGCTCTGACCCTGCGTCTGAGGATAGCCCAGTTTTGAGTTGGTGCCGTGCGCGTGTCAAGTGAGACTATTTTATTCGAGGTGAATGTATGTAGCGAGCCAATACAGCCTCCAGCCCCCCTTTTGTACTGTAGCTGGGCCATTGCCGTTCGCTCGCTCGCTTGCTTGCTTGCTTACTCCGCGTGTTTGGCAGGCCACACCGAGACGCCAGTTGAAGCGGCCGTAGCGGGCCTATGCAGCCGCGTTGAACCAGTCTCGTGACGCGCGGCCAAAAGTACCTTTGGCCACCTTTGGCCACCCTGGCGACACTCAGCCTGGGCCGGCCGGCCCGCAGCGGGCCCCGCTCCGCGATGGGATGGAGCCTCCTCCATCCCCACCGGCGAGTAGCCATCAGCGCTTGCCATCGGAGCCGCTGTGACCCGAAGTGTTGCACCGCGCGACTCATGACTCAAACGGTTTTCAACCAATTAGAAAGGGCCATTAAACTTTGTGTATTTTTACACAAACGTACAGAGTCGATACGTACCACCAAGGCCTCGTCTCTGCTGCTCTCTTGTGTGTCAAGATGAGTTGGCCAGCGTGGCGCCCAGAGTCTGGGCTCATAATCAGCCACCGGAGCAATGCAAGCCTTGAGTGCGTGCCCAAAGCTCAAGGGAAAGGGCCCCATGGCTGCCATGGGCTCCCCTCCCGTTCGGAGCTGCAGCCGCGGTGGCTTGCTAGGATGCGTGTAAATGCAACCCCAAGCATGAGTTAACTCGCCCTGTGTATGTGGCGTCCGTCCCACAGTAGCGGACGTGTCAAACATAGTAACAACGTAGACGAGGCCCGAGGCAAATCAAGGCGAAGACAACCGACATGTTTGCTCGCTGCCTGCATGGGGCGCGCCTCGGCGCCGCATCTGAGGATCTCCAGCCTATCCCTGCCGGCGCTGCCTGGATTCCGGGACGAAGACCGCGATGTGTCGCGCGGGTCAGACAGGTTGGACCGCCACCTCAGCGTCGGCGCTCCGCCTGATGGCGTTACATGTAGTACCGCCGGCTGCAGCAGGACGGGACTCAACAAAAAGCGTAAGGACCGAATTCGTAGGACATCACTGTCTGTACGTGTATTTTTACATGTACTTTTGCGGATGTAAGACGCTCCTAAGCGCTTACCTCTTTTCCAACTAACTTAGAAGGCGCCGAGTGTGTGTACCGGCACGACAGCTTTGCCGCGTCGGTGAAGTCTGTAGTCTAAACTAATGGGGCGACGCTGCTCGCTCGCTCGTTCGCTGTCGCTGTTAAATAAAAAAATATTTGCAGCCGCTTACAGCGAGAGCAGCTTCGAGGACTGGAAGCAGTCGGCCAGGCTCGAGTCGTCCTCCAGCAGATCCAGGTCGAGCTCCGGGTACAACACGTCGATCCACGCGAGCGACGCGTCCTCGTCGAACACTCCCGGCTCCGTCTTGAACGCCGTCGTCTGCACGGTCACCACGGGCTCGAGCTGCTTGCCAAGCTGCAGCTCTGACGTCGGTAGCGCCAGCGGCTCGTGGGGCTCAGCCTTGTTACAGCTGCGGGGTGACGCGTGCTTGGCCAGCGACAGCGCGCGCTTGCGCGTGATGCGCCACGTCAAGGCGGGTTGGTCTCGCTGGAAGAACTGGTTGGAGAACGTGCACACTACGGCGCGCGACTTGGTCCACTTGCGGAAGTGGAAGTAGTTGAGCTGCCTCTGGAAGCTGGCATACTTGCGGTGCTTGAAGTACTTGGGCAGCACGTAGCTGGTCATGGCCGCCATATCGTGGATCTCGAAGGCCTTGCCGTCGGGCGTCCAGCGCAGGATGCGCGGGCTCTCGGTGTCGAGCATGACGCGCAGGCTGCTCAGGAACGGCGCCACCTCCTTCACTGGGGTGCCGTCCGCGGGGTCCTGCGCCCGAGGATCCGGCTGCTTGGTCGCTGCTGTGCGTGTCATGGTCCGATCTACGGGGTGGGACGAAAGTCTCTGCAGTCCAGCTCAAGTTCTGAGTCACCAAGCGAGCGCGTCCGCAAGTGGGCGAAGAGCCAATGCGGGGTGCGAGGCAAAAGTGAAAGTGAAGAGGATGCTTGGGCCAAAGTCTCTCCGTGAGCTCTGACCGGCCAGAGATAAGGGCGCGTTGGCCGCGATTACGGCTGCAGCCCGCAGCATCTGGAAAGCAGTGCAGGTCCGGAGTGGCCGCAAGGTCTCTCGCCAGCGAGTGGTTAAAGAGATCGGACCGTCGTGCCAAGCGCCTTGACAGCGAGCGCGGCACGCTACAGTATCATGCGAAGGGTGAGTCACACTCGATGGGGCTCACAGCAGAGAAGTTGACAAGCCGCTCCATTATGGCGGCGCGCGCAGGACCTGCGTTGCGGGCCGCAACGCATTGCCCCGGGGCGCCTCGCATCCGTCGCAAAACATGTCTCGAGGGCGGGTGCCTGCCGCTCCACCGAGATCAAGTTTGCGTGAATCATGCAGCGAGATGGATCGCACCGCAATGGACTTCTATAACAAAAGTAAATTACATTCACCCGCTTCCACGACAGTCTTTGCAAGACGGCAGTGGCGTGGAGGTTGAGATGTCCATTCGTGTACTCGGCGTTGTACGGACCGCTGTGCCTTGCTCAGATTGACAGCTCAGAAAGCTCTCGCGGACGCCCGCGAGAGTCTCGCAGGCTGCGAGTCGCAGCTCTGCTGTCTACTCCGTTGGTCCCTTGTGGCGACTCACGACCGCGGTTGCGGCGGCCGCGGCTTGTTTTTCCCGAGGTGTTGTGGGGCACCCGTCTCGCATGGACCCAAGCACCGCTCGCTTGCTCGCCGGGCTCTTGCCAGGCGCCTGCCAAGAGACCCTGAGAGACCCCGACCACGGCGCGGGAGTGCGCTAACGTGACTCGAAGCTAACGCCGAGCAGCGCACATAGACTGCGACGTCGGATTGATTTCTTCTCGGTGCGGCGCTCCCCCTCCACCAACTCTTGCTGGCGATGCGGGCGGCACGCAGGCGGCTCAAGTGGCGCCATGCTCTGGGGGACTCGCGTAGGGGTTGCCAAGTGCAGGTCCAGGGCCAAGCAACGCACAGTAATCACCACGGTTGCTCGCACGCCGCGGAGCCAGCTAGCCATGTTGCCAACAACAGGTATCTCCGAAGGAAGAGCTGCTCGATTTGGGAGCCGTCGTGCGCTGGGAAAATGGGAAGCATGTCTGTCCATCGGCAGCGTATTGGGGATACTAATGCAATGTACATCTCAAGCAAGTATGACGTTGAAGTGTCCTTGACCGCCTGGAACTATCCATTTTCTTCATCGTTAGGAGATAAAAAAAGTGTCTGCTCGACAGCCGGTAAGCGTTTTGAGCGCAATACTCCTTACATGTACATGCTTGATTCGTCCAGCTACGCACCTGCAAGTTCTGCGCAGCACCAACCCACGGAAAGGTGTACGCGACCATCTTGGAAGACACTGAAACCAGCGGCACATCTATAAACGAGTGGGCACCTAAGCATAAATGCTCGGTACTTTGCTCACTGCAGAAGCAATTACTGTGATGAGCTGCGCTGTGCTCTACTACAGTAGGTGTGGCAAGTAGATTGGGGCTATTTGTCCAAACGTAAGTAGATCATGGGGACTACTTATAAGTAGATCAGACCATCAGCGCACAGCGAGCGAAGCGAGCCCACGCCTGCGGTTTGTCAGCCCGTGTGCGAAGCACACGGATGCAAACCCAGGACCCAGTATTGCCCTTCTAGCATGCGGAGGCGACGCGTGCGAGCCGCAGCGGGCTTGTTAGGGTTCTGTCCAAGCGCGCACAGCGAGCCTTTAGGGTCTGGAGGGCCGCGCGCAGCGCGCAGCAGGGTGATAGTTAAGATACGTTTAATCAACGTCCCCCAGTCTACTTATAAGTAGTCCCCATGATCTACTTACGTTTGGACAAATAGCCCCAATCTACTTTAATTCCTCCACCCCCTACAGCGGACACTAGTAATCAGTGCAGCAAGTCAATTTGCAAATGCTCAAGTCTCGGATGGAGCTTCAAAGAAGGGGACTGCAAACGGAATATTGTAGCGGGAAGCAGCGCTCAGTCGCTACTGATGCTGGTACAGGCAATGTTGCTGTGTCCACTAGCGATTACGGTATGTGTGTTTCCTGAAGGAGGCCAAATGTGTCCAACTCGCACCCATTTGAAGCTAGAGTACGATGTTGAAATTATACGCCCAAAACACAAGATGGCTACACTACCCAAAACTGTCTTTTGGGTCGTAGCGATTGTAAAACTGTGATTGGCTTGACGCGCAGCGCGTCTAAGTCCCACGCTGACCCACCAGCACTTCGAGATTAAACCCGTCTTCAATGAACAACGCATTTGGCCACCACGAGCCCCGATGGCAACTAGCTCGGGCCGGCGTAACGCCATCCCTGGCGGACGTCAACCAAGCCATTCAGCATCGTTCGTCTGCAGTGTTGAAGTGCAGACATGCATCTGGTGTTGGCAAAATGCCAATATTCAATGTTCAGTATCCTACCATGCGTTTTTGTACAATGCTCACCTGTAGGCTTTCATCGGCGGCTAGCCGATGTCAAGCTTGTATCGAGAAAAGGGGCCTCGGTTTGGCGTCTGCTGTCTGTGCGCTTCACAGTATGCAGGCGTGTATTATATGTGGCTCATTGCCAACAGGACTCGGCGTCGGCGCTCAAGTTTCAAACTCAGAGTCAAAAGGAGAGTGCGAACGTGGAGGAGTTGCGAAAAATGTGGTACTGTTCGACGGACAGATGAATAGGCGTGTAGTTTGCTGCATTCACGTCAATGCCCGAACTCCTTTCTTTTGCGGTCTTGCGAATCCAATTCAAATATTAGTCCCCTTTAAAAAACTCTAAACCTGTAGCGAATACTGGGACTTAGGAGCTCGCGGTATGGTGCTTTTTAACCCTTTCGCGAACACTTCATTCTTGTATACTATACAAGATCAAGTAAGTTCGACATAGAAGGAGGCATTTGGGTATGTAGCCATTCGTGTCCATCAATGGGTTCAATGATAGAAGGATGCAAAATGCCCCCATCGACAGGACCAATTAGAGCATTCTGATAGGCCAAAACGGTAGACTCGTGAAACCTGCGCCGCTGAAGAGTCGCCGACTTCTTGCGGTTGGTCGGGCGCCGCCACTGCAGCGTGCTTAGCAGGCTTCTAAACACTGTGGGAGCTTTTATCTTCGCCATATCTTTCAATGAGCATCACCCTGGCGCATATCGCCCCATCCCACCACCCCATCACTGACATCGAGGTCTTCAATTTGAATAACCTTTTGGGTTATGGTCGATCAATTTCGCCGGTACTAATGTTTCGCAATACATCTGTACTGTGAAAATAAATGGATTTCCCTGCCCCAGGTCTTGGCCTCTCCCCCCTTCACTTCGAAAAAAACGATGGCAATCTCAAAGCGAAGTGTGCCGACGGACGCTGCTGGTGCTGTGAAGTACTGACGCCTGACGCGCTCTCAAGATGTAAGCAGTGCTGAAAGAGGTACGGAAGAAAACAGCTAAGGACAACATGGTTGCTGGGATTTAGTTACGTGTACTCTGCTATGACAGATGGCTGCTCTGTTTTCACGAGAATTTGGCGAGATCTCCTACGTGATGGATGGACAGCGAAGCGGCCATCGTTGCGCAGTTTGGACACCCGCAACCGCTACATCCCACCGGGTGGTGGTGTTGCTGGGCAAGAAGGCCGAGACTTTTTTTAGGGGAGGAGGCAGTAGTCGCGCACGTCACCAGCACTTTACAGCTCAATCCTGCTGCTGTGAGTGATACTGTTTCTGTACAAACTCGTGAACTTTCTAGTGTGCGCGTAGGCGATCACGATGATATGGTTGCGGGGTTGGCCGAGCGAGTTGTGGACGATGATGCAAATGGTGCAGGCACAGCTAATGATGACCACCCATCTCGTGGCGAAGGAGCTTTACTGGACCAGGACATGGGTCGTATTGCGGTTGGACGAGAAGGACGAGTGGAGCAAAAGGGACTCAGTCATGAGCAGACTGATTCTGATGACGTCGGTGGTGGAGATCGTGATCGTCGGGGGCAAGGCCAAGGCTGCATCCGGGTATTACTGCACGAGAAGCACGGCCACACTGCAAAAGCTGCTGGAGCAGCGAGGAATGCTCATTCGGTCGGTGGATGTGGTACCCTGAAGTACGGGTTGAGGAGCCTATTCGAGTCGTTGCTGTTGGCGTGGATGCCACTGGTCGCGGGGGGAGAGATGTTACAGCTCGTTCGGGTCGTGGTCGCGGTCGGAGCGCTGGACGCGGTCGTGGTGGTAGATCTGGACGTGGACGCGTCCAGGAGGTGGTGGGAGGCAGAGACCGGACCCTGAAGTACGGATTGAAGAGCCTATTTGAGTCGTTGCTGTTGGCGTGGATGCCACTGGTCGCGGGGGGAGAGATGTTACAGCTCGTTCGGGTCGTGGTCGCGGTCGCGGTCGGAGCGCTGGACGCGTTCGCGGCGGTCGATCTGGACGTGGACGCGGCCAGGAGGTGGGGGAAGGCACGGTGGCGAGGATCGCAGAGCAAAGTCATGCTTCATCCGATGAGGCAAGTGGTGATATTGATGGCAGCGTCAGTTCTAAGTCTTACTTTGGTTTGGGGATGAACGAAGTTGAGTCACGGATACTAAGCTCGCAAGCCACTATAAGTTCCAGAAATTCAGTTGCAACACCAGCAAGCCCGGAGCTCTACATCGGCAACCTCATCGCGTACACACCTTCAAAATCAAAGTGGCTTTTGACAAAAAAAGTTGAAGTCGACGATCAGTCCTGTGGGTTCAGCTTATATTGTGGGTCGTGTGTGCCGACGGACTGTCCAAAACCAAGCTGTTCTGTACGAAGTGCGTTGGTTAGACACCATATTTCAGAAGTACTCGCACTGGGTTCCGCTTGGAGTTCTACAACAAGGAATCGAAAATTATAGGTTGCTCACGCAAACTTCATCGAAGCCAACCTGGAAAGCATTGACAACCGCACACGCTGACGACCATGAAGACCTTCCAAGAGATGTTGCTCTAGAAGACCTTGTTGAGGCAGAGGAGGGACCGGTGGAGTTTGACCCCGATCAGCCACTCCCGACAACATTGAAAGAGGTTGAGGCTGTAAAAAGTATGCGGTTCGACCCCCGCGTTGAGATGAAAGCCCCCCACGACTTGTACGACAGGAAAAGTGGTGAGGTGAGGCCGATGAAACCTTTGTCGCCCAGGGGGGTTCGTATAGCGCAGCCCAAGACTGTTCCCCAGGGTGTAGACCCAGAGAATCGACTTGAGAGTCAACAGCAAGAAGATAGACCCAGAGATTCGCAGCCGCAAAGCTTTAAACCCTGAAAATCACACTCCTTGGTTGGCGTGGGTACCTTGTGTAATCCCTGTCGACTCGTTTGTCTTCGACGGAACGGCACTCCACCGGTTGAAAATGTAGCCTCGAAGAAGTGCGGGAGCGCACGTCTACTTCAGAACGCACCTCCACACCAAAATGCAAGCCCAGAGAATCAGACCCCCTGAAACCCAGAATATCACGAATTCAGGGTCCGGATTTCAGTCAACTCTGGGACTTGGAACTCAGAAGACGCCTTACCCAAATGCCCTCCTAGCTCGATAAAACCAACAAATACAGAGTATACAAACACTACAACTAGCCGTCACTTATTCTTTTGGACCCTTGGGCGGTGGGTCACACACACACTAGGCTCACTCGAGTCTGAAATTCAGGGGCCTAGCTCCCCTGAGACTCACACAAACGCGCACCACCTCCAATAAAGGAGGAAAATACAATCACTATCAGTTACCTTCCCTTCACACAAGCAGTCAATACAAAATCCTGGAGGCGACTACCTAGCACCCCAGAATACCCTCTGGAATAATATGAAATGGGCTACCACGAGCACAGCAAGTGAGCCAACTAGGATATGGAATAGATGGATCACTCCAGGAAGCTCAAGGCCGTTGCTGGTCCCCACCTAACTGGACTTGAGTTGATGGAGTCCACACAGACGCCTGTCCTTCGCCGTTGATGTGCCCTTAGCGTCTCGCGGTCGTAGTCTCGGGTCCTCCGGATTTCCGTCGGCAGGCTTGGCCGAAGTCACTTGCGCAGTACAGGGAAAATTGAACTCTGTTTGGTTTTTATCAGCTACTTCTCTCTCTTTCTCTCTCTTCTTCGGGCAAATATCTTCTGTTCACTATGCTTGGGGTCAAATGTCTTGTCTTGAGTATACCTTGGGTTCAGCGGTCCAAACTTGCGATCGGCTTGCGAATCCATTGTCGCACGGCGTCGAAAGTGCCAATTGTGGGTCCTTAGACTTGGTTTAGTATGGTGCAGGACTCCCTCTCGACTCCTCGAAAGTATCCAGTCTGCGCATCCACAACGGTTCTTCAAGGTCACGCATCACTTTGATTGCAGACTGGCTTCGAACTGACTCGAGTCCCTGAAAATCAGGTGACACTCAGGGTCATCTTCTGAAATCCTGGGAATTCTGAGGAATCTTGGGGAGCTGTGGGGATTCTTGGGTGTTGGCTTAGGAAACACTTAAGTTCAGTATAGAGAGTCTGGATTTATGATCCAAACCCAGAGAATCATCTTTGGAACTCTGGGTCACCTGCACTCAAGGAGGTGAACTCTGGGTAACCGTGTGACACTCTGGGTAACAAGTCTGCTGTAGTGCAGACTCGTGTGTATCTCCTCAAAGCCACACTTTTAGCGGGTTTAGCGGCCTCCTGCGCATGATCATGGTGGTAGTGGGTTGATTCTCAGGGTAATTTGATCCTCTGGGGTACTCTGAGCCACAGTAAGATGAGGCGTACTCTGGATACATTCTCCAGAGACACTTTCCGCCAGACTTTAGGCACTCATCGTAAGGGAAAGTCCGCGGCTGGACTGAGTGTTCTCTGAAATTCTGGGCGTGCACTCCCAGGATTCACACTTCCAGCCAGTTGGGCCCATCTGCGGTCAGGCGCTGGATTCATCCCGAGAAATCACTTCTCTCCCACAGTCGCCATCCATGTCACACGGGTACAGCCGCGCCGTATCTAAGTCATCCACCAATCAGCATCCGATACAAACTCCAAGTCATCAGGTGACGGCACATCGTCGGCAATTTTCTGGGGACCGTCTCGTGGCAATGGAGCAAATGTATCTCGTGTGTGGCCTGAATATACGCACCTGTTTACTCATTCTGCGCCATCGAGTTTTCTGGCGTACATACCACTTTACTTTTGGCAGCAAGTGGTCAATGAGTGCAATGCGTACGCAAAGATCAAGGGCATCAACCTGGTACATCCTGTGACATTGGCGGAGCTGATGAAGTTCATTGGAATTCTATTTTTCATGACGATCACGGACAGAGGTGAATACTCTAACTACTGGGGGTCGCAACCAGAGGATATGATACTGGGCAACCAAACCTCGTCGGGGTTGGAGAAAGTCATGCCACTGAGGCGTTTCAAGCTGCTTCGAAAAGTGTTTTGCTTCCGAGCTGCGCCTCCATCTGCTCAGACAGATCCTGCCGCGCGCATTCGGCCCCTCTTGAATTTGCTCAAGTGTACTGGGGGGAAATATATTGAGCTGGGGCGGGATGTTGCCCTCGATGAGTGCTGTATCGCATGCCGCTCAAAGTTCGGGCGCCATGTTATTGTCTATAACCCGATGAAGCCAACAGGGAAGTATCACTTCCGGCTTTACGTGTTGTGTTGTGGTACGACATGGATTGCTGTGAATTATCGATTTCATTGCAGTAGTACTATGGCTGACAGGCTGCAGGGCGTTGTGCCCACAGGTTCGGCAGAAGAACTTAGTGAAGAACTAGCGACAGCGAAGGTGTCTGCTGTCCGGATGCTCGTTCTTGAAGTGGTTCGGCCTCTCTATGGATCCAATCGAATCGTGAACATGAATAACTACTATACTTCGGTCCAACTATTGCAGGCGCTGCGACTTGAAGGACTCTACGCACGAGGTACGGCGAGGGGTACAAGCAAGCACTTCCCCAAACATACAGTACTAGACAAGAACTCCGCAACTCGAGGCGATTATCGGCAAGGTGGGTCTTCCGAGCACAGTATCGTGGCTGCGTCGTGGTGCGATGGGAGTATTGTTCAGGTCATTTCGAACGCTGATTCGTCGGTGATAGGGACTGTGGATCGCCAAGTGGGAGCGACTAAGCAAATTTACCCGGCACCTATGTGTGTGAAAGAGTATAATGCGCACATGCAAGGCGTCGACAGACTCGACCAGACTCGGGCGCGTTTCTCCATTGCTGACGGCCACTCGTTCAAGCCGTGGCATAAGAAACTGGCGCTTGGTCTCATCGACATTGCCAGATCAAACGCGTATCTAACGCGCCGTCAGGTGGTAGATATGTCTGAAGACCGCGATTCGCACAGGGATTTCATGATTCAACTTTCATCGGAGCTAATTTCTGGCAAATGGGTCGATGCGCCGAGTGATGGCCGTATTGCGTTTGATGCTGTTGGTTCCGACGAGCCAATCCCTTCGCCAGTTCTTTCGACAGCAGTACTGCAGTCTACCATACCTGACGGAAGCCCCCACAAGCGGTGTGTTGCTGTGACATCACGACAAGTCCTCGGTGATTGCAGTAGAAAGCGGCGCGCATGTGTCTGTCGCTGGAAGGATCGATACGCGACGGAAAAGACCGACTATTGCGGTAGACATAATGTTTGTCTTTGCCGCGGCATTTACCAGCAAGAAATCAAGCCGTATATGTGCACGGAGACGGACCTGACATGTTGGGAAAAGTTTCATCGCTACTACGTTCCTAACCAACTCTTCTCAGAGAAAGGCAACCTCCGTACATCATCATCGCTGTACAAGTTGAAGGAGGCGTCCATGGTACCCTCAAACACTCCGACAGAGCAACCTCGACCTCGCGCCGCTCGATCGATCGTGAGCGATCTGAACGATACTTCCGTGTGAGTAGGTTGACAATGCTTGAATATGTAAATGTACGAAGGAGGCTTCCTATGCTACCTTGCTAAATTGTTATTCCGTGTGTACAGCGCTGATGCGTGCGCGAACTTGAGTTGCACATTGGTCGCTGGTTATAATGTAGTGGGATTTACAGATTATCTAGCTGCCGTTCCTACCAACGCAATAGTGCAATCTCGTCGGTCAGTCCGCTCGGTGCTGCCATTTGTCGTTCCGCATGGACAACGCGTCCAGGACGTGCGTGGAGTCGCCCGGCGTCTTGTCCAGTCATTCGTCTCGGGGTTGACTAGGACGTCCAGAAGCAGCGTGGTGGTGTCGGCTACCTAGTCGTCAGCAGCCTGCTGTAAAACAACCTGCACAACAGTCATCGCCTTCAAGGTGGCAGCCTCTCCCACCATGATGACTGCCCAGAATGATGACCTTCAGTAGCGTTGAAGGGCAGATGCTGCGCACTTTCGGTAGCCATGGGATGCAGTGGCCCAGTCACGATGTCTGCCGAGATGATACATGGTATCGAGAAGCTTGGCCACGCCCACGGTCAAACGCAGACCTGATACCCAAGTCGTTGGCGAAGCTCACGCAGTACAGCGCCCTACGGCTTAGTGGTGTGGCAGCCGGAGAAACCTCCGTAGCGTACTATCCAGCCGTGTAGAAGTAGCAATCGTACCGTGGTGGGCAGGATTTCGCCTGCACGCCCGGCATGGCGGCATGAACTTGGGGATGTCGCCTCGTATGACGCCAAGCTCGGTGTCCAGCTGTAGCAAAGCGTTCCGCGGCTGCGACGTAGACATTGATCGTAGGGTTCAGCAGCACCGACGCCAAACACGATGTCCAGCAGCACCGACGTCGAGTACAGCGTCCAACAGCTCGGATGTAGACGCCAAGCATGACGCACACCAGCACCGACGACTCTGCGGCTTTGCCGCCACGAACGAGGCTCAGAAGTATACCGAGATCCGGCAACTCCGACGCCGAGCATGACGCCCACCAGCACCGACGACAAACATGGCGTCAGCGGCTCCGACACCAAGAACGAAGCTCAGCAACTCCGACGTCGAGCACGGCGTCCAGTGGCTTCGAAGAAGCCCTCGAGTGCATTACTCAGCGGGCAAGGGTGTGAGCTTCGCGGGGCTGACTTCGATCATGACGGCCAGTATCGAGACCATGTCGACGCGCACGGTGCGCAACGGGCCTTCGTGTTGCTGGAGGCGAACAGGGCGCGGTGGACATGCTCCTTGTGGCGTCTGCCCAGACGCGGGACTCGTCATGGGCATGGGGTCTTCAGCTTGGCAGCATCCGTGAGCATGGGGTTCGTGTGTAGGGCTCCGAGTAGCTTGGTGGCAAAACGCTGGCGCAGTTCGCAGGAGCCGGCAAAATCGGAAGTGAGCGATTGATTTGAAGCGGCGCCGTGCGCGCAAGATCGCGGTTTGGCGCCCAAAGCTTTAGATAGTTCCACCAATTGCCGCCCGCTGCTACATTGACCAGCCAATCACCACACAGCGTTATCACGATCGCTACCAGTGATTGGCGGGATTAGCAAAACCGAAGACATAGGCGAAACTCTCTGAGCGATTATTGGTAGAAATAGAGGAAACAAAAAGACCGCAAAAGCTTGGACAGGTCTGCCAAAAGCTTGGATACGCTGCAGCTAACCGCAAAATTTGCGTTTTGCCTGAATGGGTACGCTGCCGATCGATAGCGACGCACGTACCTAAAACAATACGTGTGGTAGGAAGAGGATCTAGAACAAGCGGAAATGGTAGTTCATACAGTTAGAAATAAGCACCACGGTAGTCTGCAAAAGCTACCTGCCGTACACGCGCAGCAATTTCACCCCTGCCGCCTCTGTCGTTCACACCACCGTATTGTTCCGGTGTCACCGCCGCCGCACCAGCTGTATTTAGCACCGCCATTTGGCCGTCGCAGAAATCTAATCAAACGATCAGTAACGGTATGATGGCGCCGGCAAAATTGCGCGTTGCTCAACTCCGTTTGCGTAAGGGTATGCGCCTTTAATGGCGCCGCGGTGTCCTGGCGGCAGCCCCACCCCGCGCGCGCTGTAGGCAACGTGGACACTTTGGCCACAGCGATGGTCTGCACCCAGCACTACTCAAGCCTGCATCCAGCACTACTCAGGTTACCACCTGCGTAATCTTGTTGCTGGCAGCGTGCTCGCTGCCCGGCACATTTTGCGTGGTGATATTGCCGTTGATGGCGCCGTGGCGTCCTGGCACCTGAAATGCCAAGCTATTAGTAGTAAACGTCGATCGCCATGACCATCACGTGACCCTCCCCCTGTACTACTCACTGATGCGTCACCACTATCTGTATGCAATCGCTCACTTCCGATTTTGCCGGCTCCTGCGAACTGTGCCAGCGTTTTGCCACCAAGCTACTCGGAGCCCTACACACGAACCCCATGCTCACGGATGCTGCCAAGCTGAAGACCCCATGCCCATGACGAGTCCCGCGTCTGGGCAGACGCCACAAGGAGCATGTCCACCGCGCCCTGTTCGCCTCCAGCAACACGAAGGCCCGTTGCGCACCGTGCGCGTCGACATGGTCTCGATACTGGCCGTCATGATCGAAGTCAGCCCCGCGAAGCTCACACCCTTGCCCGCTGAGTAATGCACTCGAGGGCTTCTTCGAAGCCACTGGACGCCGTGCTCGACGTCGGAGTTGCTGAGCTTCGTTCTTGGTGTCGGAGCCGCTGACGCCATGTTTGTCGTCGGTGCTGGTGGGCGTCATGCTCGGCGTCGGAGTTGCCGGATCTCGGTATACTTCTGAGCCTCGTTCGTGGCGGCAAAGCCGCAGAGTCGTCGGTGCTGGTGTGCGTCATGCTTGGCGTCTACATCCGAGCTGTTGGACGCTGTACTCGACGTCGGTGCTGCTGGACATCGTGTTTGGCGTCGGTGCTGCTGAACCCTACGATCAATGTCTACGTCGCAGCCGCGGAACGCTTTGCTACAGCTGGACACCGAGCTTGGCGTCATACGAGGCGACATCCCCAAGTTCATGCCGCCATGCCGGGCGTGGTGCACCTGTGCAGGCGAAATCCTGCCCACCACGGTACGATTGCTACTTCTACACGGCTGGATAGTACGCTACGGAGGTTTCTCCGGCTGCCACACCACTAAGCCGTAGGGCGCTGTACTGCGTGAGCTTCGCCAACGACTTGGGTATCAGGTCTGCGTTTGACCGTGGGCGTGGCCAAGCTTCTCGATACCATGTATCATCTCGGCAGACATCGTGACTGGGCCACTGCATCCCATGGCTACCGAAAGTGCGCAGCATCTGCCCTTCAACGCTACTGAAGGTCATCATTCTGGGCAGTCATCATGGTGGGAGAGGCTGCCACCTTGAAGGCGATGACTGTTGTGCAGGTTGTTTTACAGCAGGCTGCTGACGACTAGGTAGCCGACACCACCACGCTGCTTCTGGACGTCCTAGTCAACCCCGAGACGAATGACTGGACAAGACGCCGGGCGACTCCACGCACGTCCTGGACGCGTTGTCCATGCGGAACGACAAATGGCAGCACCGAGCGGACTGACCGACGAGATTGCACTATTGCGTTGGTAGGAACGGCAGCTAGATAATCTGTAAATCCCACTACATTATAACCAGCGACCAATGCGTAACCCGGCTTTTCTTGTCCACAGTACACGTCTGATGACAGCTCCAAGCGACATTAATCACAACTGTAGTGAAAGACAACTTAGCATGTAATACAAAGAGAAAAAGAAATTGACAGGCTTACAACTCGTGCAAACTGGCGCTTGCCTTACGCTAGAGTTTGTAGTAGTGTTCTGTCAGACAGAACGTTTCACAGCTATGACGGTGAAAGCGCTTTGGTGGCAGTGTGTCGGGGGCCATTCCGAACGGCTGTTCCGCTAACCACTCAGGAAAACGGTAGTAGCAGCACTTCTCGCAGTTGCAAATCTTCCGCTGGAGTCGCTCGTCTTCAAGCTGCTCGGCCAATACGTCCACAACTTCCATGGCCCTCGAAAGAAAATCCATCAGATTGTAGCTTCGCTCACGCTTGAAACCATCAACAACGTGCCGGTTGCGTGCGTCGTCACTAGCAAGAGCGTCGGCCTGTAGCGCAACATATTTCTCCACATGAACGTCTAAAGCACGGTGTTTTCGCGATAGGTACGCATCCAGATACTGTAGTTGAGCTTTGATATCCTTGCGGGTGATCTATAACATCATCAAGTGAATGCAAGTAAGCGACCTAAGAAGCCATTATAAAGTTCCGACAAAAAGCTTACCTCAGAGATATCCATCGAAGTCTTCAACCAACGCATCATAAAGAGAAAGTCGTGTAGGAGCTTACCGGTGAACTCACCGCCGCTTTCCCACGCAGCAGCATAGACAGCGTACATTTATTTCACTGGTAGCGCCGCAATGAAATCATCTACGTCCACCGAGGACCCGAACCCGCGCTCGTATTCCTTGACATGACCCTTAGCAATCATACATTTTACCGAACGTCATAATGTACAAACGTACTCGGTCTTCCGAAGGCCAGTAGACTGGATTGAGGGCGTCAAACTCTACTTCCATTTCACAGCTGAAGAAAGAAAGTGCCTGTACAAGGGGAAACAATAAGGATGCTGTTTGATGGAGATTATATGCTATGCCATGCCAACCGTTTTGAGATTTTCCGCTGGATCACCGTAAATGCGCCTGCCATCCGATGCGTGTAGTTTGATCGGAGCATCAAACTGTACAGGACAGTTAGCAACCAATCCACACGCAAAAACTTTCAATACGCACGAGAAACCTTTACATAGTCGCCTTTGCGACGGAAATCCATCTTTGGCGTACGCGGCGAGTTCGAGACTGACACTCAGCCTCCATTCACCACCACGTTAAATCAACCGCAAGTACCACGACGGTTTCGTGCAGCCGCCTTCAAGCTCCTCATCTACCAAAGACAGGAATCTATCGCGTAAATTTCATCACATTTAGCAGGGTTTCATCTGTTTTTGGAGGTGAAAGCCCAGCCGAGCATACATTACCCCTATTCGCCTTACACTGGATTGGTCAAAATAAAACTGGGTGAGGTTGAGCGCCCCTTCGGGTGGAAGGAGGCATTATGCCCCTTTCAAAGGGTTGGAATCGCACCTTGTTTTCAAAAATACCTCGATGGGAGCATTATGCACCCTTCGTTCACGTAAGGGTTAAAAGCAATTAAAATTGTAAAAAGTAGAACTCGGCGTATGAATGCACTATTTTTTTTCGGTTATTGCCTAGCACCCGAGTGTAGTACAGCTTGGCAATAACTTTTTTGTTATTTATAGCTAAGCAATGTACTTCGAATTGTTCTTCTTAGTGCCTGCCCCCCCCCCCCCTATTTATTTTTCTCGGTTAACGCCGATTGCGCTCAGGGTGAGCTCTGCTTCAACGCCGCATACCGTGTATCCCAGTCCTCCGTACTGGCGGCTACGGTTGAATTACCCCCTTGCGAGGGATTAGGAAACTGTGGTTTGTTTTCTTTTGGTCGTCGCTACCAGCCATGAACAGTCTGCGGCAGAGTTGACTGCAGGACCCCTCTCCACCCTGTTTGGCTGCTTGCAGCCAGGGGCGTAACTAGGCCCGATTAGGTGGGGAGGGGGGGCACCCCCCCACTTTTGCCTCCACCTCGCTTTGAATGCTATAATGCTTACTATTTTTTGCCCCAAGTCCCGTGCCCCCCTCGAAAACAAGGCGCCCCCCCCCGTTTGACCCTAGCTCCGCCCCTGCCTCCTCCCTCGAGGTAAAAGCGATGCAGAAGAACAAGACATCGGAACATTATCATCGATATCTAGTCAATGCACGACGTAATACAAGCTTTCAGGTACTGTAATCATGGTTAGGATCCATACACTATCGTATACTCGGGGCTACTCATGCACGCACGCGCATGACTGAATGCACAGGTCAGGTCATGGATCAGGTCATGTCGAAAAGTTTGTGGGTCGCACTGCGATGCTCCTTCGCACCGATAACGACGCCACTACTCATCCCTCACCGAGTGCATGCATGTAGTACAGTCGTGCACCGCTACATGTAATTCGGCAGGGCTGACTCTAGTTTATATATACAAACCTAGCAGAAATCCGTTTTTTTTCAAGTATCTATCACTTAAAAAGTATTAACATTTGAATGGTTAATTAAGTTGTGATTTTATACGAGGTGCACGATAGTAAATCTAGAACCGATTATTGGGCCGGTGGCCTCGAGAACGCCACTCAGCTTTTACGCGGACGGCCGTCATAGCTTGTTGCTGAGGGTCGTTGATGCAGTACTCGGTAGTGAAGTTGCAACCAACACAGGAAGGTCATGAAGGGCACAAGGCCGTGAACAGTGAAGTTAAAAGTCTCCGCAGCACTTCTTCTCGGCGTCTTCGAAGGCTTGTCCTATTGGTCAAGCTAGTAAGGATAGCATCCCTCAGGAGAAGTCAAGCTAGAACGCGAAAGATCAAGCGACTCCTAGCCCGCCAACGTTGAAACAAAGCCTCTACTCCATGCTGCTGCAAGGTCCGGTCGCGACGGTGGCAGCAGTTTGTCTGGACGCTCTGGTACATTCTCCTCAAAACCGCCCCTAACGATACGGTGAACCGTGTCATGAACACGGAGTCGTTCGCCTATGGCTCGTTTGGCCTTGCGGTGTTCGCTGCTGGCTATGTTGCAATCATTATCAAGATTACCATGTCGACGCGAGCGAAAGCGAGCGTGTATGGTTTATCAGAATACAGGCAAAGAACTGCTGATGGAAAAGAGACTGTGAGTGATCAAACCGACGGCCGACTGACTTCTGCGATCATGAAAACTGTATCATTACTTGTCCACAACGGTAGCTCAGCGCGAAAATCCTTTGTAAGTATCGCTGCCCACTCGACTCATCATGGTTGCACTAATCGGATACTGGTTTGTCTTGCGCTGCCTGCCTGTAGAAACTCGCGATGAAGTTCGATGGTCTTGCCGTGGAAACCGCTCTTCTCTATCAAAAGCTCGAGCCTGGTTTGCCTACAGTCCTTATCGGAATCTTTACCGCCGCTGTAACATCGAACGCGCTTTCATGTGCTGCGGTGATGTTCATTCCGTACGAACGTTCCCTGCTAAAATCCTCATCGATTGCTTGCAACTTGATGATCGTTGCATTTTTAATCTATTCGCTTTCTAAGGCTCATGCTCAATCTTTTCAAATATTTTCTAATCTCCAGGTTTGACTTGCTCATCATTATTGAGTGCCTGATGCTCGTGGTGCTTTACGGCTTGTATGCCTTCACCTTTGACCGAGCCAAGTTCACAATCAACATCGAGGTGTACCCGACGGACTGGCTTGAACAGAGCGGAAGTGTTATTGCGGATCCTGTCCAGACTGCAGTTATCAACATACACAAGTCTCAAGTCGCTGCGAATCATGTCTGGGCTGGACGTCTTCATTCGGATCGGCATCAATCTCATGCTCTGCCTTCGGCTTCGGTGCGTCGTCGACTTGCAAGAAAACCCAACAAAACAACACACCAGCATATATCTGAGCGGAACTACCCAACCGTGGTTCTTATGATCGTATCCGATATCCATCTCGTGGTGTTTGTCGAAGAGAGCGTGCGACCGTCTGCGATCGCGTGCAATACTCACCCAGAGTGTGTCGTTCACCACGCCCCTGGATAACCCACACGAGCAACTCGTTGACACGATGCCCATGCTTGATGACGATCGATCGTGATATTGCGCCGAATACGTAGGCTGAATGCGTGAGTCTAGTCAAATTGACCGAGAAAGTGGCCCAACTTGCTGCGAAGAGGGGAGGGGGCTACAAACCTTCAGTTGACGAATCGTTACTTGCCAATTCTTCATGAAAAGCTATTCGTCGCTGCTCCTGCATGCACTGTATTATAGCATAGGTTTCATATGTATTCCGTTTTAAAGTTCATTATTTGTGATATAGACTAGGAAATGTACCGTAGCAAATCATACTATAATATTTCAGATGCCTAAATTACTATAAGGGTATACATTATAGAAGGTATTTTGAATTTGAGTGCGCACTTTGTGAATTTGAGTGCGCGTTATGAGAATAACGCCATGCAATGGTGTAGTTATTAACTAGTAATGGAGCATCTCAGTCGCGTTGCCCCGTTGAGTTGCTTAGGGGGTCGACACCCTGCAGTGGAGTCTCCACTTCAGGCCGACGTCCCCACCCTCTAATTGATCTTATCAATCACCATTAGCACGTAGTGAAGCAAACTTAGGGCTAAGGGCGTGTTCGCGACCGTTGCAATTTAGAGTCTCAGTTTAACCCGTGCAGGTCATCAAACCAATAAGCAATTAGCAACACTGGTGGAGCTGATGATGAAGTCTTCATTATCAGCAAATAACGTTACTATCTGTCGCGAGGTCAAGATAATCGACGTCAATTACACACCAGCAGCAAGAGAGCACTATTAATAATGATGCTGGACTATATCTCGCGAAACCCTAGACCACGGTTAACCGCAAGGGTGAACTGCAGCACCAGCGGTTCAAGATCAATTAGTGGTAGCCGACAGCCCAAAGCAAATACATGTAGCAAGGGATAATTGTTGTTAAAAGCTATAATATTCGGTTTCGATTTTCCAGACAGCATCTCGGATCCCGATGCCCGCCGTACTTCCTCTCTAGTGCTACTGTAACGAGTTCTGACGCTGCTCGAAGTGCTGTCGCTGCGCTTGCACCAACGTCCGCCGGGGTGTAAGTTACTGCAACGGCCACCGCGAAGTAGCCGGACGTAGTCCTATTTATTAACCTCAATACACACGCTGCTGTTCGTCACTGCAACTTGTTCGTCTTCCTCTTCCGCTTCAACTTGCTTGTCTCCTGCGGCTCGCTCGCTGCACTCGACTCGAGCGTCGCCCGTAGCCCGCCTCACCACACGTACTCGTGCGTTACTAGTCTGTTGGCTGGCGCCGACTCGCTGGTCGTCGCCCGCCTCACCCCGCACTCGTGCGTACCGGTCTGTTGGGAGCCTGTGAGCTAAGCCGTCGCCTGGCGCCTCCCGCTCGCCGCTCGCTGTCTGCTACTGTCTGTTTCTGCTGGCCACGCTGTCGGCCTGCTAGCGTCTCGGGTAACTTGACTGGCACCCCACTCCGCCAAATCTGGAGTGTGAGGCACCGAGCGCTGGCCGCCGCTTGCTGCCTCGTGCCTCCAGCAACTCAGAGCCCCGCGCCGCTTGGTTTCTCGGCTCGCGCCGGCCCGGGCTCGCTCTGGCGGCTGTTGGCGCCGAAGATCGCGAACGTGCGGCGCTCGTACGTCGCCACCACACGCTCCAGCGACTGCTCGTTCATCGCACCTCCCCAGATCTTCGCCCAGCACACTGCCGCCGCTGTCATAGATGTAGCCATGTACATAAGGTACAGTGTACCCGTTACACTACCATATCACTTATACTATATCACTTAACACAATTTAAAAATTGTTACACTATCGCAAGATTCCCTATTCTATCGGCAGCAAGTGGTTGCGAGGAGCATAGCCAAAGCAAACCCGCGCGGGAGCATGTCCGCGTAGGAGGGCCCAGCGACCAGCAGGGCAGCGAACGAACCCGTCGTTGCGGCTTGGAGCAAGTTGCGTAGTGCGGGGTGTGGGCCCCCAAGGTATAAGGAGACCATCTGCGCCACTGCCAGGAGCTATCTGTAGGCTACAGGCTGCATGGTGAGCGTAGCACATGCAGGCAAGTTGAAGTGCACTCTCTTTTAGCAATTCTACCCTTCCCAGCACTAACTCACTCGTAGTAATGGATGCAAGCGCTGACTTGGCGCTCTAAATCAGAGTGAAGCGAGGACTTGGTGGCATATTGTTTGTGCTCGGTGCGATCTAAAGTATAGCAATTTATCTAAACCCGCGATTCGCTTCCCGCTGCTTGTTTGATTAGCGTTCATCGTCGAGGCTAAATCGTGTCCCCCACTTTAATGGCATCTACCCCTTCTCAGAAGGGGCCACTCCGGTTTTTACGCAGTAAAGCGCTTCTATGGATCTAAAGAGGGTTCTTCAACCAAGGTTTTTTGCGCAATTTTTGACCCCGGGGAAGCGATTCTAGATGTATTGTGGAAACCGATTAGATTGTCCGAGCGGATTAGCTGATAAAGCAGCGTTCATGAGAGATTTGACTGGTACTAAATCGGGGATCCTTATGATTGCATATGTCATTGGTAAGGGTATAAATCATTGTAGCGGGATTGCCTCATTACCCGCCAGCAATACGCGGAACGACCACTTACCACCACGAGCTGACTGTTTCGCGCTCCTACAAACGAGCAATAGCATCGCATGCATAAATACTTCTCTGTGAGCAGTCGACGTGTACTGCTATCTATTCATCAAGTTGTAAAGCCATATATTTGCGCTGTCATTTCTCGTCAGCATTAGCGTTTGTCGGTTTTACCTTAAATCCGCCGCCGAATGCCGAGTGGGTGTCGGACATTCGGGCTGATTAGCATGCAAATCAGTCGTCCAGAGCTTTGTAAGCACTGAGCAGCTAAATCAGCTTGCCACATGGCGTTGTAGGCACAACAGACTGCTCTGTCAAATCAGAGTGCAAAGCTTAGGCTGTCGATCTAATTAGGAGGTCGGATTTAGTAAATCAGACCCGATTAAGCTTAATCATCTGCTTAACCAGCCGATTTATATTCCAATTAGACAATCTAATCGGTTCCCACAATAAACCCTAACCATTCATGTCTCAGATTAAGAGAGGTAAGTAAAGCGAGGTAAGAAATAGAGTAAAGAGGAGTGATAGATGATTGATTATAAGAGGGGACTTCGTCCCCAACTAGTGGTGGATGGAAGTAGGGGAAACGAAGGCTTTGGGCTTAACTACTAGTCCCTATAAGACTCGCGCTTGCTGCACGGTACATCATCTTCGGTATAAAGGCTCTTTATTTTTGCCAGGTACGTATGACGGATAGTCAAAACAGGTTGGGCGCGAACTTGGCCGATGTGATCATGCCCCATGAAACAAATTCTTCGAATTAGGTCATTCCGGGACAGCCGACTTGTTGCGGATGCTGTAAGGCGTTCCCGCAGTACTGATAGCTATAGGTTACTACAAACAGGCAATTTTTACTGCGTTCCAATCGAGTATTGCAATATTTCTTGGGTGTGCAGTTGAGTATTGGTATTGCATTTACCATGCCAATAGTGTCCTGCAGTTTAAATTTTAATCCGCAATAAACCCCAAGATATTTTTTTCCAATCACTGAAACAAAGTGGCCCCAGCGGCGACACTTACTGTCATCGGCTGGAAGGCCCGCCGATACCAGCGCCTGTGGCGCCATGCAATGGCACAATGTGGAGGCGGTGCCCTGCAGTTGACAATGTCGAGTCAATTTGCTACAACGCTCGGTTCATGGCGGTCGCCTGCACCGCAAACCCGTTTCCAATCAAGATGCGGTCGCACAGGGCGTGGGCGACAAATGCGACCCGGAGGTTGAAGCATAGCTCGGATGCTACAGACCTCCGTGTATGACATACACGGGGGTTATCCTTCGCACATACACTGTGTGTCCATGCCTCTGCTCGAAAGTTGAACGAGCTGCTTCTTTCGGTCTCGTGTCACGTGGCGATGCGCGGGGCGGATGTCGTTCTGGTGGTGGCGTTAAACAAACACACGAAGCAGAGCTGCGATACGCCCCCATCTTCCCTGATAATGCAGCTTGACATGGCTACACTTGATTGTAGGTGAACATCTTTATCTTTAGCGCTGTCCTTCGCTGCCATCGCCGATGCGTGAGCGAGACGGCGGCAGCAAGCTTTGCCTGTGTCTGGTTGTTGCCCTTCAGACCCGGAGCGCTCGGGCCAAGCCGCCATCCTCGCGCTTTGAAAACCGGGGATAGCCCCGCCTGTAATGCCGGAAGACGGCGGGTTTGCAGGCCAGCAGGGTCCGCAAGCTGCGCTTGCGCAAAAGGCGCGTGAGTAAGGTGCGTCCGCGGCAGCAGCTGCCCGGCCGTGTCAACGCGTCTTGCTTTTGCGCTGTTGCCACCTCTCTCCCTATGTCTGCGCGGGCAACGCGCGCCGTCTCGATCTGCACTGCAAGTTGGCCTGTGCCAAGATGAAACACGCAGCGGATAATAATGCAGCGCTGTTACACTTGACGGTCTCTATCTCTCTCCACGACAGGATCCTCCTGCCTTCATCGCCCTTTGTATCATCCGCACCAAGCATGTCGAAGTGAACGGTCACATCATCGGCATTTCGCCATGATTGTAGCCATATGATTTGTGGACACCTGCTACCTTGCTCGGCTTGATCGATTCTTTTGGTCATAGCCGGGCGCGCAAGTGTGGCCAACACCTCTGAATTGGGTCTGCAAATGGGGACTCGAGGCGGTTTGCAATGCCCAAAAGATGCTGGATCGAGCATTGCAGTCGCTACACGTGGCCGCCCCCCGCTTCCACGATGACAATGAGGTGGCAACAGCAACTTTACCCCTCCCCATGCATCGCCGAGGAAGGCGTTGCTCCGTGCGGGAGGAGCGCTAGTTGACGCAGCATTACTCTGAAGCACCGGAAACCGCAAAGCACCTCATTCAGGTGGGCATACTGAGAGTGGAGACCTACGGTATGGGCATGGATAAGGCTGCACGCCATAAAACTTTCGTTGCATGATGCATTCGTACTCTACAACGCTGTCGTCGTCGTTGTCACACAAGTCGAGGCTTGCGTAATGAGCTACATGTATTAGGACACCGCGGCGACCAGCTAGTAGCTCTTTTATCTGAACCCATTTCTCCGTTGCGAATGCACGAGTTGCGGAGATAATCGAGTCGTAGCCTACGACTCTGAGTTCCTGTTCGATTTCAAAGATCCCATCTCAGTGGTTGAAATGCTAATTGCGTTCGGATCTGGTACGTATCTATCGAGTCCTCTCCGCTTTCCTTCCGCTCAGAGCCTCTGAGCGGAGTCGGGGCTGCGCTGTGCTGCACAGGCAGCAAAGCAAGCTGGCAAGCAAGCAAAGCTCGTCGATCCGAATGAGCAACTTCGACGTGCCCATTTTCGGATTTTATGGGTGCCGGTAAAAAGAACGTCCAGCGTGTAGAACCGGAGCGTGATCGCCCGGTGCTGGCTGTGTTAAATGCATGCAACATTTGACCGCTTCAGCCGCTACCTTCCGTTAACAACGGATTCCCTCTGGTTTCCAGCGTGAGCCCAATATAGGTTTCAAGCCATTTTCTATTTAAAGGAACATTTAAAAACCAATACCCTTACAATAACTATTTTTTGCCTGCGCGAGTCTGTTCGTGATCGGAGCGACAGGGCGCAGAGCTGGTTGCCGAATGAGGGGGGGCTGAGTCGGCTACATTACGGTTACAGGCAAGATAAAGCCCCAACCTTCTCTTCATTCCTCATCTTGCCGCCTCCCGCGCAGGCTCTCACTTCAACACTCCCCCCTCAACACTCAGCCAGCACGAGTGCCGCCACATACATGCGCATGCAAATGCCGCCGCCCTCCGCGCTGGCCGGCGCCGAGCCCGTGGTGTTCGCGTCCACCAAGCCCCTGCCCGCCTTCCGCAGCATTGACGACGAGGAGGATGCGGCGGCGCATCTCCCCCATCCTCCTGCCTCGTCAAGTTTCCAGTCCTCGTGGACCGAGGCGGAGGCCGACGCCGCCGCCAAGAGCCCGCGCCAGCCCAAGCGCGACGTGTTCGTGTGCCCCGAGGTGCACTGCGGCAAGCAGTTCCCGCGCTCGTTCGCGCTGCGGCGCCACATGCGCATCCACACGGGCACCAAGCCGTACGCGTGCGACTACCAGGGCTGCGCGCAGCGGTTCAACACGTCGGGCAACCTGAGCCGCCACAAGCGCATCCACAGCGGCGAGCGGCCGTACCCGTGCTGCTTCGAGACGTGCGGCAAGCGCTTCAACACGAGCACCAAGCTCAAGCGCCACATGCGCATCCACTTCCCGGACGGCCAGAACCTCTTCCGCTGCACCGAGCCGGCGTGCTCGTGGGCCTGCGACAACTACAAGGAGTACGTGCAGCACCAGAAGCTGCACAGCAGCGTGGCCGAGGGCTTCAGCCACGCCGCCGACGAGAACGTGAACGCCAGCAACGGCAACCACCTCCTGGACAGGCGAAGCCCCACGAGCCTCAAGTCGAACCGCGTCATGCCCTCCCCCATGGGCCTCATGCAGCCCGACGCAGAGCCCCGACACGTCGAGTTCCCGCAGCAGTCGGTCATGCACGACGACTTCTACCAGCAGGACCGCAGCCGCATGTTCGCAGTTCCGGGTCCGAGTCCCATGATGATGCACAAGGAGCCTCAGCGGGAAGAGAACGACTACCGCCGAGTGGCGGGCCCGGTGCTAGCTGCCAAGTCGTTCATGGACGACCGGTCGCAAGCCCCCGCTCCGAGGTTGCCGTTCCCGACTCGCGCCTTCCCGTCCGAGACGGTGGGGATGCCCAGCAGCGGCCTCTTGGGCTCGTCGTTCCACCCGCTGACCCACTTGCCGCCGACGTCCTCGCACCGCTACTACGACTCAACCACCCCCGCCAGCTCCGTGGAGATGGCGACGTCTAGCAGCCCGAGCTACGCGTCAGTGGGCTCGTACGCGTCAGCTCAGGCCCCGTACTCGTCGTACCGCGACACCAACGTGTTCGTGAGCTCGTACCAGCCGACGTCGACCACGACGTCGTTCATGGCCACGTCCGAGCCGTACTCGCAGCCCATGCGCCAAGAAGACATGGAGCGCCAGTACGAGAGCTCGTCGCCGCACAACATGCAGCAACCGCAGTCTCCGCCGCAGCAGCAGGCGCAGACCCAAGCAGGGTACGGCTCGAACCCTGCGCCGGCCGAGTTCACGGGCGAGGAGCTCAGTGCGGTGCTGGAGCTCATGAAGGACTCCTAAGCGGTGTGATAGGAGGAGGACCCGAGAGAGAGGTGTATGTTATAAGCTCCTGGTGGACTCTAGTATGGAGAAATCTGGGAGTGGAAAGTATTTTTGTTGCTGAAAGTAGTGAGGTAGGAAGACCCCGAGGGGAAGTCTGCAGGTTACTGTTGTAAATAGTATTGTACTGCGGTCATGGTCATTGACAACAACAACACCATCGGGACGGCATCAGATGCTGCCACGCGGGACCTGCACTTCAACACAGACGGACGATGTCCATGCATGAAATGGCTTAATTGATTGACGTCGGTCAATTGGAGATGAGTCGAGTGTCTCGAGCTAGTCGCATCGGAGCCCGTGGTGACCAACTGCAGAGGCTGTTGCGGCGGATGGAGACGGGTTTAATCTTGGCTGAAGACGCGGCGTTCGTCTGCACTGCCGACTTGTCCATCCTGTCCTCTTTTGGCTTGCGGAGACTTTGGACGTTGCAGTTGCCGGTTGGGGGAGCAGGGTGATTTTTGAAGCGGCGCTGGTGGTCAGAGAGTGGGACTCTGACGCGCTGCGCGTCAACCCAATCACAGCGCAGCGTGAATCAGCCAATCCGAGTCTGGCTACACGATTACGCATCCGCGGATACCCAAAATGCGCTGTTTTGGGCGAGGTAGCCATCTCTTTGTTTTGGGCGGAAAACTTCAACTTCAACAGGCCCGCCATCGTTTCCTTCCTCTGTTCAAGGACCCAGCACTGGACCGCAAATACTAAATCAAAACTTCTGCAGCGTCTTCATCGTCACCTCAGTCGCTCGGGTATCAGAAGCCGAGCAGGTTGCTGCTGAGGGGGTGAACGCCTCACTTGTCGTCACTCAGATCGCAGTCTCCCAGGAACCCATGCGCCACGATCAGACACGGTGAACGACTGAAGGTTCTCGAGTGATGCAAGGTCTGGAATGGTTGTAATGCCAGGCAAGACCATCAGAACGAGGCGCTCGAGGGCTCGAGTCTGCGAAGACCATCGAAAGACGGAGCTCTTCGAGAAGCAGGAAACCGGCCAGAGTCAGCGACTTGAGGCTCGAGAGACCATCAAAAGACCATTGGAAGGAATGCTTCGAAGTGAATATAAGTGTGAGAACCGACATGTCTTCGAACAAGTCGTCAGGCATGTACACCATCGGGCTGGAAATTTGCTTTCCACGCGCCTAGGACATTTTACCGCCACCATTGGTAATAAAAATTAACACGGCGGTATTTACATCAATAACTAAATTCAACGTTAACCCCAGGAGATGGTTAGACGGACGGATCCGGACCTCTAGAATGAACCAGAGTATCGAGAAGAGCCCCCGCGTGAAGATCAGGGTTCACCCGTAGAACGAGACAACGTCAAGAACAAGAAAGAGGAAGCTGTAGAAGAAGAGAGAAAAAAAACAGTAAGACCACCAGGATTTTAATGGCCAAGGCTAAATAAAGTCACTTACTACTACCAATAACTAAATTCTTCATCTTGCCTGGTTTCTAGCTCGCTGGAGCTGGACTGCTCTGAAACAGGCTCGTGGCACTGAGCTGGCGCTGTTGGACAAGCGCGCTGGTTGGAAGTTGAGACTAGGGTGAGAAATACGGTCTCTATTGTGGTCATCTGAGAAACTGAGAGATCTTTACTTACGAGCTGAGCACGGATGTTTTCGTGACTTTTATCCTGACCCAAAAAGGGAAAACGAACGTAGCACTTCTAAGCCAATCTAGCATGGAGGGGGGGGGGAATACTTGTACGTTTTTTGATATTTGGTTTTAGTGGAAACTAGATTCGTTCTCCGTTCTCACCATGTCTTCTGTAATCCTTCTCAAAGAGCACGCGGTGTCCTCGTTTGACTCCACAGCCTAGAGCGCCTGGTTCTGGACTACGTGCCACTCGAGAACCTCCAGTCTATTATAATTTTTGATGGAGGTGCTTGGTGCTGCAACGGATTCCTCGGTGACTACGATTTAAGCGATACAAAGTGTGGAGTTTATCTGGTGTGGGGGACCCCAGCAGGGGTCTACTTAAATGCCGCTGCTAAATCGACTGCCAGGGCAATAAAGACGCTACAGGAGTTTTCATGGGATTTTGTGTGGTTCTGTCCTACATACCCGATGCGGTCCAGCGCACACCAACGGGGGAGACGATGGCAGTCAGCAAAAGCGCAAAGTACATGTATCAGCAGTGGAACAAGCCCGATGAGGAATTGTGCTACAGTATTCGGTTCATGGGGTGCAGCTGCTCGCCAATGCCGTACAATATCGATATGCGCCGTTGTCAGATACTTAGTAACACTTAGCGTTGGAGACCCATATGACCCGACATTGGAATCGTAGGTAGGCGGTTATAAGACAGCACTTTCATATTTCAGTTTGTAACTAGGGCTACGCATAGGCTGGGATAGCAAATTTACGGGGGCAGCCAGAACTTTCACCACAGCAGTAGTATTACGACGACTATCAAGGTGTGCGAGCGCAACCTCAAAGCTTAACTACTCGTCGCCTCTCTTGCCTAGCAAGTGAGAGGAAGAACTATCAGCTTCATGGGCGACCTTTATGAGAAACCTGGAGCATTGAATATCTTGTATAATAGTAACGTTGCGTTTTGTTTTCTTTGCATTGTTTGTACCCTGAAAATTATCTGTAGACCACGACTTCTAGCGCCAAGATGCGCGCCGTATACCCCCCCTAGCTGCAATATCGCCGCATGTAGCGGTCGTGGGGCCATTAACGTAGTCGTAAGCTTTGAAATTTAAGGATTTCTAAAAAAATAGTCTGCTCAATGTCAAAGTTTGATATAATTGAGGGCTATAGAGTAAGTGTCTCCTGCGGTCACACATTCGGTCTTGTAGCTACTGCATTTGTACTTCGTAGTTAAAACTCGTGTTGTCCTCAAACCGCTCCAAACTTACTAGACAGTATCTACTTTTCAGATCGCATTACCAGGCAGATGCTGCGGCTGCGAAGCAGGCGCAGGAGACGCCAATGGGTAATGATAAAAAGCCTGCTATAAACTAAAAACAAAACAACTACAGATACGGTCAAAAGACCCCTATCCTAGCCATTGCGGGGCCCTAGTGCGGTGGCTAGGTACGTAGGCCGGCTGCTTGGTTTAGTGGTAGAATGTGAAATTGCACAATAGCTGTAGTCCCATGGCGCCTATCAGCGAGACCGAGGTAGACACGGCCTGCGACGTCAACTACAACAGTCAGCCGAAACCACGTCTCGAATTCAGCGTCGTAGTGAACCTGATAGTGGCGAATTATGGCGAAAAACGCGCGACCATGTTAGTGTAGGGAACTTGTGGCTGTACTGAGCAATAGTTCGCGAGATAAAGGAAAAGCAGGGGGATAGGTACGTACGTAGGTGCCGGTTGCTTTAGAATGCGAATGGCTGAAGTCAAGTGACTCGAGATCGGACTCAGTTACCAGCTCCAGTTACCGGGTCACCAGGAGAAAGACAGCGGACCACGATACCGGCCTCAGTTTACTGGCTTCAGTTACCGAGGCGCGAATTAACCCGATTTGGGCTGCCTAGCAGCATGACCTATCGGCCACTGCTATCCCAGTAAAAGCACTTGTAGCCCAACCGCTTTATCCTGCATGTATGTACATTTGATTACTGCAACAATGAACCAACCCATCAGAAATCAAAATCCCACATTGTAACAGCGTACATGTTGCTTCGGGCATTGACCAGCACAAGCCAAAGCTACTCGTAAGCATTTGGCCGCATGAAGTCTTAGCCTGCCATTTCTCAATTCGCCTCGCAAGCACCCAATCTCCGATTCAAACTTTGAATTTCAAAGCATGTCCAGCCCCAGTAGGCGCCATCGCGTCGTCCTGCTGCTTACACTCACTCTGCTGGCAACGTTATCGGCTGCAGTCCCCGGCAAGAAAAACGGCACCGCGACAATCTCGGATTCTGGGTTAAACGGTAAGCTGAGAGACAACCAGCGGCGCTTGAGGACTCGTGCTCATGCGGAAGAGCGAGGGTTCAGCGTCACGGCGCTGGCTGAAGCTATGTCCAAGAAACCGAGCAACCAGAAGCAAGTCACCCAGCTCTTCACCAAGTTGAAACTTCACGATGGACGGGCCTAGGTGTTTGAGAGCGCCCAGTTTAGAAGCTGGTTCAACAGAGTGGAGAAGGGGTATTCGAAGGCCAACATGAATTCCGAGCAGGCCACCAAGGCTATTGTGTCAACTCTGGCCGCTAAATACAGTGATGAGAGGCTCGTGGAGATGATGGTGGCGGCGAAGAAAGTCTCGTCGACAAAGAAGATGGCTACCAAACTGGAGGCTGCACAGATGCAGAACTGGTTGAGTAACAAAGTCAGCGCAGACGACGCGTTCCAGTTTTTGAAGCTTGACCTGAAGCGGTCCAGTGTCCTAGAGAGCCCGCAACTGAAAAACTGGATCAACTACATGGATATGAGGAAGGATGATCCGTACAAGTGGCTGCTCGAAGGACTGCTAAAGCTCGACGATAATAGCGCTATTCGAACCGCGGGTATGCTGGGTGCAACTAAGCAGAATTCTGCTGCGTCCCCTATAGCTCAAAACGTGGAGGATTTGCTGCTGCAAAGCTGGATGCCCAACACCGCCGATGACATTTTCAAGCGCCTAGCACTGAACAAGCAGGGCGAACAATTGTTCGAGAACCCGGCGATTGTTACCAGGGCCGCCTTTGCGACAAAACTGGACAAGCAGAATGCTGGCGAGTCGATGTTGTCGGTACTGAAGGCAACATACAGGGATGAAGTTCTTTTGTCTCGGATGCTGGCTGCAGCGAAGGAGCGTGACAGTACCAAGACTATTGCCACGAACCTCGAGAAGGCTCAGTTCAAGGACTGGAGCAGCACTGGCAAGTCCACAGATGACGTGTTCGATCTCTTGAAGCTGGACAGGCAAACGGACAGCATGGATGAGCTGTTGAAGAGCCCGTTGTTGGGCACCTGAGCGACGTACGCGGAGAATCTGAAGAAAACCCCGTACACGGAGTTGCTGACGAAGCTCAAGCTCACAGATACAGACAGCACACTCGAGAAGACTTGTCAAAGCACAGCAGAGTGCTGAAACTCGCGCTAACGTTTGGAGATTACAGGAGGGGCTTTGGTCGAGTCAAGACAGAACGGTTGAGAACGTCTTCAAGATACTCTGTGTAGATGCCGAGCCGAAGGAGCTGTTTAGAGACCCGGCGTTCCAAAGGTGGATCTCCTACGTGACCAAGCTGGATCCGAAGAACGCGGATCGAAACATCTTCTCGGTCCTGAGGGCCCGCTATAGCGTAAAGGAACTGGAGCAAATATTTGGCGTCGCACATAGAGTTGAGAGTACGCAGAAGCTTGCTCCTAAGCTCGAGGGATTGTTGCGCCGCAGCGAAACCGCGTGGATTCGCAACGAGAAAATCGATCCGAAGGTAGCGAACAAGATCATTATCACCATGTAAGTAGCTAGACATGGAGAATACACGCCATGAGCTCGAGTACATCAATCTCATCGCAAGAAACATTTGCTGGTATGTTTGGTGGTTGGTTGCTCTTTGTGCTATATACCTCCATTGATATTGTCGTTATTAAAATGAGCTAAAGACTGAATTTGTCCCATCCACCGAACCTCAGCGGCGGCATGTAGTTCGAGGCATTGGGCGTGGCTTGAACAAAAGTAAGTTTTTGCACTGTACGTAACTTGTGCTGGCTCCCATCGATTCGCTAGTGACGTGACTTATCCGGGTACGGACAGTAGGAAAGATAAACATTTGGCCATTGAAATGCAGTACTTAAGTAAGCTTATGGATAGACGTGGACAAGCAGGGAATACATTAGGTATTATATGTATTGGCATGTAATTGAATGGGGCTCAGCCGGGGCCGATCTAAGGACAGCAAAAGCCAAAATGCCATCGCAAACATTGCTACAGTACACGTATGCGCGGCGTTTGGGCTTGCCATTTCTCAATTTGATGCCCACGTGCTCGAAAGTCAACATTTGTCCAATGCCTAGCTCAGGGCTCCGCGTTGGCTTGTTGGCTGCCATCGCTCTGTTGGCATTCATCGGAGCGATACCGGTGACTGCAGTGTCGGATATGGGCACCGTTTCCCGGGTCATGGAACATTACGCCGGCAGTTTTTTTCCTTACCGTAATTTACCACCGAGAACATTCCTGAAACCTTCTTTCGGGACAGCAGCGATTTCAACGACGACCCCTCTCGACCACTTGAGAGCGAGAGCCACGTCTTTTCGATATGAGGGTAGTTTTAGAACCTCTGAACCGGTCAGATCTAATAGACGTTGATTTGACGACGCCCACTTTATAGCGAGAGCCACGTCTTTTGGATCTTAGGGCGTTTCGGGACCGCTCGTTCAAACTACATTGATAAAACCAATAGAACATTACGCCGGCAGATTTTACTAGTAGTTGGTTGAAAATCTATGTCACACACCGACATGTTCGCTTAAGTACGCCAGAAATTCTCCCTCCCTTCTTCCTCATTCCAGAATCTGCCGGCTCGAGGAAAGATGGTGAAGCTCTTCTGTGCGATCGTTGGTGCGGCGGGCAGTGCCTTTCCTGTGGACATTGACGCGGGTCAGTCGGCGGGAGACTTGAAGGACGCGATCAAGGCGAAGAACCCGGCGACTATCACGTGCGACGCCAAGGACCTGCAGCTTTCCCTGGCGAAGACGGCGGACGGCGCGTGGCTGCCAGACGACGACCAAGCTGCGCTGGATCTGGAGGACGGAAAGGTTCATGAGGACATTCAAGCGTTGATCGATGGCGAGAAGATGAAGGCTACGTGGACAATTGAGGACGTGTTGACAGCTAACAATATGACCAAACGGAAAGGGCGCGCTCCAAAGTCGAGACAAATCCACGTGCTGGTGGTAGTTCCGGAGGGTGCATTTGGTTCAGCGAGCGAGACTTCCAAGATGGATCAACTCGTCGAAAAGGTTGACAAGATGTACGAGCAGACTGTGCTGGGGAAACGCAAATATGTCCACTCGGAGGTAACCTCGACCCAGGGCAGGCAGCTTCTGAACGACTTGGATATTCGGGTGGAATTTGTGCGCACAGTTCCATTCGATGCTGGAGAGGGTTCTTCAGTTGACCCATACGAGTGGAAACGAGTGATTATTGAGAACGGCGAAGAGGTCGTACTCACTGAGGAGCAGCAGCGCAAACGATATCGCCGATACGTGGAACACAACATTGGCGCTGTGCTCAAGGAGAAGCAACTTTGCGTGATTGGCGTGGAAAGAGGCACAAACATCCTCACAGTTAAAGTTCCTGGTCGCGAAATTGAGCTCGCTGGACGTACAGATCTCCTCATACTGAGTGATCTTGTTGCGATGAGGCCGACCGAGGTGCAGTACCTGCCTGGTGTGAAGATGCTGATCGAAGTGAAGAGAGACGTTAAGGCAAGCAACGACTTCCAGGCATTGTCGGAGCTGATCGCTTTGGATCTGCTCGTTGACGACCCAGTAATGGCGCTCCTTACTGATTTGAAAGGAGAGTGGATATTCTTCTGGGTGGCCGAGAAGATAAACAGTTCTGCCCGTATCCACAAAGCGGCGATCAACAAGCCAGGTGAAGCCTTCGAGGTAATTAGAGCGCTACTGGTGCAGCCACCGACTGCACCCGCTGATACTGATACCACCGAGATCAAGCTCCCGTGTTTCCAAAGTCCCGTGAAGAGATTGAAGCTGAGAAAGGCGTTACCACCTATCGGAGAGGGTGGTGACAATGGCGGGATTCGTGAGAGCATCGAACGATACTATGACATCGCCAGCATGTTAGGTCCCGACATTGAGATGGCGCGTGCTGTGGCTCGGCAGGTCACTCGATCTATTCCCACGTTTAGTTATTTCAGCTGATTCTTGTTTGATGCAGCATTAATACATTGTTTTTTATTGATCCTGATAAATATAAAGTTACTAATATACAACGATGACGTACTCTCCTGAGCAATACCAAGCTAGCAAGGAACGTATCAAAGCAGCGCAGAAGCGCTACTACCAGCGCACACGCGAAGCCCGTTTATCTTATCAAAAAGACTACGATGACAAGAATAGAGACCAGATTCGAGCTCGCAAGCGTAAACCCAAAACCGAACTTATTGACGGTGAAGTCGAACCTAACAACGAAACCGAACTTAATTAATTAATTAATTTTTTTCTCAAATAAAAAGTCAATCCCAATATAGTCAAAGACAATGGCTTAAAACCTCCAAAAAGGTATAAGCCAAATATTTGAATTAATTAATTTCAGAATATATTGTAAATGACTAAGATATAAAGTCGATCCTGATACAAGGTCAAATAATTATAAAGTCATATCTACGGAGAATAATATAGTCAAGCATATATAGGCAACATGTTTGCATACGAACTCGAAGGATTAAAGAGATTAAATATTCAACCTATCAAATGGGGTAGTAGCTACCGTGTTAAGGTGCGTGGTAGAACGGGCAAGATGGTTTATGTTAGCAACGTTTCGCGTCCAATCAACAAGAGATTAGTATCTAAGCAGTACAGTGTTTCGATTGAAACCCTTGAAAAACACTTGTCGCCCGACTACAAGGCTGATCCTAAGTACCGCTTTTACAATGGTAATCACATGGAATCGCACCTATATGAGGGTGTCGAGCCATCTGATTTCTACAACAAGCTCGAGAACGTTCTTTCCACACAAACGAGTGCGGTTAAGGTAAATATTGCTCTCGGGTACGAACTTGTAAGCAAGACCGATCCTGACGACACTCGCTACTTCTACCCAAATCTCGCTAATACTCATGTATTCAATAATCCTATCGCTATCAATAGCAAGGCTGATATTCAAAAGAAGGTGATTTCGGAAATCCGTTCTATGGAGTTGGCTGACAAACTGAACTATCCCAGCTCTGGGTATAAGCTAAAGGCGATCACTGCATTCAAGATTTTCATCTACCATCGCGACCATGCTCTCGGGGATAGCGAAGCTGTCATCCCTAAGATTATTCGCGAAAACAAGCATGTGATCAACTTCCCCAAGACCAACAACAAGTGCGTCTTCCACTGTATCGCCTGGCATACATTCCAGAGCCCTAAGAAGGATCCTCGAAGAATTCAGGCTCAGGTGAAGGAGGCATTCAAGCGCTACTGTTCTTTCAAGGGGGTTAAATATTCGTTGAGCCTGTTTAGGAGTTTCAAGCCCATTGACCTACTACAACTCGATGAGGTTGAAGACTGCTTTCAACTTGGTATTAACGTATATAAGATGGATGTAGTTTCTGGAAATGTAGAATGTATTCGTAGATCTGACAAGGGGTATGAGACTATGGATATTTTATCGTTCGAGAATCATGCTCTTTACATCAAGAACATCGATATGCTTCAGGCTAAGTATCAATGTCCTAAGTGTGAAATGGTTTTCGTCAGCGCTGAAAGGGTTAAAAACCATAAAAAGAATCAGTGCGAGCTCGTAAATATCGAAAGCTTCCCAGCTGAGCCAACTATCTACAAACCAGCTCAGAACGCAATACGATCACTACTTACGAAGTATTCAATCAAGAATGCTGACCAGTACATTGATCACTTCATCGTTTATGACTGTGAGGCCATCCTTAATTCTACTGCGACTCAACACGGGGAGAATACTGTCTTCACGAACGAACACATTCCGGTGTCTGTATCAGTAGCTGATAGCCTAACCGAGGAGGTGCGTTGCTTTGTAAATGATGATCCGATGATGCTACTTACGGATATGTTCAAATACATCGGTGATGTATCTGTTAAGATCCAGCAGTACAATGTCAATAAGTACAAGTTGCTTCTACAGAAAATCATCAACGCCCACGGTCTGACCGGTATGGAAATTCCAGGAGTGAATCTTGGTAAGAAGTACAACATGACTGACGTGATGAATTGGATTAAAGAAGGTAAGTATGGTAGCTTCTTTGATTTCCATAATATTCTTGGTTTGGAAAGCAAAGGTCTGATTACGGGAAACTGAAACAGCAGCTTGATCAGGTACCAGTATTTGGTTTCAATTCTGGCCGGTACGATATTAACTTGATTAAGAAGGATTTGTTTGCCGTTATCGGTACCGACAACATCAAATCTGTCATCAAGAACCCCAGCTACATGTGCATTGCTACATCGAACATGAAAATGCTTGATATTAGCAACTATGTACCTGCTGGTACCAGCTACGAAAAGTATCTCACAACATACCTCGGTGGCTGCAAATGTGATGACAAAATTAGATGTGTCTGTGGTCTTGGTAAAGGTCTTTTCCCTTACGAGTACATCACTTCCTTCAATGTACTAAACCAGACCACATTACCACCTAAGTCAGCTTTTGACAGCAAGCTTCGTGGAACAAGCATCACCGATGATGACTACGAACGAGTGAAGTTCGTATGGGAGTACTATGAGATGAAGTCCATCAAGGATCTACTGATCTGGTACAACAATCTCGATGTAGTCCCATTCATCAAGGCTATCAATGCTCAACGAGAACTCTTTAAGAGCTTCAATCTGGATATGTTTGCTGATGGAGTGTCGCTACCTGGGCTTTCGGAGAAGGTCATGTATCAGACCTGCTTCAATAATCTCCAATATCCGGATAAGAAACCTGCCTCAGCATTCCAATTTCCAGCTAACCGTTTGGGTGGATACAAGAGTCAGGATGCTAAGGCAAAGCGACAATTTGGTATGACACTTCTGCATTTGAATACGTTGCTTCAAAAGCAAAAGTATCTATGTGGTCTATGCTACTGCCAGCTTACCGCTGACATTGCTTCAGCAGATCGTATCAACAATAAGCTGGGACACATCGATGGCAACATCTTGATCAGCTGAGTGAAGTGCAACACAGCTCGTAAGGATATGTCGCTTGGTGGATTTCGATATATGAAGTTGCTTGAGTTCAACTCGAACAGACTGGCGTATTCTATTGATCAAGAGGAGAAGGATATTTACGCTAAGATGATGGCCAACATCGCTGGAGGTCCGTCTATTATCTTCAACCGCTACGCTAAGCGCAACGAGACGAAGATTCGCGGAGGTAAGGTCTGCAAGAAAATTATCGGATATGACGCGAACGCTCTATATCTGTGGGCACTTGGTAATGAGATGCCTTGCGGTGACAACCATTGATGCATATCCGGGTATCGTTGATGACATTATCAACGACAAAATCTTTGGTTTCCTCGAGTGTGATATGCGCGGCTTCTTTATCAAATGATTGCTTCTTAAGACGATAAAGTACGTTTGACCCAACCTCAAACTCCTTCTCAATTCTATCGGCCTCCACTTGGTTATGTGTGAGATCAGCATCCATTACTTTGCCTTTGGCCTGATTCGGAGTCATACCAATCGAACGATGAAACGTGCTGTTGTAGTTTTCGATTACATCGGCGATCAGCTTTTGCGTAATCCGCTTGGGAGACATTTTAGTTAGTCTCTGCTTTAGCGTCCGGTTGAAACGCTCAATTTTCCCCATAGTACCATGATCACCGGGTTCGTTGTTGTGATTTGAAGAATCCTTGAGCCTGCGAGTTTATGAACTCGCTACCATTATCACTTGTCAGGATATCAACTTTGTGGAGGCGAACAAACGCTTTAAGTGCTGCTAAAACGGTTAACGCAGTCTTGTTTGACAAGAGCTTTGCGTAGCCCAACCTTGAGTTAATATTGATAGCTGTCAAAATTGGTCGTTTCTCCCAAAACGCAAGATCCATTTGCCATGAGTTGGGGTTATGTGAAGCAATTTTGAATCCATCGAATCGCTTCTTCTGCTCCTGAAATCGTTGAATATCAGCCTGACTGGAATACCAATCCTTCACGATTTTGAGAGTTATTTGAGGATCTATCTCCTTTGCCTTCTGATACAGAGCTTGAGCCCCGATATAACCGGTTTTTGGGTCATAGTAGAGTTTTGATAGTAGATCCTTCCGTAGCTCAGACATGATCCTATATGATAATAGACAAAAAATTACCCCAGTCGGTAGTTGCTTAGATATCAAGTGGCTCAGTCGTGATACCATCCTCTAACACTCGACGCTTGTCGTAGTAGTAATTAAGGGCCGTTTTGTTTTGCGTATAGGTTATGATAGACTTGGTTTCTTTCGAAAGTCGAAAACCTTTGTTGGTTCCTTGAAGTGTGATACGGTCCCTCACAACAGTCTCGAATCCGTCGGGGTTAAGTACATTTTCATTGCGACCACGCCCTTGCTGCGCCCCCTTAGCTGAAACCTTGACCTTGTACTCAGCGTCTGGTAGGTAGCAAATGTAGTTTTTACTCGATAGTGAGACCATAGCATCACCTGACCATTCGTCCTTGAACAAGCCAGGGGTACGACGATCAAACTTAGCCACCTTAGTATTGTAGTCGCGTGGAAACCAATCGTATTTATGCTCCATGAAGTGAGCGCGTAGTTCAGGCTTGATACAATCCTGGAAAGGATTCTCACAGCTAAATGCGATATAACCCGAATCAGTGTCCATCTCCTGGTACTGAAAGTCAGAGCGGCTAAAGTAAAAATCTATACAGTCGTAGTAGAACTGAAGCATCCGTAGCTTGGCGAGCTGATAGATTGCAATAGACAAATGGATGGGGTTCTTGTTATTGAGTCGCCGTTTCTTCATGGTGATCTCACAGGCGTCATTAAGCTCCTCGAGACCATGGAACGTAAAATGTTCGATCTTGTTTTTAATAGCTTTGTCGTTCGACTCATACTTAACCTCTTTGTGTTTGCTCATGTCCATTCCAGATCGACCAAAAGCACTGTTGCCTACCAGCTTCATCATCTCAGCAATCATAGCCTTAGACTTATCAACATCGCCCTCGCGCCGGGCATTGGATACAGCCTCCATAAAGGGGGCAAAAGCGTTATGAGAGCTGGCTTTAATAAAGCAGTAAGTCTGAGTGATCTCCATGCCGTGAGAAAAATACCACTTAAGCAATGGTGTGTAAATAAGAATTTTTTCGCCAAAGTAGCTACCGATCAGCTTACGAGCTGGCTTTGCTCGGCTTTGCTTGCGCGACTCGTTGTAATCAAACATATGCTTGCCAATCACACTCTCGTCAGCACAATCGATTAGAATATTCTTAAAAATTGGGGTCATCTCACTGAAGTAGTCTTTTAGGTGTGGCGGGGTACGACGCCCCCTAGCTCAACGAGTGCTCTACCTCTAAAGCATGACAACAAACAGCTAATAAGTGATTTAAAATACGACCAAGCTGCAGCTTCAAAACCGAAATGGTGTTGTTTTGTAAATAATAAAATAATATTAAAAAGATTATACCAATGATTTTAAATATCATAAAATTTTTAATTAGCGATGGAGCAAAGCTGTCTATACAATCGTCGGAATCGATGGATACCGAGTTCAAATTCGTTCCAAGAATGGTCGTACCCTCTACAAGGCGCCAAACGATCTCAAACTTGTTAAAGCAGAGACAACCGATGCTACTATTAGCCGAGGCGACATTCTTGAGGCTGAGAAAATCTTGGATCACAAGAAGATGCGTTCTGGGAAGTTCAAATATCTCATAAGGTGGCTTGGGAATGAGCCTGACTCCTGGGAGCAGCAAGACAATCTGCGCTTGATCAACAAAAACAGAAGATCATCGCTTGAAAAGAAGTATTGGGCGCAAAAAAATGAGCCATAATTAGCTTTATAATAATTAAATGGAGATATCCTCCGTAAGCTTTTGACCCATATATTATTGTTTATATTTTTGTGATAATTTGAATTATCTGACTTTATGTATACACACTGATCTTGAAATAATGTGCCCAAATTGTACCGAAAAGGAACGTGAGCTTCTAAAGCTTCGACGCAAGCTCTGGATCATTCAAGAAGTGAGCCGAATCAAGAACGAGTTGCTTAATCTCGATGCAGCAGCTAATTTCCGTAAAACGGTAGTCAATCGAAAATATAGACACGAATTGGAAGCAATATTTGGTGTCCCTTTCCATTGTATCAGGGATCGATATCTCAATCTCCTCAATGAGCGAAATCGGATTTGCCATACATATCAACCATTCCGACATGATTCCGTTATGCCAAGCTACTGGTAGAAACGTAATTAAGAGACTCATTTTTTTATGATTCTCAACATATAGTATCGGAATGTTTCCAAATTTCTCATCCCTCGCTCAGAGAGAGCAAAAGCGACAGGAGCTGCTCGAACGAGCTGAGCGCCGAGTCCGTCAAACAAAAGCTAAGCGCCTGATGTTTGAAGGAGCCTCGTGGGCGTCTGATATTTCCAACGGGATTACTACCCTCCCAAAGAAAACAACAGCAACAACTCAGACAGATTCATCCGAGTCAGCTGAGACCTTAAAAAAACTTTGATATATGAAAACTCTCAAATAAACCCTGAGTTATCAACAACAGGAACCAATACTGACCCATTGGAAGTGAATGTTAAACATGTGATGGTTGATACTGGAATTAGCGTAAAGCCAGATACGAGTGATGCAACAGCTACTGCTAAGCCTAGCATGACTGATGCTGGGATCGTTAAGCCTACAATCGCTAATGTAGGAATTGACAATAGCGTGAGGATGAAAGATATCGAGACCTCGACGAATACAGCAATTATGGATAGAGAAGATCAGGTCACATCAAGGAATTGGATTAAAGCATTCTTTAAATCCAATCCTAACTGGGCGTCAATTGGGATCAACCCTGTAAAGAGAGATGGTAGTGATGACGAAAAGCGAGTCATTCGCGAAAATGGTTCTATTCGCTCGGTTAAAACTGGTCGAAAATATCAAAAATATGACTCGTTTGATTGGGTTGCTACTGAATCAAAAATCCGAGATATTTTCTATAACGGTGAGAGCAATTCAATCGATGAAGTTGGCTCAATGCGCAGTGAAGACAAACCACTACGATCTGATAGAAAGAGGAAAGGGGAAGATGACATTGAGTACCTTGATATCCCCATAAAAGACCCCAGGCTTGATTTGAAGTTTTTGGATAAATCAACTTCTACGAAGTTGGACGATGATGAAGCTAAGTACAAACTGACATGGTTTATCATTCAGAATAAAAACTTACTTTTAGCTAACAAACTAGAAAGACAAATAACCCCTGTTCTAAAGAACGGTAAAGAGTATCGCGGTGGATATCTATGGATCGACGACAAATTTAGAATTGACGTGTTTGGTGTAGATTCAAACAAGCATCACCCAGCTGTTCAAAAGGATGTTGATTGGATTGCTACGCTCGAACGGTTCTTGTCCATTACCAAGGAGAAAGGACTAAGTTTAGTGTCCAATACTGGAATGGCTAATGAGAAAAAAGTAAAACCATATGAATTAGCTGAAAATAACATCAATGAACGACCTGGTGTAAAGACCGGTAGAGAGGAATACATGGATAAAAATCGTCCTATTCCGGAAATCGAAGCTAAGACCATTCTCACCGAGTATTATCAGAAGCTTGCGAAAAATCAAGTAAAGATAGTCATATGATTGCGCCCAATTGTATCCGCTGTTAAAGCTACCAAGGCAGCCTACTCGATTAAGGTTCGTGCTTATAACGATAAGCTCCGGGAACTCGAAGAAGTTAATCAAATGAGTTATAACGATAATCCTTTATCAGCATCTGTGAGAGCGAAGGTAGAGCGCGCTAATGCTCGTGCCCATTTCAAACATATGCCGCAAGGTAGCGGCCTTAAGAAAAAGCTAAAGGAGCGTGGTTTGAAGGGAGCTGGTGTAGCACCTTTGGAAGGTGTCGTTCGACGCGGGCGTACATATAACCTCAATGAGATCCAAGGATTAGCAACCCCATCCGCATATACCTACAAGCAGCTCGGTAGTAAATATATCCGTATTCCTGACCTCGATGCTAAGACCCTCGTGATTGTGCAGCCAAATCGACGTAAATGTGGCCCTAAATGTCAAATTAGCGATAGCCTTCAATCTATGATTAAAACGCTCGTCTATAAGCAGCATATCGATCAAGCCGCTTACGATAAGCTGAGCATCGATGATAAGAAACTATTTAAGGAAATCCTAGCTATTACTCATCTCCAATACAATTTCCACGATAAGCTCACGGATTCGTTAGAGACACTCCGAACTGAGTATGACAAGCTGAAAGGGGAGATGGAATTAGGCAATGACAATCCGAGTATCATCAAGCAACTTAAGTCTCTCACGGTTGATATGTACAGCAATCGATTGATCGATGATAAAGAGTTTAAGCAAATTATCACTCGTCTCTTATAATATTTTTGGTAATATAGACAATGTTCTTCTTCAATCCGCGCATTATTTCCAGTTCTGGTGGTAGCTACGGCGATAACGCCGATCTCAACGTTGCTGAGCTGAAAGCTACCATGAAGAACCTAATCATCCATGATCGCCCCCAGAAGACTCAGGCAGCTGTTTGGGCTACTGATCTCGACAAGTCCATCAGGAAGGTAGATGCCTCAACTCAGACTGAAGGTGGTCGCGTCTGGGCTTACCAACCCAAAAAAAAGAAGCCAAATACTGTTAAAACGTTTAGTTTGTAGATTGAGTCCATCGTATATGCTTTGCTGTTGATTCATGGGCCTTTTTTGCCGCAAAGTCGTACTTTTTGTTTTACTATCTAAGCAATGCCATTCCTCACCAGTTTATACCGATATCCTCGATAAACACTGATTTTTTGTCGCTGATGCTGACCTCGAGGATGGCTGACTCACCGTCAGGACTCTTTGTAGGGAGGAACACAGAGTCGCCAAGAATAACGATTTTGTCAGCCTTTAGTAGTGTAGATCCAACAATCTGATTCGGTTCATCATTCGTGAGATTTTTTTGCAAACCTTTGCTTGGTCCGCACCCCATTGTTGTATATATATATATATATATATATATATATTACTCAGAGATAGTCGCTCTCAACTCATCGAGTTCAGCTTTGAGATAATTGATTTGGTCTTGTTGTTCTTGGATTGCTTTAGACAGTACCGAGGTCAAACTAGCGAGATCAACGCCCCACGGATTCACTGGAAATCCATCTTGGTTCATATCGTCGTTGGCTCCTCTCTCTACAGCTTCTGGTATGACCTCATACATCTCCAGGGCAATGAATCCAACGTGTGTAGTGTGCTCTTGAACCATCCTGAATTTTCTAGGTCTCATTCTCATAAGGCTTGCCAAACCATAGGGACAGTCTACAATGTCCGCCTTCAGTCTCACGTCCGAAGCGTTTGTATACGAACCGCCACGAACTGGTACGTATGCTGTCCAATTATAATTAGCGTCGCACTTTCCAATACGGATAGCCCCGATTGTTGCGTCAGTTCCTATCGCAGGATAGTCAGTCTGGCTCCAATTGAACCGATATCTCGCAAAGCCATCGCCATTCCCTTTTATATTCATGTATGTGTTAGCCCAGACCTCGCCTCCAGAATGGATAGTGGCTTCTGGAGACCAACTAGGTCCTAAATCAACCCCGAGACGTGCTGAACTGTTAAGATACATTCTAGTTGTATTATTCACCATAAATCGAAGAGGGCCGGTGGTAGTTGTACCAAGAGCTACCCCGTTAGCTCCTCCCGCGACATCGTTGTATATTTGCACCTCGAATTCGATAGGAGTAGCCTGATCATTTAGAATACGCATTGCGCGTTGCCAAGACCCGCTTAGTAAATTCGCGCTAGAAGTAATATCTTACTTTGCAGTACTAGTAGCTCATCCGAAGCGAATATATCCGGCTTGAGTGATACGCATGCGTTCGGTCATTGGGGATAAGGCGTTAGAAGAGCTACGAGTACTAATTGCAAAATCAGCCATGCTATATTGAGCTGAAGTAGCTGTTCTAGTACAATATAGATTAACAGAGGGGGTATAAGTAGTCATATCTGATGTTCCTTCAATCGTAAAGGATAACCCGACTTGGGCACCTACAGTATTGCTCTGGTTGCGAATGATTAGATTGAAGTCTGAAGCGCGTGTAGTTGAAGTGAATGATGTTCCGGCCGCAATGACATTGGGTAGAAGTAGTGGATATCAGATTGGTTGACGTTAGAGATGAGATACCTGATGAAATGGTACTATTAGAGTCTAGTACAAGAGCCTTTGATGCTTCTGCTGTTCCTGCTCCGGAGGTAAGATCCAGATAGTTCAACTCAGCCGTAGTTGCTGTGCAACCGGAAAGCTTGTTCAGCTCCGTACCAGTAGCATTGAGAGTAGTCCCCTTAATCTGAAGCGTAGTAGGATTGATATTCAGAGTCGTTGCATTCATAGTTTGAGTACCAGTTTTCGAAATAGTATCGCATGTCAGCGTTGGAGTTGATATAGATATCGAAGCGGTAAAGCTTCTTGTGATGCTAAGATCGCGAATGCCTGAGTAATCTTTCGTACTATTGAGAACCACAACGCTACTGGCTGAAGCGCCTCCTTCGATAACATTTAGAAAGTAAGAATGGTTGAAGTTCGTCCAAGCACTGACCCCATCCCAAAATTTCAGATTCGGAATGTAAAGTCCGGTTCCACCAGCGCTAAGGGTTAGATTGCTAAGTGTTCCTAGACTAGTAATATTGGGCTGAGAAGCTGTTTGTAGCGTCCCAGTAATGCTCGTCGCTGTAAGCGATGAGAGTGTACCTAGACTAGTAATGTTTGGCTGAGCCGCTGTTTGAAGCGTGCCTGTAATAGATGTTGCCACCAAGCTACTAATCGTACCAATATTTCCGGATCCATCAAGCACCAGGGCTTTGTTAATCGCTGCCTGACCTCGAGTAATACCAACTACGTACGATGGGGCACCTGATACGGAAGCACCATTAACAGTCAGACTACTACAGCTAAGTGCTCCAAGACCGCTGATGTCCCCACCACTTCCAGGGACAAGCGCTACACCAGGTGATACTACGCCTTGAGAGACACCAGTGATGTATGACAAGCGATAGTCATACTTGTTCAGATAAAGAGTCTGAGCATAGTCATACGTGAGAAAACCGCTGGCATCCAATTGAAGATAAAATGCAGGGTTATAAATTGAGGATGTGAATATCGGGTTAGGATAAGAAAAACCTGAACTCATCTTTGTTTGATCCTATATAGTTTAGACGATAATCATGAGCGGTATTCCAGATTTCGGAGCTTCAATCCCTAAAAAATTCAAAAGCGCCTCTATGGGTGATATTCCAGCACTTGACATCAAAGCGCTGTTTAGAATGGTGGTTCTGGGTCCATCGTTCTCAGGGAAGAACAACTTATGTATGTTCATCCTCAAGCATTCTCCTCGCGTATTTGCTCATCTAACGATCATTGCTCGTAATCCTCACCAGGAGTTGTATGAGTATCTTCGTGATAAGCTTGATGGGTTTATCACATTCGCCGACCCTGACTCGCCTCCGAGTGTTGATCGGGTACGGCATACGCCAATTAATTCCAATAAGCCTGAGCTCGTCATCATCGATGACTACAGCAATGACAAGCTACTTCAGAAGAATTTGTTCAGTCATTACTTCACAAGAGGGAGACATGTTAAGCTATCAACCATCTTCTTGAGCCACAGCTACTTTGCAACGGACAAGATGATTCGCTTGAATTCAAAGTACGTAGCGATACTAAAGGCTAATTCAAAGCGAGATTAGCAGATGGTCGTTAAAGACTTCAATATCAAGGTTGTAGATGATCGTTCGATCGTCTATTACTACAACAAGGCAACTGAGCGGAAGGGGCAAATGCTCTTCATTGACTCAGTCAAGGGACAGATCAGGTATAACTTCGATAGACCGATCCGTATCGAGGACTAATTCCAATTTATCAAACAAAATATGCCTACAAACATATAATCGATATGTCCAGCTTTATCAAACTCGATAGTACCAATCTGGTACAAGATGGTACCAATTCAACCTGGAAATACTCCTTCCCCGGATCCGCGGCTGACTTCCGTGATGTAGTTTGCGCAATTCAATCTATTTCGATGTATAACAGTGAGTATAACATTGATTCAATGCAGTTTCAGAACACGACGTTCAAAATCGAAGTACCTACCGCTGGAACTGTATCCACAATCAGTGTATCCCTCCCCGATGGTATCTATTCGTATGACGATATCAATCGAAGCATTCAGACTTCTCTTGTCAACGCTGGAGCGTATCTCATCGATCCGTCTGGGAATAATGTATTCTATATCAAGATGAGTGCTAACAGTGTCTATTACGCTTGCCAGCTTGATTTCTCTCCTACCCCTACAACTCTACCAACTACTGGAGATACATGGACCAGACCTACCTCCGGTTTATACTCAGCTGGCGGTACTGGATTGCCGACTACCACTCGAGTTCCTCGATTGATCATCGATAATGTAGAATTTGGAAAAGTAGTTGGACTCACAGTGGGCACCTATCCCTCTACATCAGCTACTGTTGCAAGTGCTCAGCTATCGAACATCATTCCTCAAATTCACCCAACCAGTTCCTACATCGTTCGTTGCGATCTGATTAAAAATGAATACGTGGCTTCTGGTGATATTGTCAGCGCTTTTGATAGAGGCGATGCCGCTATTGGAAAGGTCATTTCATACAAACCCTCCCAGTATGCATGGATGAATTGTCATAATGGCGTTCGAGCCAGTATTACTCTCAGTATCTATAACCAAAACGATAAAAAAGTGATTTTTAGAGATACGTCAGTATCCATCATGCTTCTGATTCGACCAAAAAAATAAGCCATCCAAAGTATTTTTTTACAACGTAAATGAACCGCCAGACTTACCCTTCTTACGCATAGCACGCAGCTTTGCCATTCGTTCCTTCATCTCCGGCGAGCCCTTTGCTGGGCGTTTCTTTGCTACTCCTACACCATAACGACGACGAACCTCCTTTCGCACAGATCTGATTAGATCCTCATGTTCTGGCTTGGTAGCCTTTGATAGTAGGAACTTCTCTCCAGCATCGACCGCATCGGTTAGAATTAGAAATGACCCTTTCTTGGAGAGATGGGACTTTATCTCATTTGATGCGAATATATTATCGAGTTGAACGTTCATTTTCTCAGCGAGTTCGATGAGATCATGATCTGAGGTGATTGGCTTGATGAGGTGCGACATAATATTTAATTTTATCAAACTATATTAGGATCCATATAGATTCAACGATGAGCGAAACTCAACTATCCGATCAGTACTTGTACCAGAGCTCGCTTAAGAGCGACCCGGAGATCAAGGTATCTTCGAGCAAGCGTGTACCGCACGTTATTGACCTAAATCAGGGCTCGTACCAGAATGGTGTCATCACTATCGATGCTACAGCTCAGCTTAACGGTTCCGAGGGCTTCGCAAGCCTCCGTGATGCCTACATTATGCTTCCCTACAAGGTCTCAATGAAGAATGGTGGCACTGCTCAAACTGCCGCTGCGAATCGTCTATGTGCTACTCTAAAATGCGGAAATTGGAACGTTATTGATAGTCTGAGTCTGGAACTCAATGGAAAGACTATCGTCTCTATGGCTGACTACAAGCTCTTTTGGAATAACGTTCGTGCTCAGACTGACTACAGCCCTCAGTACGTTGAAAAGCACGGAGCTGAATCGTTCTTGTACCCTGACGCTGCTCAGTCGGTATCATACAGTTCTGGATCCGCATCTACCAGTGGTGATGGATATTCAAACACCATGGCATTCTCGTCTTCCTTTGCTGTCTCGGCTCCTCCTGGTGGTGCAACTATTCCTAATGATGGTTTCGTTAAGCGCCTTCTATCGAATCCTCCTACGGCTGGCGCTGACTTCTCCAGCTCGTGGCCGTCAGTAGGTGGTGCTGCTGCATCGACTACCATTTCTAACCAGACCTCGCGTGGAGCTTTCGTAGCTGGTGGTACTGCTGCTAACGCAATCACGGGGACGTGGAACTACATGCTTAAAATTAAACTCACCGATCTGCACGTGAGCTTGACTTGATGGCTAACCCTCAAATTCGCCTGCGTTTCCGCGTGAATCAGGGAACGTCTGTAGTCGCGGTAGATGCTTCAAAGGGTATGTCGCTAACCTCTACTACTCTATCGTCTGGTAATAGTTGTCCGGTCATGATTGCCGCTTCTGCTACCGGTAATCCGATGAGTGGTGTGCTTGCCGCATCTGCTGGATTTAGTGTTGCTTGGGGAGCTGTTGTTAATACTCTTGAACCTACCATCGATGGTACGTAAATGCCTTTCACTACGGCTCGTTTGTATGTTCCTTTCGTGCATCTTGAGAACCCTCACGCTATCATCAGCAAACCTGTCAAGAAGGTACACTACAACGATTGCTACGCTCAGTGGTTTTACCAACGCGCCGGCATTGGTAAGTCCTCATCTCAACTAAATGCTTCTTTCGATCTACAGCTATCGGCAAGTGTTAAGAATGCTAAGTACGTAGTTCTTCTTCCATTTGCGGAACAGACAAACAAATTTGCTTCTGCTACTGTTCAGCAGTTCCAGAGCCCCTTCGATAGCGCTCCATACACTCTACAGCCCGGGTCGTCGATTCGCAACTTTAACGTTCGTATTGGCTCGACTCAGGTGTTCGATATCAGTCATGACTATGATTTCCACCATTTTACCAACGAAGTTGCTAAGATTTCAGCGATTAATGGAGATCTAACCCCTGAGCTCGTAAATGGACTACTTGACTATCAGACGTGGTCGCTCACAAACCGCATGCTTATTGCCGACGTCAGTCGCCTGACTGAGCGCGATGTACCCCAAGCGATTCAGATCCAGGGTACGAACGCAGGATGCCAAGGTGTGAATACGCGGGTCCTCGTTATTAGCGAACAGGAGCTTAGCTTCGATCGCCTAACGGGTGAAATTATCGATTATACCACAGCTTAAGTTCGAAATACGACTTATTGAAACAAACAAAAAATTCTTTAGTTAAGTTCCTTGAGTAGCTTTGGGCATTTCTCAATCACGAATTCACTTTTACGAAGCCAGTCGATGTAGTTCGGATCCATACGACTGATCTGTTTCAGACTCTTACCCTTGTACTTGCACCAAGTCATCATATATGAATTATCATTATTTAGGAACTTGCTGTGTAGGAATATCTTGATATCCTCACTAATGTTAAGGCTGGGTTGGTTGTGCATCCAACGACAATAGCCAGGGTCAGAAGCATATACTTCCTCAATTGGCTTGTTCTTGTACTTTCCAAATGTGAGTTCGAATGTCATGTTATCTCTTTTTTGGGTGGAAACTAAGTTGTTGAATACATCTATCGAATAGAATGACAAACTTAACATCTTCAGCCCTTCTTTAAAATGGGTCCTATTTTTTGTCTAAAGGATAGAAATGATGCTAGTTTTTCTTCATCATCATTTTCATCGATCAAGAGTCCTGATAAGATCTGCTTCTTCACAAAGCGACAGCAAAATCTAAGATCTCTAAAACCATTAATATCGGTTGGTTCTTGATTCTTGTGTCGATGACAGAACAATCCGTCTCTTATATAATTACGACAGCAAGTAATACGTTTAGTAAGACCACAGCATTGGACTGAGGGCATCGTTATTATGCTCGGTTGGATCGGTTGATCGTAGATATATGATATGATATGGACTTTATATAATTAAGATTCTTGTATCAGGATCATTTGTTCTTTCTATAGAAAATTTATTGCTTTGGATTATATCCATTAGATTCTATCTGAAGTATCAATAATATGTAAAGGACGTTCCTTTGCACCAGGGTGGTCGAGAGGTTGCGTCGCCAAAATAGTCAGCTGTTAGATCTCGGTGATCGAGCGGTTATAAAACTACCCTAATATTGAAAAGGCGTTTCTTTCGCACTGAGGTGGTCGAGAGGTTGCGTCGCCAAAACGGCTGCTACCCCAAAAGAAGGTTCTGCGATTGTTCTTGGTGGTAAATTACGGTAAGGAAAAAAACTGCCGGCGTACTGTTCCATGACCCACTACTTCCCCAACGTCGGACTTTGGAGTACAGATCGAGATGAACAGCGACCAAGCCGAGCGGCACCTAAGGACCCGCGCACATCGCACGCATATAACGCCAACGACCAGGATTTCCATTGGAGCGCTCGCTGGAGCTGTGTCCAAGAAACCGAGCAACCAAGGCGAAGTGGACAAGCTCTTCCTCAAATTGAAACTTTACGTTGCAAATACCGAGGTTTTGAAGAACCACCAGTTTGCCAAGTGGTTCAGCGCAGTGGAGAAGGGGTATTTGAAGGCCAAGATGAGCTCCGAGCAGGCGAGCATGGCTGTTGCGGCTACTCTGGCTACCAGATACAGCGATGAAAAGCTGGTGGAGATGATCGTGGCAGGAAAGAAATTGGCTGAGGCGAAGGACGTCGCTACCAAACTGGAGGCTGCTCAGATGAAGAACTGGCTGAACGACAAAGTAAGCGCAGAGAAGGCGTTCCAGATTCTGAAACTTGACCAGGAGAAGTACACCGTCCTACAACGTCCACTACTGAAAAACTGGGTAAACTACATGGAGATGAAGAAGGAAGATCCGTATCAGTGGCTGTTCAAGAGACTACTGAAGCTGAATGATAGCAACGTCATACTGGCGGGGTTACTGGGCTCAGCAAAGCAAAGCGCTGCTGCGTCCCCCCCCCCTATAGTCCAAAATGCGGAGGAACTACTACTAAAAAGCTGGATGCCCAGCACTGCTGGCGACATTTTCAAGCGTCTAGAGCTGAATGCACAAGACAAGGGTTTCTTTACCATCACCAGGGTGAGAACATGGGTCTCGTACGTGACGAAAGTGAACGGCCAACGCGCAGACGAGGAAATATTCGCGGTACTGCGAAAGTATAACACCGACACCGAGCCAGCTACACAGATTTCCAGATCGAAGGAGTTTTCCAGGGGACCGAATGGGGGAGGCACTTGAGAAGGTTTGGCTGGGTGAGAAGAAGCCCGCGCGAGACGTTTTCACCGCGTTCAAACTCAACAATCAAGGCGACAAGCTGTTTGAGAATTCGAGGTTTGTTACCTGGGTCGCCTACGTGACGAAACTGGACGAGAAGAACGCAGACGAGTTGATGCTGGCGGTACTGAAGGAAACTTTCAAGGATGAAGCAGCTTTGACTCGGATGCTGGCTGCAGCGAAGGACCACGATAGCACTAAAACCACCGCTGCCAGCCTCGAGAAGGCTCAGTACAAGGACTGGCGTAGCAGTGGAGAATCTGCAGATGGTTTGTTCAAGCTTCTTAAGTTGGACGACGAGGTGGACGATCTTCTGAGTAGCCCTGTGCTGAACAACTGGATGGTATACGTGGACGATTTTAGGGAGGACTCGACCGTGTTATTGCTAGCGAAGATCAAGACGTCCAAACTCGCAAAAACGGACAACAAGCTCGCAGAAATGATCGCCAAAGCAGAACAACACGTGGAAACACGCTCGATCGCTTCCAAGTTGGCGAGAGCGGAGATCGATAGCGGATGATGTGTTCAAGCTGCTGAAACTTGACAAGGAGGACACTACGCTTTTGTGGAATGTGAGGGTCAACACCTGGTTGGCCTTTGTGACGGAGAAGAACGCGCAAAATGCAGCTGAATTGGTGTACGAGGTACTGAAGACGTACTTAAAAACGGACAGCAAACTGGCGAACATGCTTACTACTGGACTGCGCCGAGCGAATATGAAAGCGCCTACCGCTGAATTGCGAGGTATCGTGCTGAAAATGTGGAAAACCGAAGGGAAATCCGCGGGCGACGTGTACGACTTCGTACTGAAGAGACATGGCCAAATCATTTTCCAGACCCACGTGGGGTTTTTACGTGATGATGGTGGAGAAGGCCGACCCATACAAGTCCATGCTTGAGGTGCTACAGCGGCGCTTTAGCAAGTATAAGCTGGGCGATATGCTCGACGAAGCAGCAACGACGTCCAAATATGCAAAGGATATCGCGGGAAAATTGCGGGACATCATGTAGCTGAGTCACGACCGGAAAGTATCAGAGAATTGCAACAATAAGATACTGATTTTCTGAACTCTGCTGCATTTGCTTCGAGCTGAGGTTTCTTAGCCTATGGCCAATGCTGGTTTGTTTTCGATTATATAGTTCTGACTATTACCTTCAGCGCCACCCTCGGGCTTTGTGGCGAAACGCGAGTTGTAGTCCCATTCGAGCTCCTGTACTCGGGAACCAGGCCTCGGAAAAAATAATTATTCCATTGCAATTACTGTATTTGTGTACGGAAATATGTATTATTGGTTGCCGGTCGTATTGAAATTACTATTATTGAAGCCCAATTTTCAGTAAAATATTTAACTATACAAAAACCAAGTTTAACGTGAATCTCCATATAAAAGTAATTGAAATAAATACATATTATTGGTGAATGATATATTGAAATGATTATTATGGAGACCGAACTTTTGCAATTCAATATGATACTGTATTTTCTGAGGTCTGTCGGGAGTACTTGCAAAGAAACCCTCGTGTCATCTTTCCAGTCTCATTGCTGTGCTGGCTGACTTGGGAAGTCACTCGCGGCCCACAATTTACAACTTAGAATTCCTACCACAAAATCTATTCAATTGAGAAGAGTCAACGATGCTAACTCAATGCTCTGTGAGTCTGACATATCCAAACGGAAAACTATGAATCACGATTTTCCGAAAGTATCAATGACCAAGACCAACAAAACTTGTATGCTCGCCGCCGAATATGCACGTGGTTTCCACTGTGTCTTTGACCTAATTCGTGCCCGGCGAATGCGTCATGAACGGCTCGTTTTGGCTTTTGGCCGATCCTCCCCCAATGCGTTAAAAATTGTAGGTGGTAATGGTTGCAGTCAGGCTAACATGATTGGTCACGTGTTGTCGCAACGTGAAGCACGCCTCCGAGACCCACTCGATCCACGTTCGAGCTGATTAGGTGGGCCTACACGTGGACAGTACCGAGGAAGGGTCCAAGGGTCGACAACGTCGAGCTTAAGCGTTGCCACAACGCGGGAACTCCATACCGATCACGCTTACAACAAACTCACACCCGATCGACACTGTACAGTACATGTATGGAGGTTATGGATGGGTCAGTTTGTTATTTGATTCGAATCAAACTGATTAATGACCGTTTTTATCAGTTTGAAATGGCCTAAAGGGTGTTCTAACCATTAGGACTTCGCGTAAGTTGAAGTTGATGCGACTCTGAAAATGGCATGGTGACCGCCGGCTTGCGCATTGCTATCGGACTGAAGGGGGATCGCCCAAATAACGCTGGGGCACGGATGCTGATAAATATCTTGTTCAGCACGGTAATACTTTCAATTCAGTCTTCATGTGTCATGTTCAACAAAAGGATGACGTCGGGTTGCTCGGGCGTGCAGTACGCGAAATGGTGTTCGGTTGTCCGAGCATGTATAAGAAGTGCCATGTACGAGCATGTGTGCTAGCTGGAGTAATTCGCCGCCATGAAGATGTTCATCAGGAATGCCACCGCAATAAAAAATGAATCTTACTATATAAAAGCGTATATAACCGTGAAAAAGCGTATCTGACGTTTTTATCGGTTTTCATAATGAAGGTCAAGGTGTCAATGCGACCAAGGGGATGGGAGTACTGTACCGTACTGTTCGTGTAAGCTCCTGTACCTATGGACATTTTTCTCACTGCTCGAAGCAGCACCCGGAGAGCTGAACAGTGTTCAGTGAACACCATCCATCCCCCTCCATTTTGGCTGTGGCTAGACGGACAGAACACAATGGGTGTTCTGTACAGTGTTCTGTCATAGCCGGACAGAACATTGGACAGAACAATTTATTAGAACCAGCAGTAAAAGCACCAAGTGCCACAGATGAACATACTTGCCAACAACCCTCGCGCATCGTGCTCAAACGATAGCGTTGTTTGCTTCACCACGCCATGCACACTGATAAAGCTCGCGTTGATTATAAACATCGTGAAGTCAAAGCTAACAGTGCTGTAAGTTTCATGCGCTTGGGCAACCGCCACCGACAAAGGAATTTAAGTTACTAGCGACCGGATACCGACGCGCAGAAGTGCTAAAGACTGAATTCAGTATAAAGCCCCGTAGAAGCGTTTACATCAAAAGCGCATTGGGAGCTAACAAAGGTTTATTTACTTTTACACAATAGATCAACGCAGCTTTTGTGCCATCATGGCTATACTCAACAATTAATGCGTACGATCACCTTGTTGGAGCTGCGGATAGCTGTCGTGGCATACGTCAACATTTCACCCGACTGATACTCTCTGACTTGTCGCCCTCGTCTTCTCCGATGTCTCGCTGCACAGCAGACTTCCTTTGCTGAAGGCAGCAAGTCGATGTAGACTTCGTCGAGTAGGGCTCGTCCGGACAGTAACTCTTCTGCCTACGTCGAAGAACCCGTACTTGGAACCTCCCCGCCTTGGTCTTCAATTCAACTCACTGAGCTCGAGCTTGATGCACAGGTTCCGCCATGAACTCGCATGAAATGCCCCTCGTGGAAGAAGGCTTCCGGGACCGACACGTCAAAGATAGCCGCAGGAGCACAGTCTTGATGCACGACTAGGCACTGAGAGCGCCGCCGTTGGTCCGACACTGCGGAAAATGAAGCGCCAGCGGCATACACGCACCCTGACGCAAGCCAGAGCCCGTCAGACAGGTTCAACAGCAGCTCACCGTGTACACCAGCATGCAGACGCGAGCGTCGGTCATTACAGACAGCGAAAGTATTTACATCATTCGTTCATTCGTTCAAACCTGTAAGTGTGTCAGCGCCATTCTTGCGTTGTGCTTCGTGGGCGTCGAATTCTAAAATGAGCGAGGAACACCTCGGAGCGTTTCGGTATAGGCGACATAAAGTTGTAGAGTCTGAGTATCAAATTAAGGAGGCTTGGGCGCTTCAACTTGGCCAGCGCAATTCGTCCGAAAGACCCCACCACTGCAAACGTGTGTAGCTGCTCGCTACCAAGACCACCGGGTCCTAAATGTAACTTGGTCTAACTCGTACAGCTACCTAGATCGCATCATCGAGCTTTGACAGCCACAAACGTTGAGCCCGGAGTGACCAAAGCTTAAATAGATCAAACTTACGTTATACAATGGCCCGGTCCTTTGGGTTCCATGTATTCACACAGCCGAAGCAAGCTACGTGCTATGAAGGCGCAGCACTGCGGATATCCCCGCTTTCGATTGTACCAGCGAGATCAGCATCGACTCGACATTGCAGCGGACGTCGGTCCCGCTTAGCTTTTCACCCTCACGGCATCTTCGTCGTGGTGGCATGGCTAGAGCAGGCCATGAAGGCTGTGGGCGCCAGTGAGTGCAAAATGCGGGACAATGCATCTGGTGTAGGTATGAGTTGGCTCTCCTCTTGCCAGTCAAGTAGAGTACGTCTCGGCCCTTCCCGGGAACCCCCCGCCCTCGTTCTTGGAGAGCAACAATTTCTTTATACACAACGTGCCGCAAACGTCACTGCGGTCAGACAGGTTTGCTTTGGGCCGTGATGTCGAGATCGGTCATGGTGCGCGCAATACATGTATCTTCCATCCTGAGCTGTGTCGGTTAGGGTCCGGCGGCATCACACCAAACTTCAGAGGTACGGCTCGTTGGTTATCATCCTTACAAATTGAGCACCTTCGGTGTGGAGAAGTAGATAAAGCCGGGTTACTCCTAGATGCAGACGCAAACCATCTACAGTAACTCTTCAGGGTACTAAACTCGTAAACGCAGAGAACCTGCACCCGCTTGCACTTGGCTTAGCGCGGGAGATCAGGCAATTGATTGTATGGCATTATGTCATTGGCGTGGTAGCTCACGCTCTTGCCCTCGAGTTTCATCATGTCGAAGCAGCTTTTAGCAAAAGCAGTGGCGGTTGCGAACGACTTATTGATCTTCTAGTCGGTGCTCGTGAAGGGCAACGAATGGTACTGCAGATAGAAACATCACTAAGCCTACAATGAATTCGCCTTCATATGTCTAGCTGCGTTGGCATGTATATACCGTGTACTTATTGGATCCGGCATCCCACGATAACTAGGCCTGGTTGGCTCCACGTTTAAAAAGAACCACTTTTCCCGTTGCACCATGCCACAACGAAGCTATTTGGGCTGATACACGCTCCAAGTGCCCCGTGGCTGCGGGGATGGCGACCCAGAGCATTCTTCACCAAGGCCGCACCACCCACGACCAGTTCCACGACGCCCAAGCGAGCGGAGCCAGCTTTACCCATACTACCCAGTGCAGTGCAGCACCGCTGGACACGTGCCCCAGTACTGTCCATTGTGTGTGCTGCAACAAGGGAACTAGCTCCAATAATGCGATAGATAAGCGTGCGTGATAAGTTTTACAAGGTATTTTATAAAGTAATACAGGTAATGTTCTGTGCATTGTTCTGTATGAATTGACAGAACCAAGGACAGAACGTAATCAATGTTCTATCCGTCTAGCCACTATCCTCCATTTTCCCAGTTGTTGGTTGCCTATGGCAACGTCTCACATATAATGGGCAAATTGCCATTTTTCACCACAATCAAAGTGCCGTCTTGCTTCAGTTTTGCACTGGGGGTGATACTGTACAGATACTGATACTGTAAGCTCAGGAATGCGTAAGAATGACAAAGTCGTGCTGAGCACGAGGAAGCTCTGAAATTTCCAGTGCGACGTTGGCATGGCTAGAAAGCTACATCGTGAGAGGTAGCAACGATTGCAAGCAGAATAGTGTAGGAGGGCAACAGAACAGCAAAAACTAGTTATACTCACTTACTACTGATTCGTGATACGGCACTAAGTCCTCGAGTCGTAGTCGCCTCTGCGGCAGTGGCGATAGTGTCATTGTGGTGCTGAGCATCGTGGCGCAATTGTTCTCCACGTAAGTGTTGATGGGGTTCTTAACGAGATGGATATTCTTGATGGACCCGTCCGCGTACTCCTCGCTCCTTTCCGGGCAAAGCCCGTATCAGGAGTCGTAGTTGACCGAGTGGGCTGCGCCGTAGTGCGGGACCCCACCTTTGATCTGCGTGCGAGAGCCATGAGCATGAGCCTCGCAGCTGCTACGATGATAGGCCCCAACACCCAGCTTTGGGTTGCTCAGACCTTCGCAGAACGCGAGCATCTCCTCGACCACCATGTTCTCGCCAGGCCGACGCGCCCGATACGGCGCGTGGAGATGGCGCCACGGTGGACACGAAGGAGAAACGCTGCCCGGGCGCCTTGGCGCAGCCCACGGTATTGGGGTGCGCGGTTGACCTTGTTGACCTCGGCCTTGGGTTCTGGAATTTTCAGGGCTCGGACCCTACGGGATAAATAGGAAGTTGCATTTATCCCAAGAAAACCCCACGCCATAAATTACCGTATAAATTACTTACGGATGCGGGTTGCGCGAAGATGGACGCGTCGCCGACAGGGTCAACATTCACGTGGGTGATTCATAACGGCAAGAGGTATACGATATAACGGGTTTTACAAACTGCTCTGCATCGATAACTGCGTATTGTGTAGTCTTATCTATAAAATGTCCGGACAATCAGACCCTTTAAATTACGAAGCCTGTGTTTTTTAACAAAAAACTATATTTATGAAGTTTGAGAAATGGGTGACCCGTACAGCAGATGTAGCATTCAAGCAAAGAGGGCGTTTGCTATAGTCTAATATATTCAAACAGCGCGGAAAGTGGTATCACCGCCACCGGTAGACTCTGAAATAAATTTCAGAGAACAAGCGTGGGTTATACTTCCTGATTGTATGGCTATATATATACGGGTATCTCGCTGGGGAGATCCGTACACAACCTTTCGTCGTTCCCCGGGAAGATCTCGGGGATCGACAGCCCATCAAAATCCGCGAGCCCGTCCACGAGATGATCCAGGGGGTTGCGCCATCATAAGCGTCGCGCAGGACACGCGACGACGGTCAACAGACTTTTACCTTGCAGTGTCGTGGTCACACTTGATCACCTTGCACTGTACCTGGGCCGGCACAGTTTGGATTGCACTGCAACTTCCTCTCGAAGGTGTCAGCAATGCAGGGCAGAAAGATCGCGGTCGTGTAGTTGTGGAGGTATGCGCACGGGATCAACACGGCCTGGCTCGCTTATGTTGAATGACTTGTGGTTTCCCGCCTGCTTTAACACGTTAGTCCACTTAACACGTGGTTTACAGGAAGACACAAAGGACCCACCTGGCGGGAGCGCGTCATAACGTGAACGGCTCTCCGTTTGACGGCCGTGGGAGGCTTTGACGGAAGGACAAAACAAGGCTTAGAAGTGTTCTGCCACCGCCGGTGGCCCACCGGTCGGGTGGCTGCCTGCCTGTCGATCATCGAGCATAAGTAGCGAGACAACTGGCTGGCACAATTGGATTGTCTCTCTGAGTAGCAGGGTAGATCACACTACCAGTACAGGATGAAGTTCACTCTACCGGAGAACGCCTTCCCGCCGCTGAACTTGACCAAGGAGCAGCAGAACGCGCTGATCCAGGAGGCCGAGGCGGTAGTTCGCGAGACTCTGGAGGAGAACGAGGCGTTCTTCGCTGGCGGGTCCAAGTTTTCCAACGATAAATGGAGATTGGTGCGCGCCAGGGACGGACTCAATGTGTATCGCGAACGTAGACCCGTGGAGAGCACCACGACGCTGGAGAAGCAGCTGAGAGGGCTGTCCTCACCCGGCAGTCAGAGCGCGACATCGTCCACTGGGGACCGCAGTCGAGCAGCCACGGAGCAGTCCACCATGAGCACGGACGTAGAATCTTCTACCTCTTCCGTTTTGGCGAAGAACAAGCTCATGCAGCGCCCCGTGATGGTTCTACACGGAACGGTGGATGGTTCACTGGACGACTGCATGTTCGGCACCTTCGCGTCTACCGACGAGGCCTGGAAGTGGCGCAGCTCGCACATCAACGACCGCCTGGACGACGCTCGTATCCTCGCCACCATCCGCAAGCCGACGCACGACGATCCGTTCCAGTTCCTCGGTATCAAGTGGTTCGCCAAGGAGCGGCCGGCCGTGCTCTCGAGTATCATGCAGCAGCGCGACTACCTCATCATGGAGGCCACGGGGCTCACCAAGGACTCCAAGGGCGAGAAGGTCGGGTACTACCTCATGCACTCCATCTCCCTCCCGGGTGTCCCCGAGTTGACGGATCTCGGCATCATCCGAGCAAAGCTGAGTCTGTGCTTCATCGACCGACAAAAGGGACCGGGCAAGGTGGAGAAGTACTGCAGGAACTACAGCGACCCCGGAGGCAAGATCATGGACCGCGTGGCTGCTGCAGTGGGCGCTGAAGCCATCATCAGCGCCTCCAAGGTGGTCGACTACGCGTACGTCAAGAAACTCACGTGGCTGATGAAGGAGAAGGGCGCGCCTCCACGCGGCTCGGACCGGGCCGGGATGCCCCGACCCAAGCGCTGCGAGACGTGCTTCAAGAACTTCAGTAAGTTCGCCATCACTGCCGTCAGCTCCGAGTGCGCGATTTGCCGCCGCGCCATGTGCGCCAAGTGCAGCGTGATCAAGAAGATGACGGTGGACGTGTCCAAGACGGGAGCGGTCAGGCAGTGCACACTGCGCTTCTGCTTGAACTGCTTAATGGAGGCCAAGGACAAGTCCGTGTGGGATATGGCGCTCAGCGGCGTGGAGACTGCGTCCGAGACGTCGTCCACTCCAGGCTCAGGTTATCGGTAGATATTGTTTAGTTAGACTTTAGAAGTAGTGCCCTTTTCAGTATAAACTCTAGTTGTGATCACTATGAGTATGACGCATTCAAGTGCAAACGTTGATCAAAGAGGCGATATTTTTTTTTTCTTACTTACAGCCAGCCCAACCACGCCTCCACCTCCGGGTCGCACTTGTCTCCCACACCTTGAGCTATCTGGCGACGTCTCATCTCGATCGGGTGTGGGTTCGTGGTGCACGCGATCGCCATGAACCGCGCGTTGTAGCACATGGCCTCGACGCTGTCGGATCTCGGACACTGTCGGTACAAAGTCCCATTGCACGGAGCCATGATGTCTGCTGTCGGTGGGCCCTCGAGAACGCCAACTTCGAGTACTGGCCCGCAGACAGTCGACGCAAACTTCTCCACCACTTTCAGTGTCGTCGCAGTGGCCACTTTTCGTGTGCGATTCGAAGGCAAACACGTCGCCACGGGGTTCTCCCACACAGGGTGGGCGATGCCGCATTTGCGGTCCTCCAGGTTGCAATCGCCTGTGAATCCATTGCAGCACCACGCGCCTCGATCCGATACAGCGAACGACTTGAGATCAACCACGGGGGACAGGTCTGGTAGACTGTCCATGGCGGATATTGAGGCCAATACCAGTCGCTCAAGCTTCCGGAGGTTGTCGAAAGGAGGGAATTGCTCCAAGGAGAGGAGGCACGCTAAGGTCAGTGACTTGAGATTCGTGAGACCGTCGAACGAAGGGAGCTCCGTCATCGACGTGAATGCGGAAAAGTGGATGAAGGCGAGCGAGGACATGTCGGCGAACATATCGACTGGCAGTGATACAACGGGGCTGGTAAACTTGCTCTCCAAGTGCCTAAACGTTTTAGAGATACACAGTGGTCAGTGTCTAACGCTGTCGACCATTGCCAGCGTACACGTACAGATACTCGAGGTTTGTGAATTCCTTAACCCATTGTTGTAGCGTCTGAGTGTGCGTGTACTCCATTGAACTGCATGCACACAACGGTTTAGTGTTTGGTCATCGTAAAATTTCTGAGCATTAGTCGAAGCTTACATGTGCTTTAAGTTCTTGCACCGCCGAAGCTCCTCCGGCAGTTCGGCCAGATACCGATTGGTTATCTGCAGTGTCTGGAGATCTCCTGTTGCTGACAGTTGCATCACCTTGCCCGTCACGTTGATCGGAGTTTCCCACTCTGCGTAAGTCTTCGGAGCGATGTCGCGGTCGATCATGGTCAGACACGGACACTGCGTGAGCGATCCGCTCTTGACGATCGTCCACCTTCGAGCGTTCACGACGCACTCAGGGTGGGCTTTACACGCCAAGCTGGATGTCCGCATGCTCTCCTCGACCAAAACTACCAACAAGACTGCCCACAACACTAGAAGAATGGCACCAACGCGACTCCTCTTCTGGTACACGCTGCTGCGCTGCTTCTTTGAGGTCCACGACGTGCCGCAGACGGTAGCACAACATCACATTGACAGCCGTGCGGGACAAGAAGTCCATGACCGACGTAATACGCAGCGATTTGAGGGCCTTGGAGATGACGGCGACCTCAACGGGGTCGGCTATGACTCGCGCGCCCTGTTCGAACCAACCAGCCGGGAAAACTTCCAAATTGATGGCAAACTTGGCCCGATCAAAGGTGAAGGTGGAGAGGCAGTAGAATAAGGTCAGCATTGGACACGCGACGGCGATCACGAAGTCAAACCTGCAGCAGGAACAGGGGAAAATATAAGGGTTGGCTCAGGGATTTGATACAAAACCGAATCCGCTTACGCAATGTCGATGATAGTTTCCGCTAGTGGTGCTCGTTCGTACGGGACGAACATCATGGCCGCACAAATTAGCGCGTTAGACGCTACGACGATGGTGAAGATGGCGATCAGCACTGTAGGAGACCCAGACTCGAGCATTTGATAGAGGAGAAAGGTTTCGAGAGTCAAGTCGCCGAACTTGATCAGCAGTTTCTACGGTAAGAACAGCCTTCGGTTAGAGTACGCGATCTTCTTGTGGAAGTTTTAGCGTACGTACGATCAGTTTTTGCTCTTTGCTGTCTTCATTGGCGAGCGCGGCCGCAAGTTTCGCGATAGCAGCCGATAGTTTGTTCCTCGAAGGCTCCGAAGCTGCAGCTTCCAGAGCGTTTTCGATCTTTGTCAAGAAGTCCGGTTGGCTACGACTGTCCAAGGCTTGCTTTACGTTCACATTGCGCCGGCACTTGGCCATTCTAACGAGGATAACCAGGTAGCCGCCTGCAACCAGCACGAGACCAAGCGCTGCCACGATTTTTAGCGCTTGTGGAGGGTCCACCATAAGCCAAAACGACCCGTAGTCGAACGTTGTCGTGTTCATGACGCGGTTTACCGTGTCGTTGGGCACAATATTCAACGGAATCAGCCACACAGTCCAACCAAGCACGTGCAGATAACGAAGGCTACCAGTATTTGGAGCAAAACGGGTTTCGCGGCATGATCTGGTCCCGGAGCAGTAGTCGAGTCGTAGAGTTTTGCCTTCGTGGTCGTTTCGTTCTCGGAGCTGCTATCGTGGCTGCCGGGGTGGACTCTCGCTAGTGAAGCATTGGGCGTGGCAGCCCGCAGGGATTTTCGGCGGAGGTCGTCGTACTCGTCGCTCTTCTTCATTGACTGCGAATATTCCATTAACGGTGCGTGCGTTCGTAAATGGGCTCCAAAAAGAGAGTTCGAGTCTTAGGTATTGCCAGGAGTATCACGCTATGCTTAGCCCGGTAATAAATGTCGATAGCATCGTCCACGTTTCTCACTCTGCAAGTTGACGCTGGTGTGGTCGCATGAGTTTCTTACGGTGCCACCGCGTCTTCACTAACTTTCATATTCATATTTTCCAAAAACCAACATATATTTCTTACTAGCTATCGAGGTATTTTATCAAAATGTGATAATATTCGTAAGTAGGACTACGCAAGAGCTTGTTGCTGCGAACCTGACGTGCGGTACTGTACACTGTAAAATATTTTACTGGGATAGGAAGCAACGTTAGTGCTGCTATCGCAGACCAAATAGGATTTTATCCGTGGTACATCAAGTCAAAAGATGAACCCTCTTGACATCTACTGGTGCATTTTCTTGAAACCGGTACGACTCCGGTGGCGCCCTCCAAAAGGTTTATATGCGTGGGCGGTAGGATACGTATCACACTGGTATGACCCCGGTACCGCACTGGGCCCTCCAGGGCAGATCGAACCGGTGCGCTACCGACAACACTGGTATGAAGCAGTATGCTTAGTAGGAACAAAATGAACTGAAGAGACCAATTGAAGCAGACTGTACAATAGCACTCGTTTGTATTTCTTACAAGCTCCGCATAGATCTCAACCAAAGCTCGAATTTTTAAGTTTGTAAAATGTTGCCGGTTGACAGTTTGAACTGGCAAATTCTCGGGCAGATGCTGCGGCTGCGAAGCAAGCTCAGGAGATGACCGTGGCTAAAAAGAAAAGTAATTAAAACATTAAAAAAAGAGGTTTATACCAAAATTCTCCTATCCCAGCCTTCGCGGAGCCCTAGTTTTACATGTACGTAGCTCATGTTTATGCCAATTTCTTTCATAATCATAACATGAATACGGTACTCGCAGTACAAACCTAGAAAACTGGCCGCAATTTGCTCCAGCCATCGCGCGCCAGCCACAATATCTGTACTCCCTGGACTGTGCACTGCAAGTATTCACTTCGAAGTCGGCCGTCAAGCGCGCAAGAAGGTGTCCAAGTTGGTTCATTATGCGGACGAGTTTTTACGCTGTGGTGGTGGCGATCGTCTTCGCTTCGAATGCAGTCGCTGCGAAGGACGCTAACGCAGAAACCGCTGTGAAGCTCGTGCGAGAGGGTGTTACCAAGTCGGTGGACAAGCCACGTCGTTCGTTTCAGCGAGGAGGAGAGAGCGATTGCCGACAAAGTCAAGTCTCTGCTTGGATTGAGTGAAGGCTCCACCAAACTCAAGCAAGGCCAACTTCAGAAGCTCCAGACGACGGTTGCCCGAACGAAGTCCAACTCCGGGGAGATTGCGGACTACGTTATCATGACGGTTTTCGTGGCCATAATGGCATATCGCATTTACCTCGGAGCCCGCCCTTCCCGACTTGGCGGCAGCCCGCAAGCGAACTGACACCATAAACTAAATACTAATACCGATAGTATATTGCTTAGTACTGTGCATGAACACGATCACTTTGTAATAGGGAAGTTGCCCTATTCTTCAGATGACGAGGTTTGGCATCTGAGGACCCGGTCTTTAGTAGTCGTTAGCTGATAGCTAAGTGACCATAATGATCCTCAACTAAAAACAAACAAAACAGAGAAGTTGAACTGGCCAGGTCCCAATGCTACTTACTGTACACTTCTTGCAGTCAAGGCACACAATGTGGCATTCGATTGCATCAGTGTCGATCTTTTAAGATCATCGAAGTACAATTTTTAAATTGTACTTCGAAGTGTGAGCAACCCCACAGTTCCCTCTTCGGTGATGTTGGGGCTAACTAAGTTCATGTTCGCGAATACGACCTACGAACTTAAAATCTGTCGTCGCAATCAGCCAAATTGAGCTTCTTCTACGGGTTTAAAAAAATATTAGCTTTCCCACTTACTTTCCCTTTGCTAAGCAGCAACTGCTTCTCCAGCCTCGCAGCAATCTCCTCCGATTTCCCCCTCTGCTGCAAGTAGCTTCGCGAGGTCTTTCTTGAAATATAGAGATTGCAGCACTGAGAAGATCTTTTCATCCGCGCTTTTCGGATCCAGTTTCACCATACTGTTAGTCTCGACGACTCGAACAGCCCCAATCCTGCCTGTGTTCAGCCTTAAATGTTCAAACGCGCACTTGGCTGTCACCTTTTCGCCCCGCCACATCTCGAGCACCAACTGCCAGCCTAGTTCCGTTGTGCGGCTGGCTTGGGCTGCGTTATGGGGCTGAGTTGTGTCATGTCGAAGTGCTGCTGCAATACTAACCACATCGTCTTGTAAGGGTCCTCCTTATCCAGCTTTATCACGAACGAGACCCAAAAGTTCACATCTCGACCCTGAAAAATGCGCCCACCATGATTTTTCAGCTCGAAGTTGAAGACGTCATCCGCCGATTTCTTTTTGCGCAGCCACTTTGTTGAGGGCAATTTGCTCAAATTTGCCCGCCATGTCATCGGCCACAGCCCTGCCTGTCACCACCACTTTCGCCAGCCGCGTGCCACGTTATTTATAGTACGGCTTCAGCACCACCAACAGCATAACATCCACGTCTTTGGCGTCAAGATTAGTCGCGTACGCCACCCAGGCCCTCGCGTTCCATCGATACAAATGGAAGGCGCCTTGGTCGTCAAGATCCAAGCGTTTAAACACATCCAGCGCGGTTTTCTCCTCCTTCAGCCTCGAGTTGTGCCACCTCCAGTTTGCCAGCTATGACACGCGTCCTGGCATCATTCTTCGCCTTCATCAGCATCTCAACGAACTTATCGTCTGTGGCGGTGAGCTTGGATGTATTTAAGTTCATTAGCAGCATTGCGTACAGATTTGGTTCAAATTCTCCACATACTTTACCCAGTAACTTAGCTACGGGTTGGTCAGCAAATTGCCCACTTCATCGCCCAGCTTCAGCAGCTTGAAAGCATCACCTGCGGGCTTCCCATCACGAAACCAATCTTTCATCTGAGCCTGCTCCAATTTCCCGTCAATAGACTTAGTGGTCACGCTCTCTTTCGCCGCGATAAACATTTTGGCCAAAGTTTCGTCTCTGTATCGTTTTTAGAGCGGAAAACATCAATTCGTCAGCATTCTGTGGACTTAGCTTTGCCACATAGGTGGCCCAGGAACGAAACGCTGGGCTCTCCAAAAGGTGATCGCCTTGGGTGTTCAGTTTCAGAGCGGTGATAATTGTTTTCGCAGTTTTCACCCAAACTTTATGTTGAATCTCTTCTCTACCCGTGAAGTACTGCTTCGATCCAGCAAGCATCGTCGCCAGCTCGCCGTCGCCGTAAACCGCTCTAAGGATCTTGTACATTTCCTCGTCTGCTTGCTTCCCATCCGCCTTAGTCACGTACGCGATCCAAATGCCCATTTGAGGGTAATTGGAGAGCCTTTTGTCTAGAGTGTTGAGCTTCAGAACTTGAAAATGTCGTCTGTACTTTGGGACATCTAGCTGCCGGGCAGCAAGTCCTCCACTTTCTGGGCAATCGTCGACCCAGTCACCTCCCGCTTCGCTGACCCGATGAAACTAGCGACGACATCGTCGATGGCATGCGCCCGTATTTGTGCAAGCAGCAGCTTGTACAGATTTTGGTTTATCATCTCCACGTAGGACCAGTAGTGGACTCCGCATAGAAATAAACCGGTCCTTGTCGAGTTTCAGAGCTTCAAGAATGAAATCTGCGATTTTCCCTTGGCCAATTCTTCATCTGAGCTTCCTTCCAGTCTGATAGCAACCGCCTGAGTACTCGAGGCAATAGCCATTCATCTGCTCCCGAGTTCGGTTTGTACCCTTTTACTACCGCACAGGTAAGTTGTTAGAGCCGTGGATTTTCTAGTAGCTTGGTCTTGTAATTGAAACTTTTCATCTTCGTGAAGAGCTGAAACACCTCAGCTAGCCTTGAAATAATGGGGGTTTTAGCATCGGTCGTATTTACCAGGGCTCGCAAATGGTGCTGATCGGGTACCCGTACCCGCCCGCCCACAAGCCACGGGTGTACCCAGGCCAGCCAGGGCTCAAGGTTTTGTACGGACGGACCAACTGTTACATCTCCCGACACGGTTTTAAAAGATCTAAAGTTAAACATTTCAGTAGGAACTACGCGAAATCAATGCAGAGTGAAAAGGACTTGTGGAGGCTAAAAGAAGACTGCGTAGGAGCATGATATAGCTGGTATAAGTAAGAAATATTATTACTATTTAGTACTATTTTCGTCAACTTCGGGTACCCGTGGCACCGCCCGAGGTTTGCTTCGGGTACCCGTACCCGACCCGAAACCGGGTATACCCGAGGCGGGTAGAGCGGGTACAAGAAACGGGTACCCGATTGCGAGCCCTAGAGCTTCGCGGTGGCCTCGAGGATGACGACACCTCCGGCGAGTCGTGCAGCGACGTCACTGGTATTTATTAATACCCTCGTCTTGTGAGTTCTCCAGTGCCTCGTATGTCTTATGGTCGATAGGTACATCATGTCATGTAAGCTTACTGAAAGTAATGCAATTTGAGATGATCACCTAGGTATCCGGACAATGAACAGCAAGATGTGAAATCGTGACTACCAGATAGTCAGAAGGGTGTGGAACATCGTGCTTCTGACTGCGATGCCAGACTTAAGAACTCTGTATTTTTATTAGACACGAAGGCTTGTAACGGGTAAGACTCAGAAAGAAAAAAAAGTCAAATACCTAACCGGTGTAGATTTATCGTGATAACGTACGATCCAGTTCATATATTTTGTAGTTTCCGCTCTTGTTTACGCTTTTGATGAAATACTACAACCGATTTGCTTCAGCAACCGCGCGCCAGCCACAACAGATGCACTCCCTGTGCTGTGCACTACACTGTATTCACTTCGAAATCGGCCGTCAAGCGCGCAAGAAGGTGTCAAAATTGGTTCATTATGCGGACGAGTTTTTACGCTGTGGTGGTGGCAATCGTCTTCGCTTCGAGCCTTCTCGACCATGCAGTCGCTGCGAAGGACGCTAACGCAGAAACCGCTGTGAAGCTCGTGCGAGAGGGTGTTTCGAAGACAGTGGACAAGCCACGTCGTTCGTTTCAGCGAGGAGGAGAGAGCGATTGCCGACAAAGTCAAGTCTCTGCTTGGATTGAGTAAAGGCTCCACCAAACTCAAGCAAGGCCAACTTCAGAAGCTCCAGACGACGGTTGCCCGAACGAAGTCCAACTCCGGGGAGATTGCGGACTACGTTATCATGACGGTTTTCGTGGCCATAATGGCATATCGCATTTACCTCGGAGACCGTCCTTCCCGAGCTGGGGGCAAGGCGAACTAACACCATAACAAAATGCAAATACGGTATTTCTTAGTACTGTGCATGAACACGATCACTTTGTACCAGGGGAGTTGAAACGATCGGATCACAGATATTGAATCGGCTTTTCGGAAATGCTACGCTTGAAGAACTGTGCACTGCCAACGTTGAATAAAGAATGCAAGATTGCAACTAGAGTTGAGAACACTCGCGCACTCATGACGATTTTGGTGGCTTTGATATGAGACATTTAATTCAAAGTACTCTATGTTTTACTTCAATATGACCTCTTTGGTTTCTGGGATCTATCTCGTCACGTAGATCGAGTTTGATAAAACTGAAAGTAGCTTCGGAAAGCTTACGCCACAGCGCGTCTGGTGTATTTTTGCTACTCCCAATTACTACGTAAAGAGCGACCAGGAGTTCATTCAAGTTTTGGCGATACATGTATTAGACCGGACAAGTTTAGAACTGAGGTTTTTCTTGGCATACTAGTATTTTTGACGAATCAGCGAACAGGCTAGCATATATTTGCCCAATCGCATAATGTGTGTGGTACACATAAAACCCAAAGAGGTCATATTGAAGTGAAAAAGAGTACATGTAGTAGCAAAATGCAGGAGAAAATTGCTCACAGCTTACAGTATTCCATGCATGATAGTAGTAGGTAGTAGTATTAGTACACCTTTTCAACTTCAAAACCGCAAATTGTAAGTTCAAAACAGCAAAAGGTAAGTTCAAAACTGCACGAGCAGAGACCAGGCCAGCTTCGTACTTTTATACACAGCTCATTGGTTGGCACGCATACATTTATAGAGTATTGTTGTTTTGATCTTACCTTTTGCTGTTTTGAACTTACAATTTGCAGTTTTGAAGTTGAAAAGGTGTAGTCGAAGAGACTTTATTGAGTTCCGACTATTAAAGTCCTAGACTTGCTTTGATGGCTTCCAGCAAAGGCAGATTCCTTGCTGGGGCTGCTTGTCGAAATGTCTGAATTGACGAATTTGTCGGCATATTCAAAACCTATCCAAACACTGCTGTAACGCAGTATTCCATGCATGTTAACACGGGCAAACAAATTAATGTTTAAGTAGACGATATCATACGAAGTCTGCTTACATGGGGCGTCCGATAATGACAAGCAAGTCGACTGTAAATGCACTCAGAATTACTTTATAAAGAGCACAACGAGTCTTGGCAAAAGAACTTTCGAAGCTTCGATAAAAGTTGCAGCAATAGGAGCACTTCTCTTCCTATTTACATTTGTTAGTCACCAAACGAAACATAATAAATAAATACATAAGTAAAATTAAATAAATAAATAACCTTTGCACCAGTGAATTCGTTCGATGCAGTGTCGACGGCAGCTTCTTAGTGTTTTGTATGGGGTGGGGTATGCACATGAAGGAACCTAGGCGAAAATACCAATGCTTTTGACCTCTTCGCCGTCGAATGCTATTATACTGGCAGAAAATGAAGGGGCTAGTAAGTCGCCGAATTTTGTAATCTCTCCACCAACCCCTTCATTTTCTGCCAGTATAATAGTTCTACGTATTAGAGTACCACTTCCAGAAATCTTCGTAAGTTACACCCACGGAGGAAATGCAGCAATTCAAGCGTACTGTACGACAAAGGAGAAGCATTGCTGTACGTGTTGCGAGTGACCAGGCAGTAACCACGTCTCGGTGGGAACAGAAAAGTATCGCAAGGGGCCACCTTCGGAACTGCCACCTTGTCGACGGGCGACCTTGAAGCTTGAAGCAGCGACTTCAAGTGAGCTCGCGATGTATGAAGCGCCACCGTCTAGAGGAAGTAGCGTCCATGGTCCATGGCATGGAGGTCTCATCAAAATACCAGGTGTCGTGACTCGTTGACTCTATTTTGGCTATGCAATCGCGATTGCGACTTATCTCGCGCGTTTGGACTTGGCTCCCCCACGGCGGAAAAGGCCGATATCATCTGCATCTCCACCGCTCGGTATCTGCCTTGCAGTACAGTACTCGCAACCAGCATTACAAGTTGGCCGGAACGCCCTCGCATCGTTCCCTCTAGGCGGGAAAGCACGTTTAATCTTCTACCAACTGATGAAAGGCGACTGTACCAAACTCGACTCGACTCGACGCTGGCTGCACGCTCGATCCTATCGGCGGCGGTGGCAAGTCGCCACCGCCGCCGATAGGATCGCCACTGGCGAGACCCTCCAAGAGCAAAGGAGAGCTAGGCCTCTACGTTGTCTGTCCACCACGTCCGAATACTTGAAGTTTTCCCCGCTGCAAACAGTGCATTTTGCAGTCGAGCGCGCTTGGGGGAACCGTCACAAGCGCCGCAATGTGGCGCATTTTCGCGCACATTCCGACGTCATCTCCCAGGACGTGGAAGGCCGTGCCGATCTCGCCCAACGATCTCAGGCACCGTGACGCCAGGAAGTCATGGACCCAAAGCCCATGAAGGTCGACGTTCCACACCAAAACTTATTAATACATGTATACTTCAACGCGTAGTTGGCGCTCACATGCAGAGTTCTCCCGTGTGTGTGACTGTAGTACCGGTACATGCCCCCACCACTCGAGGCTCGTCGAGCGGTGCGGTGTTCGCGAAACCTGCTGGTGGTTGCCTGTTGCCGGTGTAACGCTTGCAGTTGGTCGTCTCTGCAATCGAACGACCCAGGTGTCGGGTGCTCTGACCGCGCGGGGATTTGTGGCTCGGGGCGGGTCCACCAGCGCAGAGAAGCCCCCGGGTTTCAACCACGAGCAGCAAAACGCGGTTAATCCTGGCCGAACTGGCGCCTCGCATCGTGTTCGTTAGTTTTCGCTGGGTCTCTGGCTCTTTTGCCAGCAGCGCCTAATGCCCAGCTGGAAGTGTGTCTCGCCCCGCCCGCAGGACATGCGGTCGTGCGCTCGCAATGGTAGAGAGACCGTGCATCTAGTCAGGATAGGCGCGGGTCTCCGGAAGCGCTGGCGCCGCTCCATTCAGGAATTTCCCTCCACGCTCTTGCATCTCGCGGCAAAAGCGTACTGTACTCAGGATGGTCATGCAGACGATCTCGCACGCCCTCCTGGGCCTCGCGCTGCTCAACGGCGTCGCGCAGGGCTTCAACGTTTACGTGTCCAACATGTGCGACGATGGCATGACGCTCGCGCACGTGTCGCCCTCGGGCTCCGAGACGGAGCAGGTTGCGGCTGGCGGCACCACCACCAAGTCTATCGCGCCCGGCTCGGCCTCGCACGTGTTCAAGTGGGGCACTGGCGCCCAGGCCACTCGTGAGTTGCAGCCAAATACCCTATCGAGTTCACACCATTACACAGCCTATTAACGCTAGTTCGTGCTGTGTTCCAGTCGCCGAGTTCTCGGGTGAGGGCGGCAAGGTCTGGTACGACATCAGCATCATCCCCACGGGCCCCAAGAGCGGCGTAAGTACTAAACATTTTAATCTCCGTTTTGCTGTTCGAGCGGGACGCGAATGTCCGCTTCCTCTCTCCCGCATTAAATGCTAACGTCACGGTATCTTTGCGTTATACTGTATCATGCAGCCCGAGTACTGCGAGAGCCTGCAGGCTTGCAAGGACCTGACGGGCGGTGTCGGCTTCAACGTGGCCATGCAGATCACGCCCCACTCGCCGGACGGCGGTCGCTGCGTCGAGCTCACGTGCATGGCCGACGGCTGCGCGGACGGCTACCAGTTCCCCAAGGACGACACCAAGACGCACACGTGCCCACTGGCTACGGACTTCGACCTGACGTTCTGCCCCGGCGGCACTGGCGGCGCCACGCCCGCCCCGCAGACGCAGCCGCCGACGCAGGCCCCCACCACTCAGGCGCCCACCCCGACGCCGACCCCCACGCCCACGCCCACGCCGACTTCCACGCCCTCGCCCGAGGAACAGAACTCGGCCCCGTCGTCGGGCACGAGCTCTCACTCGAACGGTTCGGCTGGCCAGTACCAGGACCAGACTCAGAAGTCCGCATCGGCTTCGGCCTCGCAGGCGGAGGCTGGCGCCAAGCAGAGCTCCACCACCAACAAGAACAACAACCTGCGCCAGGAGGACTCTACCAAGTTGACGGGCACGGTCTCGCAGACCGCCCAGTCCACTGAGGAGACCATCGGACAGACCCCTTCTGCCGCCTCGAAGGAAGACGGCGTGCAGCAGGTGACCAACAGGGCCGGCGAGGAGAGCGGCGGCAGCACCCCGTACGTCGTGATCAGCATCGGCTGTGCCGTGGGTGTCGTGGCTGCCGCTGCCATCTTCGCCGTGCGCAAGAAGAAGGCCATGCTCGACGAGCTGGAGAGCAAGACCCCCATGTCCACGACGGCCCAGGGCCCGCTCGCCAACTTCCGCACTCCGCGTGACAACGTCAGCGTGCTGTAAGCCCGAACTCTCACTGGCTCAGCCGCAGTTTTGAATGTGGGCGTACACACTTTTTATCTGTAGATACTGGTAGGAGACCCGCGCGTATTGTAAATACGTACTGCGTGGTTTGAAGAGGAGACGACGGATTTTTTTGGACATACAATCCCCCGGTGTGCACGCGCGTGAGTTGCCTTTGTTGCGTATGGTAATGTATTCTTAAACGGATAAGGACGATAAGGACGATAAGATCGATTCCTCAGACAAGACGCGACTGAGCAGGTCCGTAAATGTGCTCACTCTGGAAATAGGTTGGACGAGGAAGCTTTCATCATAAGACGTGTGCTTCTGACCAGTGTCTCGCCAAGTATCACTCCCTTATCTCGTCTCAAGGAGCAACACCACCAAGCACAGGCAACTCAATACCCGGAAAGCGATGCGAAAGCCAGCGTTCGAGTCGCTAGCTGCAGATGAAGACGGCGGACGTGAAGTTTTCCACAGTCCTTCGTTCCGGAAACCTGCTGCGGATAATGACCCTGCCTCTCTCAGGAAAATTTACCCAACCGCGTCGAAAGCTGCAGGCAGCAGCGGTAACAATGCGGCCACAGGACCGCGAAATTCGAGAGCGAAGAAGTCACGACTCGTTTTCCAAGTGGCGATTGCTCTGGTGGCGTGTGTCTGCTTGGTTTGGACGCTGTGGCTCATCTTGCTGAATGTCGCGCCTAACGAGACTATCAACCGCGTCATGAAAACGGAAACCTTCGACTACGGCTCCTTCTGGCTCATGGTTGATCCACCGAAGGCGATGATGGTCGCGGCTACGATTGGGCTGTTCGTGGTGGCAATCGGGTACTTGAGCGTTCTCGTCGCGATGCTCCCCTTCAAGCGGAAACATAAGTACGCAGCTCCTGTCCACCGCGGCAGCCACGTTCTGGTGGAAAAGGTGGGCAAGGTTTTGAATGATGCGGCCGAAGACCGAACGGGGAGCAAAGTGACCTCCTCAGCTGCAAAGCTGGTTGTCTCGCTCACTCACGAAGAGAGTTTGGCACGGAAACGAATCGTACGTTGTTCTTCCTCTTCTTCTTCGTGGTCATCCCTGAACTATACTAATTCTCGCTATCAACTATGTAGAAACTACTGATGAAGTTTGGTGACTTGGCTCTTGAGACGTTTCTTCTCGTTCAAATGCTCGAGTCCGGCTCGCCAACTCCACTGATCGCCTTCTTTACGCTAGTGGTCGTCTTCAACGCGCTTTCTTGTGCGGCCATGATGTTTGTGCCGTATGAACGCGCGCCGCTCGCTGAAATTTTCATCGATATCTCGTAAGTTCTCTTGAAACTTATCCTAATTGTTTGAATGGTGTCGATTCTCACGAATTGTTTTAATGCAGAATTGACTTCCTCATCGCTATCGGGTGCCCAATGCTGGTCGTTCTCTACTGTCTGTCCGCCTTCACCTTTGACCGCACCAAGTTCGCCATCAACATTGAAGTTTACCCGTCAGGCTGGTTCGAACAGAGTGCGAGCGTGAATGCGGACCCGGTACAAATCGCCGTCATCTACAAAAGCCTCAAGTCTCTGCGCATCATCACCGCGTTCGAGTTGCTGGCGCGGGTGGGCGTCAACGTCATGTTCTCCTTGCGTTTGCGCTACGTCGTGGGGCTCAGTCGCCGCTCCAAGCGACTACGCAGTAGTCTGTACCCGAAGCGCCACCGCCTTGGAGCCATTGGACTTGTGCTGTATGCCCTGATTCTGGTGATCTTTGTCGAGGAGAGTATGCGTACGTCTACGCAGGCATGCCAGCCACACCCAGAATGCGCCGTGAATGCCCATCGCTGGACGCTTCTGAAGGATGATTCGCTGACACAATGTCCGTGCCTGATGCTGATCGACCGGGACATCGCCCCCAAGACGTTCGACGAGTGGATCCTGCCGAGGAACGTGACGGACAAAGTGATTCAACTCGCCACAACTGGAGACCTACAGATGCTGCAGCTGACGAACCGATATTTGGGTGAGCTTCCAGTCGAACTTCGCCGCTGCAAGGACTTAAGGCACCTGTACGTTGCATATCTGCTACATGGGGTTACCTTTCTACTACTGTAAATTTCTAACCGTACGTGAAATATGCCTCCAGGTCGCTGGAATACACCAACACGCAGACATTCCCCCCGTGGGTCAAGGAGTTCAACAAACTCGAGTTCTTACATGTAGAGAGCAAAGTGACCAGTCCCATGGTGTTTCTGCCCGACGATCTCTTCGACGACATGTCGTCGCTCACCTATCTTCACCTGGCGATGTTTCTTCCGATCACGCACATGCCGTCCTTCCAGGGTCTCACGGGCCTTAAGTCGATCACAATGGCTGCCTTCCTATCCCTCCAGGAAGTGCCTCCACTCACAAGCCTTCACAAGCTCGAGCGCCTCGTCCTAGCGGCGCTCGTATCGATCGACAGTTTGCCGGACTTGTCCCCGGTTCGGAATCTCAAGTCGTTTGTGGTATCGGATCGAGGCGCGTGGTGCTGCAATGGCTTCCTGGGAGACTGCGACTTGAGCGACGAGAAGTGCATGGTGCATCCAGTGTGGGGGACTCCTGCTGCTACCTGCCTACCGTCGAATCGGACCGAGAAAATAGCTACTGAAGCTACACGGGAACTGGTCCAGAAATTCTCGGCTACTGTTTGTGGGGACGTGCTCCGACCCGGATTGCTGGAAGGTCCGCCCACGCCTGACATTATGGCCCCGTGCAACGGAACCATGTACCGACAGTGTCCGAGACCCGACCATATCGAGTCAATGTGCTACAACGCGAGGTTCATGGGCGTTGCGTGCTCTACGAACCCGTTTCCGATTGAAATGCGGCGGCGGCAGATCGCTCAAGGCGTTGGAGACAAGTGCAATCCGGAGTTTGAAGCGTGGCTGGGGTGTAAGTAGGTTCTTGAACGGAGAGAGCGGCGTTGTCTAAATATTAAATCTACATTTATATATGTTAATTAAAGGCTGCTAAAGAAGTGCGCGAGCTTAGTGGATCTACGCACAGATGAGGCGACGTCACTCGCTGCATTCCTTGGGCTTCGTGGTGGTTGGTCGTGGCACTATCAATAGCAGCTTCCTCTGACGAGGACAACGGATTGCCAGTTCTAAAGACGAACTTCGTCCGTCCTTCTTAGCGCTCTTCACCGTCCGTCCACACTTCTAATTCCTCCCAGGCACGGATAGTTCGTCGGAGCCCTCGATGGAGCGGTCGAACCTCGCTTTCGACAAAGGCGTCGAGCGGCAAGTCTTCGGTTCGTCACTGAGGCTCAAGCGCCATTCGCTCCCTCAGGCACCCTCTCCGAACAAGGTTTTCCCCCACTTTGGGCAAGCCGGGGAGCTCCTCGAAGCGCCAAAACTCTGGCCCGAAGTCACTTGAGTCCGCTGGGGTCCGTCACGGACTGCAGTCCGTCCTCCTGCTAGTGCTGATCGCGATGGCGGTCTGCGTCTGCTTCGGGTGGACACTCTGGCTCATCCTGCTGAACGTCGCGCCCGACGACACTGTGAACCGCGTCATGAACACGGAGACGTTTGACTACGGGTCCTTCTGGCTCATGGTAAACCCCTCGGAGGCCCTGGTGGCGGTGGCCACGGTCGGCATGTCCGTCGTTGCGCTCGGGTATCTCGGCGTTCTGGTCAAGGTGGTGACCCGCTTTCATCGACGAAAGAACGCGTTCTTGATCCACCAAGCGAGCAGCAAAAGGGGGAGGGCTCAGAGTGACACGAGTGATAGACACCTGAGCAGTAAAATGGCTATTACAACGAAGAAATTCGCAAAATCGCTCATTCAGGACGAGAGCCCAGCGCGTAAACGTATCGTACGTCCCAATTCCTTTTTTTATGTTTTTTTCTTAAACCACGCTCACTCTCTCCTTTGTTTTGCAGAAATTGTTGATGAAGTTTGGCGATCTGGCGCTTGAAACGCTGCTACTGTATCAAATGCTAGAAGCCGGCTCACCCTTGGTTCTTATCGGCATTTTTACGTTCATCGCCGCATCCAACGCCCTCGCTTGTGCGGCAATGATGTTCGTACCGTACGAACGCGCGCCACTGGCCGAGACTTTCATCGACATCTTGTCTGTATCCTGAAAACCTCATGTATTGCCCATGCCTAGGCTTTGATCTAACCTTTTCTACTTACCTTTTTTGCTTAGGTTTGACTTTTTGATCATTATCGGCTGCCCCATGCTCGTGGTGGTCTACTGCCTCTCGGCCTTCACCTTTGACCACGCCAAGTTCGCCATCAATCTGGAGGTTTTCCCTGCCGGGTGGTTCGAGCAGGGAGCAAACGTCATCGCAGACGCGGAGCAGACCGCAGTCATCTACGAGAGTCTCAAGTCGCTGCGGATCATGACGGCGCTCAGCTTCTTCACGCGCATCGGCGTCAATATCACGCTCTGCCTCCGACTTTGGCAGGTTGTGGACCTCATCCACAACCCCAACAAGCAGCACAGTAGCGTGTACCCGAAGCGCCACCGATTGGGAGCAGCGTTCCTCGTCATTTACGCTGCAATGCTCGTGATTTTCGTGGAGGAGAGCGTCCGAACGTCGTCGCTAGCGTGCCGCCCACACCCGGAATGTGTTGTGAGCGCTCGTCGCTGGACGATTCTCGAAGACGGATCGTTGTCCCAGTGTCCATGCTTAATGCTGATCGACCGAGACATCGCGCCGAAAACTTATGCTGACTGGGAGAACCCAGTCAATGTGACGAATAAAGTTGCTCAGCTGGCGGTAAAAGGAGAGCTACAGACCGTTCAGCTGACTAACCGATACTTGGCTGTTTTTCCAGAGGAGCTGCGACGCTGCAAGAACTTGAGGCACCTGTATGACCCCAATGGTTTGGGGGGGGGGACGTTGTTTTGAATGTTCTAACTAGTTTTGTTATGCTGACGCAGATCTTTAGAGTACACGCACACGCAAACGTTCCCGTCGTGGATGAAGGAGTTCAGCAAGCTCGAGTTTATGTGGGTTTGGTGCTTTCTCAAGATCTCAAAATATGTGTTGAGTACGCTAATGATTTTATGGTATATTAGACACGTCGATAGCAAGTTTACCAGTCCGATGGTAGCACTACCCGACGACATGTTCGAGGACATGTCGTCTCTGACCTTCATCCACTTCGCTGCGTTCATCCCGATGGCAAAGCTGCCGTCCTTTGATGGCCTCACTAACCTCAAGTCGCTCACATTGGCTGTCTTCCTCTTGCTCGACGAAGTCCCGTCCTTCGACAAGCTCGAAAATCTCGAGCGTCTGGTGCTGGCGTCGATGCCAGGCATGAACAGCTTGCCGGATGTATCCCATGCTGGAGGGCCCACCCACTCCGGAACTCATGGCGCCCTGCAATGGGACCATGTGGAAGCAGTGCGACTGTTGAAGCGATGTGCTACAACGCCCGATTCATGGGCATCGCCTGCACGACGAATGTTTATCCGATCGAGATGAGACGTCGACAAATCGCACGGGGCGTTGGTGATCCCTGCGACCCTGACGTTGAGGCGTGGCTGGGCTGCAACGCGAGCTGAATACTGTGCGCTACAATTGCACATGCATTTTTAAAAACCAAATGATATACAAACAAAATGTGACTGCGGTAAAGCTTCAGTTGCGAAAGAATTCGGCTTTGGCTGTCGTTTAAACGTAGCGATTGGGATTTGATTCGAATCATTCGAAGAATCGCTCAAATAACTTCCCCACCAGCAAGTTGAATTCGATCACTCCTCCACAACCACTATAGCGATACATTACACTTTAGCCAAAAGGCACAGAGGAAGCTACAGTAGCCCAGTTTGATTTCTATCTATGTACGAAATAATCAACCCCGCTCTTAATCTTGATGGCTGCGGTTTGCTTGGTAACTCTGCCTGTAGCCCGGACCTACCACACACTGCTGTTACACTTTATGATTGCGATGGGCCTGGAATATACAGTGCGAACAAGTATAGCGTCCGACCTCGCAATTCAAATCAACGGGCAAGCGAATTATAGCGTTACCCAAACAATACTAGCTGACCCTTCCTACACTTTATCCTGCTGTCAACGCAGCGCACTAGTATCGATGATTTTCATACATGTTTGTAACATATCCTCCCTCCAACCGATCCAACGTTTGATCCTAAAGATATAATACAGTTCTATTTGCTGTCCCTCAACTACTCGGACAAGGGGCGTTCTCGTTCTGGAACCACTGCGCCAAGTACAAGAGCTCGGAAACTCACTATTCATTTTTCCTCCTCAAGAGAACAAGCGACAACAATGAAGTTCATCTTCCAGATTCTGACGACGGCGGTGCTGGCGGCCACAGGAGCTGCTGACCTGCTGAACTGAGCGAGATCTTTGGCGGCCCTCACGGCGACAAGTACTCCGACCTGGACGTCGTAATGCCCGCACAACAGGTCAAGTCCATCACAATCCGCTCTGGCGAGCGCGTGAACGGCGTGGGCCTCGTGATGACGGACTTCTGGCGGGACGACCACACCCTGTACCACGGCGGCTATGGCGGCGACAACGAGACCCTCTCTCTGAGCGCGGGCGAGCACGTCACCGAGATTGAGGCGCACTGGGACGAGTATCGCAGCCACACGCGCATCTTCTACATCAAGTTCACCACCGACAAGGGCAACAAGATCGAAGGAGGCACCCCCGTTCTGGACTCGGCCAACATTGGAAAGGAGACCGCGCCCGACGGCTACCAGCTCGGTGGCTTTGTCGGTTATGCCGGCAAGGAGCTCGACATGGTTCAGGCCATTTGGGCGGACCAGAGATCCTGGTAGATTTCGAGCACGTCTGCTTCGACATAGCAGCCAGCCACTTCATCAGCGATAAGTGATTTGTTTCTGCCTGAATAAGTTGCATTTAGGAATACATGGGTAATGGACTAGAAAAAAAGATAACCCGTCACGATCCACAATCTTTTATTTTGTTTATCTAGTGAATCAACTATCCTTGCACCCAAGCCAAGCCTCCTCCTTCGGATCGCACGGATCGCCCACCCCTTGTGCGATCTGTCGCCGCCGCATTTCAATTGGAAATCGATTTGTAGTACAAGCAATTGCCATGAATCGCGCGTTGTAGCACATCGACTCGACGTTGTCCACTGTAGGGCACTGCTTCCACATTGTGCCATTGCACGGGGCCATGAGGTCAGGTCTTCGAGAACTCCAGGCTGGAGGACGGGACCACACGTGGTGGCGTCGAACTTCTCAACAGCCGCGAGAGTCGCCGCTGAGGCGCGTTTATCCGTACAGGAGACGACTGGACTCCCCCACAGTGGATGAACCCCACAGTTGGGGTTGGCAAGGTCGCATTGGCCGAGAAAGCCATTGCAGCACCAGGCACCACGATCCGATACTGCGAACGACTTGAGGTTCTTGATCTGGGAGAAGTCGGGTACGCTATCGATTGCAGTTACGCACGATAGTACAATCCTCTCGAGGTTCTGAAGGTGGTCGAATGACGGGACTTCTTCGAGAAAGAGGAAGACAGCCAATGTGAGCGACTTCAGGTTAGTGAGGCCATCAAAGGACGGCAGCTTTGCCATCGGGATGAACGCAGCGAAGTGGATGAAGGTCAGAGCCGACATGTCCTCGAACATATCGTCGGGTAAAACCACCATCGGACTCGTGAACTTGCTCTCCACGTGCCTAAATCATCAATCAATATATTTTAAACATCAAAACTCAAGGATAATCTGACCAACTTGTCGGCATAAACTTACAAGTATTCGAGCTTGGTGAACTCCTTCACCCACATCGGGAACGTCTGAGTGTGCGTATACTCTAGCGACCTAGAAGATAAAAGCAAAATCAGTCATCTCAACGAAGATGAATCCAAAACAAGTGTAGACCGTACAGATGCCTCAAGATTCTTGCAGCCACGTAGCTCATCAGGAAGGACGGGTAAATAGCGGTTCGTCAATTGAATCGTCTGTAGCTCGCCCATAGTAGCAAGCTGTGCCACTTTGTCCGTCACGTTCCTTGGGCTCTCCCACTCCGCGTAAGTCTTTGGTGCGGTATCGCGATCGATCAGCATCAGACACGGGCACTGGGTCAGCGACTCATCCTCCAGAATCGTCCATCGTCTTGCCTTGACTACACACTCGGGGTGCGGCTCGCAGGCCAACGCAGACGTCCTCATACTTTCCTCCACGAAAACAATCAGCAACGCAGCGTAAATGAGGAGAACAATAGCTCCGAACCGATGGCGCTTCGGGTACACGCTGGTACACCGCTTCTTCGGATCGTGGATGAGGTCCACCACTTTCCACAGCCGAATGCACAAAGTGAGGTTAACTCCAATTCGAGTGAAGAAACTGAGCGCCGTCATAATACGAAGCGACTTGAGACTCTCGTAAATAACTGCTGTCTGCTCCGCGTCTGCGATCACACTCGCTCCCTGCTCGAACCAACCGGCCGGGAAAACCTTGAGATTGATGGGGAATTGAGCTCGGTTGAAGGTGAAGCTGGAGAGACAGTAGAAGACAACGAGCATGGGGCACCCGACGATAATGAGGAAGTCGAATCTACACGCACAATAAATGGTTAACGCCTGGTAGAGCGACTTGTACCAAACCTACCACGAAACTTACAGAATGTCGATCAGAATTTCAGCAACGTTCATGAGGTACAAACATCATCGCTGCACAAGCGAGTGCATTCATAACGACAATGAACGTGAAGACCACAATGAGCGGTGGGGGGGATCCCGCGTCCAGCATTTGATACAGGAGGAGCGTCTCCAGCGCCAAGTCGACAAATTTCATCAACAAATTCTACAAAATACAACAAATTGTGAGAGGAGTTCCCAACATCGGGAATGTAAGCAAATGAGACGTACGGTAATTTTCCGTGTCGGGCTGTCCTCGTGGGTAAGTGACACGGCCAACCTCGCAGCTGAAGAAGCCAATCGACTTCGTCTACTCGAATCTGCCGCGTCGTTCAGAGCCTTCTCCACCTTGTCTCTCAAGGACCGGTTGGTCACTCGGTGGACCAGATAGCTCTGTCTCGAGCGTCGAATACACGGGAGCATCTTGACCAGAACGCCCACGTACCCCAGCGCTACAACGGACAGACCGAAGGTCTCCACCCCCACCATCGCCTTCGAGGGGTCCACCAAAAGCCAGAACGAGCCGTAGTCGAAGTTTTCCGTATTCATGACGCGGTTCACCGTGTCGTTCGGAGCAACGTTCAGCAGGATGAGCCAGAGCGTCCACCCCAAGCTAGTGCAACCCGATACGGCGATCAAGATGAGAAAGAAAATGCTTTGTGGCGTGTGCGGCTGAGTGGCACGCTGGGTGGTTACCGGTCTGTGGGGGCTCGCTTTGGTATTAGGACTCTTCTTCGCAGCTTGCGCCTCCGTGGGGTAAACTTTCGTCTGCGAGGCTGCTGCAGCGTTGCTCGCAGGAGGTTTGCGATGCAAGTTCCCGTCGAAGACTTCGCGTCCGTCGTCTTCCTCGGTTGGGAGGTAGGTGAATGCAGGGGACTGCATCACGCCGCTCGCCTGACTTCAGTACGAGGCTGGCTGGGCTGGGCCCTCAAATAAAGTCCATCAACCGCGTCTTATGAAGATTGATTCAGGCTGCCTGCTTCTTGTCCAGAGACCTATTGATAGCGTTGCAAAACAAAAGAGAAACGACCCTGAGGAAGCAAAAGAAAGCAGGGTTGTTTCATTAGCTGGGTTGACACACGCTCTTCCGTGGTCCTTCCCAGCGCTCAGTTAGGGTAATGCGACCGGTTACCGGCCACCTAAGGGAAAATTGATGTAACTTAGCAAATACTTCTCTGGCCCACATAAGAAACAACACTTCGGTTTTCTGGACATAACTTTTTACAAAAAAATCGTTTGGTGACTCGCAATACCTCGACCGAAAGCTGCGCATTTGCTCCGTTTCACGCTATGATTTAAAAAAATCTAGCAGCAGAAAGAAAAGAGAAACAGCCATTTATCTGAAGTCTGTTTTAGGCAACATTAGGTTTTTTAGCGAGGTGCCGTCAAAAATTAGCGATATTAGAAAATAACATATCACCGTAATCGCGAGTGACTGCTTTACCCTTACCAGCCGAGCGCCGCCGCTACGCGGCGGTAAGTTTAGGTTAGTCGTAGTAGTGAGGGCCGCCCACCTCCACTTCGCTCCGGTGGGCTGTTTTCCAGTCAAATGTCATTAATTTGGATTGTATGCACGTAAGAAGGTGTTTGTATGTTGGGAGTACTCTTAGTATGGTTAAAAGTGGCTGGTATCAGCTTCATCACGTCAGTGTTACCATAAGTAGATGCACTTGCAAGATAATATATTTTCTATCGCATGGTACTGTGTTGTAAACCATGTCCAACATCGTCGCAGGTATTCAACCCAAACTACAAAGTATCTGCATTTAGGACAGCTCGTGTTTAGTGTGCTCTCATAAGTCTGTATACGTGTTATTTTACCAAGTGTATCACTCTGCCATGGTTTCTGTTAGTTGGTCCAAGAGTATAGCCTTTACATTCTGTATCAAGGCTATAAGCCTAAATAACAATTCACGCTTCGCAATACCTCTCCTTAGCATATCGTTAGTGCTTCGTTCTTATTAAAACATCGTGAACATATACATATCGGGATCGTTTCGGCATTTATATGATCCATAAATGTATTCAACTTCGGGCTGCGATAATGTGGCCTCATCAAAACTTATTTTTATTTAAGTATTAGTCTAAGCGGAGTACATAAGCACATTAGCGCACCACCTGCACCACAGCCGCTAAGACATTGAAAGTAACAACTTTGCATTTCGTATCTATGAAGTATACGTTGCACTATCCAAGTTCCGTTTCCAGCGTTTAGCATACAGGTAGAGCGCGTCCAAGGTTATCTATCATAGAACTCCAGCTCATTGAATGTCAGCGTCTACTATTCAGATCTCATTATACTACATACCGACACATAACATAAGCTATCGATGCATGAACCACTTTTAGCCTTTAGCCTGTATCCCGATCTCCAATGCTATACAGAGAACGGAAGGGAGTTCAGGTTCAGCATGGCGCGGTAGAAAGAATAAATACCAGCGTAGTGTAAGTAACCTAAATACACACACATGAACCCCTTTTTGCAATAGCATATACTTCGAAGGATGTTTATCACGTTGAGAGCCAAGTACGCGGTAGTTGTAGTTAGTTTGTCCCTGTAGTTTTACTATAGTGAAATAAGCTCGGCTCCTTGTTAATACTTAACCACCTTCAGCTCACCTTGCGCTACATGTACTCGCACTGCTACCACTTACAACGTTGCTGCTATCACTTACTACGTGCTCCTATCACTTTCTGCGTGCTGCTATCGCTAACTATACGTGCATGCCGCTCACTACGTGCTGCTAGCGCTTAACTATGCGCTCCTATCGCTGACTACGTGCTGCTATAACTAACTATGCGCTGCTATGGCTTACAATGTGTTTATATGAACCAACCTCGCTACCTTACTATTATACTTAGTAGTAGGGCAGGCCCAGCTACCTATCGCTTTGCTATAACGCGGTGATCCGAACGGGGGTGATCTCATCGCCCCCGTTCCGCTCGCCTCGTCGGCTCGCTGCACTACTCGCAGTGTTATTAGTTAATAGTATTGGGCAGGCCCTGCGGTCCCGCTGGATCGCAAGGGGGGGGTCTGCCTTCGCTACGCTCGGCAGCTAATCGAACTTAGTGGGAATCGTACTTAGCGAATAAGCGTGACGATTTCTGTGACCGACGGACAGCGACGCTCTGATTGATTCTTAGTGTCGATGTTGTAGCGCCTGTTGGAGACGAGTTGGAACAGACCTCCTTTATTCCGGCACTTGAAGTTTATGTATGGCAATGTGCCTATTTGAAGATTTTTCGAGTGCCGAAATAAGCGACCGTTCAAAATCGCAGAATTCAAGCAGTGAACAAACGAGAAGCTAAAGCCAAGCGACTCTAAGAAGCCCCCCTCGCGTAAAACCCCGTTCTAAGACGCTCACAGCTGTAGTACGGACTCGAGGTCGTAGCGTGTGACGCTGGGGGAGCGGCTTGCTCGGTCCGCTGCCTGTTTTGCCGATATTTTGGTAGAGAGGAAGCATCCAAGGGCAGACGAAAGCGTACTTAAAATATCAAGTACTACAAGGCTCCTTTCCGACCCCAGAACTACATCGAGCACAATACTTCCGCGCACTCAGCTAAGTGGGGAGAATACACAGGTCTCAGGGACGCAGAGAAGGCTGTATTTTTTGCTGATCTCACTTCTCGAAGCAACCAATTGGTAGCTTATTTTGACACAGAGAGTGCTGTGTTGCGGTTTTCTTTTCCAGAGTTGATTGTGACTGAGCTGATTGGAAAGGTATTTTTCAATGCTGAAGATGAAGATGATGATATGACTGTTGCGAGGGCTCTTCGTGCTTTCGGCTCGGTAGTGGATGGGGTCTACACTGAAGGGAGCACTCGTTGATCCTGCACGGGTTGCCCCTTGTAGTGGTACCTCGCACCTGGTGTATTGCAGAATGAGTTAGGTTGGATGATGCTAGGATGTCTGTGCTAGGCTAATATGCATCGGTAGTTTCGTGTTGTGTAGCTGGAGGGGTCGTTGTGGTCGTCGCAGGCCGTTATCGTCGCCACTGCACTCATCGCAGGTGGCGCCAGCTCTTGCGATCTCCAACAGTCCTCCTCGACCATGATGATCCGATTCTACAGCTTCGTGAAAATGTCGGCCTTCATCTCAGTCGTAGGGCAATAGGTCACGCTGACCTCCTTCTTGCGAATGGCGTCGCGTATGAAGTGGAATTTTATGTTGATGTGCTTCATGCGTGCAGTCGTCACGTCGTTCTCCATGTTCTTGATCGCGCTCTGGTCGTCAATGTACAAGTCGATATTATCATCTTTGCCGTGCAGCTCAAGTTCATTCAGGAGCTGCTTCACCCACAAGCAGTCCTGCACTGCCGTCGCCCCAGCGATGTACTCAGCCTCGGCTGTAGAGAGGGGGACCGTAGATTGTTTCTTGCTGTACCACGAAATGGGCATGGCGTTGATGGTGAGCAGTCCTCCTGAAGTCGACTTTGCGTCCTTGCCCCCGGCCCAATCTGCATCGCTGAAGATGGCTGCCTCAATAGTGTGTCGGGGTGCCTGCGGCCGGGGAAAGTGCAACCTCAACTCGTGCGAGCCGCGCAAGTAGCGCAGGATACGTTTGACTGCAGTCCAATGAGTCGACGTAGGCGTTGAGACGAAACGCGCCAGGAAGTTCACAGGCATCGTGATGTCTGGTCGAGTGCAGTTGCTAATCCATAGTAGTGACCCAATAGTCTCCCGCATGATGCTAGTGTCGTAGAAGGGCTCGCTGTCCTCTCCGTTCAGGTCCCGAGTTGACTCCATCGGCGTAGTCACGGGGCGGCTATTCTCCATGCCGCACTTTGCCAGCAAACCGTCAATATTGGCTGTCTGGTGGAGGTAGATGCCGCAGTCGCTCTGCTCAATGTTAATTCCCAAGCACTTCTTGGCTGGACCCATGTCCTTGATCTGAAATTGGTCGGCGAGCTTCTGCATCGTCCAGTCGGAATCGCCCTCACGCTGGCTGACGACCACCACATCATCGACGTAGAGGCCCAGTACAGTTAGCTTGCCTTCACGCCAACGAAAATACAAGCACGGGTCGAGTTGGCTCCTCCTGAAGCCAAGTTCCAGTAAGTAGCGGTGTATAGTGTCGTTCCACAACTTGCCGCTCTGTTTAAGGCCGTAGAGACTCTTTCGCAGCAGTAGGCATTTGCCCTTGGGTAATTGGAGTCCGACAGGGGCGCGCATGTAGATGGGTCGATCGAGGTCTGCTCGCAGGTATGCGTTAGGAACATCTCCTTGTCGAATGACGGCATGCCACTGAGATGCGAGGGCCACAATGAACCGCAGGCTCGCGATCTCGAGCACGGGCGCAAACGTCTCTGCGAAGTCAATGCCAAACTTTTGAGTGAAGCCGCGCGCTACCAGCCGCGCTTTGAACCGTTCCAATTCGCCTTTGTAGTCAAACTTGAGCTTGAACACCCATTTTGCACTTATCAGATTTCCATCAGTAGGAATGTCCACAATTTCCCAGGTAGCGTTCTTCGATATTGCTCGAAGCTCTTCTTCGATTACTCCTGCCAATACGGGCTGTTCATTGCCTCCTCCACAGTTACTGGCTCCTTGATCCCGTCACGCTCTAGTAGTACCGCAAAGGCAGTACCCTCCTTGAGTACGATAGTGAGCAGGACAGATGCCGGAGTGGCGAACTCTTCGAGAAAAGATTGGGGCAGCCGAAAGTCATCGCGTGGTAGTGCTCGTGTACCTCGATTCAGGCCAAAGATGCGCTGGATGGCACGCGACGTAAGTTGATGCTGCTCTGCAGGGCTACCAGCCCGTGCTTCCTCACCATTAGCGTCATGTGGGGTGTTGGTTTCGTACTGTTGATCGCCAGCATCCTCCTCCTCGCCGCTATTGTCTGCGTCGATGGCGTCCATGTATCGCCCCACGACTTACGAGTCCAGACGGTCAACGTTCCGGATGTGTGTTGTAGAAATAACACGTTTGGTTCGCGGGATGAGAACACGGTACGCTTTCTTCTTGAAGTCGATGCCAATAAAAACTCCTCTTTCAGCGCGCTTTTTCGCTGATCGCTTCGTTGCATGAGCGATGTGGCTCGTACACTTCGAGCCGAATTTGAGGATGTGCGAGACACTGGGTCGTTTTCCGGAGAGGGCCTCAATGGGAGACGCATGGTCGGCGTTCGCTCGAGTCGGCAGATAGTTGCGAATGTAGCTCGCATACAGAACAGCATCGCCCCAAAATCGCTGTGGCAATGCCGAGGCCCAGAGCATCGCTCGGGCGGAATCCATGACAGTCCGGTGAAAACGCTCTGCTTTTCGGTTTGATGATGACATGCCCGCCTCCGTTTCTTGGTGGAGAATACCCCGGTTGCGGAGGAAGCGGCCGAGTCTGGTGCTGCGAAATTCACCACCACCGTCTGAGCGAATCATCTTCACCTTGGTGTCGTATTGTCGCTCAAATTCGCTAACAAAGTCCTCCAAATGCCCTTCCGCGTCGCTCTTTTTGCGGAGCAAGTAGACGCGATTGTAGTTCGTAGCGTGGTCTACAATGGTCAAAATGTGTTTGTGACCGAGCCGATCCGGGGTCATGTCCGTCTTCAGGTCAACGCACAAGGTAGCGTCCGGTTCGTCCGTTGGGGCAGATGTAGAAGTATCCTGCTTGTTCTTCGCGCGTCGAGCTTGTTTCGCTTCAGCGCAGTTCATGCAGAAATCCACCTTCCGATTAGAGGCAACCATGCCTTCAACGAGGTTTTTGTCAATCATGCGTACCAGATCCTGGTAGTTCACGTGCCTCAGGCGTTCATGCCACTGCTGAAGCGTAGAGGTCGTCATTGCTGCGAAGGAGGCCGCGCCTTGCTCGATTCCAACAGACCAAAGCCCAGTCGAGGCTGAATTACCCACTTCGGCAACAATCTTGCCCGTCTTGTTCGTAATTGTACACTGCTCCTCCCCAACGGTGCAGGTGTAGCCTCGAGCGGTGCGTTGAGCCACTGAAATCAGGTTGCGGTCAATACCTTTTGCGAAGTACACGTTTTCTAGCAGGACAGTACGAGGCACTCCTTCTGCCATCGTCGTGATGACAGTCTTTCCCTTCTCAGTAGCGGCGACAAGATCTCCATTCGCCACTCGCACCGACAGGAATGCTGGCTCTATCGCGAAAAGTTGGTCACGGTCGATGCAAAGGTGGTGAGTTGCTCCCGAATCCACTGTCCAAACATTTCCTCTCGTGGCAGAAGCGCCGCGCTCGGCACCGTCGGCAGCGACCCAGACATAGCCTTCATCATCAGAATCTCTAGATGTGTCGTCATCATCAGCAGCGGCTACGTTCGCACTTCCTCTGGTGGCTAGTTGTTTTGCCTGTTCCACGAGTGGACACGTGAAAATCTTGTGACCAGGCTTCCCGCACACATGGCAATGTATTTCACCACGATGACCAGCGGCGGCAAAGGCTTGGCCGTTATTTTGCTGCTGCGGACGTCGATCCGAGTTGTCGTTGTTGTTTCGCTGGTTACGCCAATGCTGATCATCATTGTGGCGATTTCCGCTGCGGTGACCATGTGAATTCGGGTTCCGGCGGTCAGCATGACGGTTTTTGCGTTCATCTCGCTTCGCACCACATCTGCGCCCGTCACCTTTCAGCTTGTATAGCAGTCGCTTCATGCGATCGGTTTCCGCAACGTAATCGCTTGCGTCGTCGGGCACTGAAGACAACAGCGTGGGCGCTAACTCGGGGCATGCATTGTTTCCGAACACCTCCATGACCATCTTTGTCTGATCACCTTCCATGAGGCTCTCGATGAAGTTCAAGTATTCCAGGTAGTCATGCCACGTATCGCCTTCACGCTTGTTATACTGCATCTTCGTGCTGAGTTCGAGTTGGCTTAGTTTACAGCCAAACTCTGCACGCATCGCGCGCTTCACATCTGAGTACGGCATGCTGTCACCATTATGACGGCGCAGCCACTCTGAGTTCTTCTTGTGATAGTACCTAGACGCTTTCCCCTCGAGGAAGTTGACAATCACCGATGCCTTGATGTCGTCGGTCCAGGTGGATCCGTTCACGAGCTCCTCCGTCCTTATTGCATGCTCGAACTCGTGGATGAAATTCTCGAAGCCAGCTCCTAACCCAGGGTAAACCTCGTTTCCCTTGAAGTTCGAGCAGCGTACGTCCTTGATTTTAGGCTTCTTCGGTGATGGAGGTGCGGTTTCCATGCTAGTATCCGACATGGAGGGGGAACGGGGCGCTCGCGTCGCGAGCTGCTTCTTCAGTTCTGCCAGCTCGGACTGCAGTCGAAGGATGAGCTGGAGCTGGTCGTGCTGCTCCATTGTCTCTTGGTCCGAAGGGTCAAAGTGCAGGTCGTCTGGCAGTCCTAGGCGAGTATTCCTTCCGTCTTGGTGGTCTTCGTCAGCCTCGTTAGCACCTCGTGCCTCCGAGTATTCTTCAAGGTCTTCGTTGTCGCCTCGCGAGTCTTCGAAGTCTTCACTGGTCGCTACAGAAGGCGAGCCAGTTGGGCTCATAACCTGAAGGGAGCACTCGTTGATCCTGCACGGGTTGCTCCTTGTAGTGGTGCCTCGCACCTGGTGTATTGCAGAATGAGTTAGGTTGGATGATGCTAGGATGTCTGTGCTAGGCTAATATGCATCGGTAGTTTCGTGTTGTGTAGCTGGAGGGGTCGTTGTGGTCGTCGCAGGCCGTTATCGTCGCCACTGCACTCATCGCAGGTGGCGCCAGCTCTTGCGATCTCCAACATACACAGTGGAAATTAAGACGCCTCTGCGGTTTACTCTTTCGGTCAAACATCTCCCGGTTGGGTTGTCGTTTCGGCAGACGGCAGCAGTAATTCAGCAGCACTATAACGCCACAGGGAACTCGAAGCTTTACGGTATGATCGACGCTATGACAGGCACTTATGCTCGTATTCTAGTTGCCTATTTGTTTCAACGCATCAGCAACCTCATCGCAGACCCCAATATGTGGGGGTTTGCATTTGCTTGCGACATCACAACCCACACCGATCGCTCTTTCATGGATCAGCGTGTTCGTGTTGCCGTCAACGGCGTGCTAGTCAACCTACACTTGCTCGCGGTCCCTATGTTTGACCGCCACACTGCTGTGGTCCAAGTTCACCTGATTGTTCGAGTACTGGATATTTTGTTCGCTAACTGGAGACAGAAGTTGGTTGGTATTTCATCGGATGGAGAGAACACTATGACAGGCCGTCATGGTGGGGTGGTCACTCTTTTAGAGAAAGAGGCCACCCACTCGGTGCTGAGAGTGTGGTGTGTTGCTCATCAGATGGACCTGGTCATGAAAGCCGGTTTTGCCATTGTTGGGAATGGAGACTTTGTGAAGAATACAAAGGATTTAATTGTTCACCTTCGCCGCCAAAAAACGCTGATTACTGAAATGGGAGGTGCCGCCAAAAACTAACTAATCGGTGGCTGTACATGGGAAACGCATTGCAGTGGATATTCAAAAACCATTTTCGCCTCGAAGAACACCTTGATGAAAACGTGTCTGCGGCACCAACGCCATCATGGTGGGTCAATGCAGCTGTTGTTTGTGGGATAACGGTGGTGGTGAACGTCACGTTTGTCAAGATACAGGGGAAGGATGTCCTGCTCTCGCAGCAAATGGCAGAGATTGAGCTCCTTGTAGATCACCTTCGCAAACTGCTACGAGTTGAACGCGTACCTAGCTCTGAATTCCAATCTAGCGCTAATGACACGATTTCTACGAAGTACTGGCTCAAAGAGCAACACTTGCTCGAATTTATTCAAGACCAGGGGACGTTCGTCAAGAATCACATGAATAGTGTTGCAGATGCCGACAAAAATTCGATTCTGAGGCAGCTTGGCAAGTTTGTACTGCATCTAATTGAAGGTATGGAGCATGTACAAGCTGAGCGAGACAGCAACAATGACGCTGCCGCATCTCCGGCTCCGCCAGTAATGCCAGCTGAGCTTGTCACAGTCCCTCCTCGCCAGTTTGCAGAAGATATTTTGAATCCTCGCCGCGATCAATTGGCTTTGTTTTGGAGTGAGGCAAAAATTGAAGCCGTTGAACGGGAGCATCGAGAGCTATGTCAAGCCAATCTGCTTGATGAGATGGTTCGCACAGCCCTGGAGGAAGAATCGTATGAGACCAGCTTCAACGGGCCTGGGATTCAGTGCAAAACGCTGCTGCTCCAAAGACATTTTCACATCTCCGCCAGTTCTGCTGCGGATTGGCAACCGTATTCGCGAATACGGCGTCCGTCGAATCCGATTTTTCCGTATTGAAGTGTGAACTGAACGACCGGCGCACTTCGTTGACTTCTCTAGCCCTTGAAGGCATCTTCCAGGCTAAACAGTTCGATATGCTAGAGAAATTGTAGTAAATTGCATACTTTATTTCCTTAAACTGGCACTGTGCCGAAATAAACAAAACAAGAGTGCCGAAATATAGCTAATCCGACACATCCCGGCAGGTGCCAGTATAAGGGAGGTCTAACTGTTAGAAGGGCTACAGTTTTGTGGTTTTTCTACGCGATCATCTCGGCATGCGCAGACCCATTTATTTTGGCCAATAGTAAGATGAAACAGTTGATTATACCCAATCATATGTGATATGGGGTCCACATTAAATTGAGGTTTAATGCCGAATGTTGTTTCTTAATTTTAAGTGGGCCAGAGAAGTATTTAGGCTATCAGAATCATTGATATCTCTACTACCTCGACGTAAAGCAACACGCACAGCGACCACATTTTCAATGCACAAGGCGCGATGCCGCGCACGACACGAAAACATACATTTCATTTTGACCGGGGTATTTCCGGCCACTCGATCGGCTGCCAAGCATACAAAAATCAGGATAAATCGTAATCACGCCGCAAAGCTACACGATCTAGAAACGTTCCGACGACCGCTGGTGCACCACTAGCCCCTTCAGTAGTTCTCTGCGGACCTGCACCCTGCATACGAAGTCGCAGTTACTGGCGCGTCCTGGAAGGGCTCGAAATTGAGAGTTCTTTCGACCGGCTTCTCCATCTGGATGCACTTCAACTTGGGTTGCTTCTTGTGCTTTTGAGTAGCGATCTTGTCTTGAGCCGCAATGAACTTTTTAGTCGATAGCGTCAAGCCAAAGTGCTACAACGTGTACTACATATCGATTTCCAAGTGCAATGCGTCGGTACCAGGCGACCCGCATCTAACGGCGGAGCTTGGCTGCAAGTAACTAACCAGCCCCTGCAACTAAAGTGAAAAAAACGCACATTTCATTCCTGCCGCACAACTACACGTAGCTGTTTCAATGACCTGCCTCCTCCTCCTCCTGTTTCTCTCTCTCTCTTTCACTTAACAGATTTCCACTCCACCCCTCCTCCTTCTTCTCCCAGTCACGCCGCCTGCAGCTCAGTCCTCGCCTCCCATGTTTTCATCGTTATCCTTGTCCTCCGTCACCGTCTCGTCCTCCCCAGTCTCCTCTTCGTCACCCTCCGGGGCTTCTTCATCGTCAGCGACCTCCTCATCCTCTGGGGCGTCCTCTTCGTCGTCCGCCGGGGCCTCGTCGTCATCTTCCGTCGTCTCTTCCTCACCTTCATCGTCCGCGGGCGCTTCTTCAGCGTCGTCGCCGGCCTCCTCGTCGCCTCCGCCCAAGTCCAGCGGCTCGGTCGGGTTGTCCGCCGGCGTGGCTGGAGCCGCAGCCGACGGGGTCTCCTCCTCCTCGTCGCCCTCTCCGACGTCCACGCCGTCCCCCACCGTGGCGTTGAAGTCTCCGCTGCCGCTCCCCTCGTACGCGCCATCGTCGTCGGCGCTCGCCTGCACGCGGTCCTTGTAGCAGTTGATGCCCTCCTTGCACTTCTCCTTGTCCTTGCTGAACATGCACCACGTGGACGACTTGATCGAGCACCATCCGTAGCCAATCGAGTTCCAGCCGAACTGCGACTCCATGGCGATGGCCTCGTCGTCCACGTCTTGAGCCCCGGCCCGCACCTGCAGCGTCATGGTGTTGTGTCCGTCGCCCCCGTTCAAGGTGAACACGTCCACGGCCGCAATGCACCCGACCAGCAGCGCCGCAGCCCCCGCCACCCCGAACAACGTGCGCACAGCTCGACGGCGCTGCCTCATGCGCTCCGCGTCGCGCTGCGCCGCCTGCTGGTACGCCGACAGCAGCATCGCCGCCTCCTCGGAACGCTGGGCCCTCATGCTTTCGATCGATCTCCCGCAAGTCGAAGTATGGGGAACGAGTTGCTGCTGCGAGGGTATCGGATCTTTCCGGCCCATGAAGATCCCGTGGAGGTGACGGACGGCCCACGCGCGTCGACCAAGAGCCACGTCGAGACCCTTCTACGAGTCACGCCTGGGCGCGACCTCCGCCGTTCATTGTTATGGATAGCGTCCCCTCAGCACCCGAGCCACGATCCAATGGCGCGGGAGCATGGGGGCCCGACGCCGCGTCGGATCTGCAGGCGCCGCATCTTGATAGGCAGCGGGTTCATGGTGCACGCGATCACCATCAACCGCTCGTTGTAGCACATGGCCTCGGGACTGCCTGGGGCATTGCACTGTTTCCACAACGTCCCATTGCAGACGTCCACGGGGGGGGGGTCCATCGAGACCCTCGGGTCGAAGCACCGGACCGCACACCGTCGAGCGGAACTTGTGGACTGCCGCGAGGGTGGCAGCAGACGCGATGGCGCTGGTTCGGTCGGCAGGTAGACACGTTGCAGCGGGGGACCCCCACACTGGATGAGGCTGGCACAGCGGGTTGTGGAGGTCGCTCGCCCAGGAACCCGTTGCAGCACCACTCCCCGCGGTCGAGCACGACGAGAGACTTGAGGTTCTTGACGTTGGTGAAATCCCGGAGACTGTGGAGCATCGGAACACCTGCAATCACGAGGCGTTCGAGATGGTGGAGGTTGTCGAATGAGGGCAATTCCTGCATGGTGAGGAAGACGGCGAATGTGGCTGATCGGAGATTTGTGAGGCCGTGGAAAGAGGGGAGGTACGCCATGGGGTGAATGACGCGAAATGGATGAAGGTAAGCGAAGTCATATCATTGAACATGTCCTCGGGGAGAGAAAGCATCGGGCTTGCCATTTTGCTTTCGACGTGTCTGGGGGTTGAGAACAATAAAACAACGTGTCAGTGCGTAAATATATGAATAACAAAAAACTTTCAAGTACACACATGAACTCGAGCATCTTGAACTCTTTGATCCAGGCAGGTAGCGCCTGTGTGTGAGTGTACTCCAATGATCTGCAAGCGCAACTAACACATTTAGTAACATGCTAGTCAAGAGGAAAATATATAAGCACCGATAGCGTACAGGTGTTTCATGTTAGTACATCGTCGTAGGTCGTCCGGAAGCACTGGCAGATACCGGTTCGTGAGTAATAATCCCTCTAGTTCCCCCTTTGACGCTAGCAACGCGACTTTTTCCGTGGCATTTCTCGGTTGCAGCCACTCTGCGTAGGTCTTCGGGGCAACATCGCGATCAATCAGTATCAAGCACGGGCACTGCGTAACAGAATCTTCTTCTAGAACCGTCCACCGCCGCGCGTACATGGCACATTCTGGATGAGGATTGCACGCTAGCGTCGACGTGCGTAAACTTTCCGAGACGAAAACCACGAGACCAATGGTAAATAGGATGAAGAATACTGCTGCGGGATATTGCCGCTTTGGGTACACGTTGCCTCGCTGCTTGCACGGGTTTTGGAACAACATGACCGCGTCGTGGTCTCGGTAGCAAAGCGTCGAGTTAACGAACATGCGAGTGAAAAAGTCCAGCGTGGATACAATACGAAGCGCTCGCAGTCTCTGGTCTACAACCGCTGTCTGGACTGGGTCAGCGATGACTCGGGCAGATCGTTCATAAAAACCGGGGGGAAGACTTCCATGTTGATAGCAAGTTGCGCTCGGTTGAGCTCATAGGTCGAAAAGCAGTACAGAAGCACGAACGTCGGAAACTCGGTAGCGACAATCAAGTCGAACCTGCAATAAAATAAAATAAAATAAAATAAATGGAGGAATTAATAAGGCCATCCAGCACAAGTTAGAAGCAGGGGACGTACATGATACCCACCAAAGTCTCCAATACGTTCGTGTGCTTGTACGGAAGAAGCATTGTCACAACGCACGAAAGTGCGTTCGACGCCATAATTACGGCGAAGACGATGATAAAAATCTCTGGCGACCCAGACTCCAGCAGACTGTACAAAATAACCGATTCAATTGCTAGATCTCCGACTTTCATCCATAGTCTCTGAGTACGTACATGTACAGCCTGCAAAGTTAGTATTGTTCAGGGAAAAAACAAGCTGGCAAGCTATAAATTAGGACGTACGAATATTTGTCGTGCTCTGCTGTCGCTGTGAGCCACAGCCAGCTTGAAGGTAGAAGTTACGACTTGGCCACCACGTCGGATTTCAGCCGCTTGGTCGAGTTTCAGTGATGGTGCTTTCAATCCGAGACAAGGCCTGCTGGAACTGGACGACGCGCTTGCTGCTTGGGTTCATTCGCAGTAGCTGCACGAGGATGAGAAGGTAGAGAACGACGAAGATCGAGCGGCCAGTCGTTGCGAGTATCACCAGCGCAAACAAAACGTTCCGTCGTCGAATTCGTCCGTGTGTATGAGGTTGTTGACAACGTCATTCGGGGCGAAGTTCAGCAGGATCAGCCAAATGAGCCACGTGATGCAGTGGCACACAAGGAAACCAAAGAAGATCTTGATCAGGGTTGGTCTTAAACCGTGGCCAGACCCGCGGTTCGTCCTGATAGTGAGTTGGCCCTTGACTTGGTCGCTCTCATAGGTAGACCGCACCTTTGCAGATGTCATTGTGCCTCTTGTTGAATGCTGTAGCACTGGCGGCGTTCGACAGGGAGGGGGGAAGGCTTCGACCGCCAAACTCTTCTACGCGCGGCGTCACGCATTCTGACGTGGGTGGTGGCGGCTCAGGCGAGTAAGGGAGCGCCACCAAGAATAGTGCTTACTACTAATAGTAGTAGTCGGGGCGAAACTGGTGTCCGGTGAGCTGGCATCACAGCCCAATTGTGGCTTGAGATGTTGACGTTAAAGCAGCATGTACCACGGTTTTCACTGACTTGTGTCGAGATCCGTGACCGGGTCGTGACACGCATACCGAACGTCGTCTGATTGGCTAATATTCTCATCACTGAAGGGCAGTACTCACTCTGCGGGGCGCCAGATCCCATTGTCGTGCATCTTGGACGGGAACGGTGGCGAGGTAAGACGAACAAGCATCTATCGAACGAGCTAATGTGCTGCGTCATCACGACTAACGCCTTGTTAATGCTGTTAACCTCTATTTGGTGCTTCTAGTGCGCTTCCTGTGACGAAATGGCACACGCCTCGCCTCCGGATTCGACTCGTGGATTGCCTACCGGATTCGTCGTAGTGTGGTTACTGCTCGCTCGGGCCGTTGCTTCGCCGCATGTGTAGGCGGCTTCATCGGCACATGAGCTATGCCGAGTTGGTAGAGATCGTCGGCTACACGCTGTGAAGTTGGTCGCTGCATTCTCGCCCCTGTACTTGCCTCCACACCAGCGACGATATGTCGGACCAGCACCGTCCATTCCGAAAACATCTTGCGGTTGGTCTTCGTGAAGTCAGATGGCTGCAGCGCCCGAAAAGGCGGGTATCCGGCAGCAGGGTGGCCAAGCCACCAAATACGCCACACACTTAGCGCATCTAGCTGTGGAAAAGCAAAATCCTGCGGCATCCGATGAAAGCGCCCATCTGATTGCCAGTGATAAACGATGCTGGTTGAACTTGATTGGGCTGCCTCTTGCTGAATGCGCTGCTGCGCCTGCCATAGTCCAGCCTCCTCTAGCAGTACACGGATCGTCGAGCTGAGGTTTTCTCGCTTTACACTTTGCTGACTCACGCATTTCTCGTCCAGTAGCTTAGCAAATCCGTCCAGCAGTAGATCCGGGAGATGGTTCAGCGCCTGTCGCGTCTTCATGTGCTGCTCAAAAAGCTCGACGCGTGGGGGTATACCAGTAGGGCGCATCCACGTACTGCAACCGGTAATCAGCATGCTGGAGAGTCGTGCCATGACATTGGAATCGCGAAAGATGTAGGAAGAAAGCAAAGCATGCTTCGGTAGCAGACTTTGGCGAAGAAAATCGGCGTGCGTCACCAGGGAAGCAAGGCACAGCTGGAGCACAGGAGCCACGTGTGCGTCGGCTTTCAATGCGGGAAACATTTGCTTGGAACAGTCTCGAATAAATTCGGCTTGCGGATCCTTGAAGTGAGGGGGCAACGCAGCAAATTGAGAGCTGTTTTGAGGCAGGCCAGCAACTACCCGCCCGAGATATTGATCACCAGCAGCTTCGTACCGAAAATACCGGTCTTGAACACCACCTAGCGACCACCCGCATCTCAAACACACACTAACAATTGACGGACCACCGGTGCTGCCACTGCTAGCGTACGTAGCGACTCCTTTTTGGATGGAGTGAGTCCCGTACGCCTTTTCTCCCGTATCCTCGAGCATTCTCCCAATTGTCTTGCAAAATCTTGATTTCTGGTTGGAGCCCGGGAACAGTTTTCCAGGGACTAGCGTTGGGTTGGAGCCGAGATAGAGTCCGAGTGCCAGCACCCAGCAGCAGTCAGGCTGCGAAGGATTCGCGTAGATGTGCCGGGGGTCTTTGGGCCCAGATCCTTCTTGGTTTGTTTTGGTCTTGTGAAGGACGCACCCGACGCTGTCGTCTGCACACTGGAGATGTGAGATGTGCAGCGTTTCTACTGACTTGGAGCGGCACATTAAATTCCACTGTGTTAGTAGGAATAGGTGTGCAAACCCGTTGTCACTCAAAGCCAGCGTGCGCTTGGCCGGCTCCCCGTACAGAGAGAACGTCAGCGGCTCCTTGCCGACTCGACGCGAGCGCCTCGCTTGGTCTTCATCCGCCTCCACTCGCTTGAGCCCTCTGAAGAACGTTTTCATGTCGTCTAAGTACTCCGTCGGCACAGGTAGTCGCTTTTGGCGGTACAGATCTTTTAGCGCACTTCTGTAGCCACTAAGTGTCGACTGCCCGCATTCATTTTATGCAGCAGGAACGCTTCGAAGTGCGTAGGTTGGAACACGCCGAGGTTAAGGCTGCCGTCCTCGCAGAAGAATTCTTCGGCATCCTGGCAAGTGGCGCGAACCCAGGTAGATATGCCCTTTAAATAGCTTCGGTACGCCTTTTTCGTGTTGACGGCAGTGCAGGCACTTCGAACTTGGTCTCCATCGAGGCGACCACGGGACGGAGTCTGTAATACAGGTCCAGCAGTAGCAGGGAGGCACAGGTTGCTTGTCATCGTCAGCTGCTTGTTGTGGGTTGAGGGAGTCAAATTGTGAGGGCCAGTGAAGGAGGAGGCCAACGACAGACGCATTTTAAACCAATCAGAGTGCGTAAATTGGTGTAACGAGCACGCGATACACATTCGTGTTCAAATCTCTTGACGGAGGCTACAGCCATTGCTGGCTGGAAATTGGAGAGATCAAAATTTGTTGATTGAAAACGTAAGATGTCCAGGTTACGGGGGCTTTAATTTGTCTTTACTGGCGATACTATAATTGGAGATTGAAGACAAATGTGCTGCTGGCTTTCGAGACGTAGTCTGGTAGTAGTGCTCAAAAATAGCATAGTAAGTCGAAGCTGTTGAGTTAGTATCGTATAAAAGTAATATGTTGTCGAATCAAGTATTAGAAAACGAATACCATAATGTAATATACCATTTAATATATTAGTGTATCTAATAGCAAAGTACTACTATAGCAGTCTGGTCGTGGCCGTCATCCAAACAGTCAAACAAATTGAGCAAAGTCGGCTACATTGCGTTTATCAGACTCTGCAAATCCAATAATGTTTATGTATGACGGTGATCAAGTTTAAAGGGTTATTATAACTGTAATGGACTACTATTTTAGTAGTAGTCCATTTCAATATTACTAAAATTAGCAAATACGTACAACGACCCGATCAGTTTTAGCCACAACTGCCACCACAATCCGCCCGCAGTTCACGGACACTCTATCGACTTCGTTGCCTCGCTCCGGACGGACATCCCACTGCGGTTTCCCGGGAAGCTCTGGATACTTTTGCACTCAAGTATTACAGTATTGCGCGAAATGAATTCGCGTCAATTCGTCGTCGACGCATCAAGCGCTCACGAGGTCTCGGTCTTAGGGGTGTTCTTAACAGCGGTTGTACGGGTGTACAGGCGTCCCCGGGCTAGTCCCGGCTGTATATTTTAATGTACCTCGCATAGGAAGTACAAGCAGTTCTCAAGATTTGCGCGCTACTTCTGCAAACATATCGATTTAGATGAGTGTACAGCGAGACCTACTGTGACAAGTGGCACGTTGCGGGAATACCTCCACGTATTCTTGAGCTCATCTTGTAGTAAGTCAGTACATACTCATCTATTCAGACCGCGTGAATCTTGTTGATTCGCAAACATCATAAGTACCACTGTGGCGAATAGGCCGGGGACGCCTGTATATATATGTACCTTTTCATGTAAAACGAGGACCTTTTCGTGTATCTTTGCCAAGTTCTGCCTCTTTTGCTACATACTCAGCATCAGATATTTATCAATCATGATACACTTGAAGCATGCATATAGTCCCTTTGGAGATGAGAAAATATGATAAGGAAATGTGAGGTGAACGGATCACTTTCTTTCTCGTTCAATGGTAGTACGGGTGTAGCGTACACCGGGTATGTCTCTTGCACAGGTTGTACGTACACCCGTACAACCCCGGTTAAGAACAGGCGGCGATGAAAATGTTGAATGGTAAAGTCGCAAACCGGGATTTGCTACTATACGGCACCTCTCTGGCTGGCAACCGACCCAGAGTGTGGCATGTTTTGGGGATGCGCGATTGCACGACGGCCAAAGCGAAAGACACGCTAAATGGTGCCAGTCCCCGTCATTTCGGTGCGCTCGAAGCAAAAGTTTCACAACCAATTGTCCACGTGGCTTTGTGGTTTTCCGGCGGGAACGACAGGCGGTTTGACAACCTTTTTCGAGCGAAGATCTGCTGACCAGATGAACCCTGAGTTGAGACTTTCACCCCGCGGGGGATGGCTGCGAATCAAGTATTAGCTTCGTCTCACTTGACTTCTACAACTGGAAGATCTCCATCGTATTTTACCACGGCAGGGCACGTTGGTCGTAGTATTGCACCGCAGCGTTTGACTCTTGCCCGAGCTCGGCGATACTTATGGCAAAGCGCAGTCGTTCGTACACCTATCAACCTGAACTCTGCGTTCAAGGTATCGGTTGTCCGACCTGTGGCCTTGCCACGACGGCCTTGAGGCCGGTTCAACGAAGTGCCGGGAGCATGGAAGTGGGGCCAGTCTTGCGAAACAGGTATCAATAATACTTCATCACTTAGGCGCTGCATCGCAGGCACGTAATGCACCTTAGGCGTAAGCCTCGAGGTCCTCGTTTGCTCACAGCGTTTCGACCCACTCGCTCGCCTTCAATTGAGGCTGGTATCATTTAACGGCCGAGTTTGCGACGTCATTCCTGTATTTGCTTGGGCGAGCACAAGAATGTACAAGCTGGACCGCCGGCCCCCCGTGCACGACCGCCACCGAGCCGTGGAGAATCACCACCAAGTCGCCTACATCGGCGAAGGGCTCGTCGACCCGAACGACATAGACCCCTTGACGAGTGAAGACGACGCGGATGATCTGTCTCCACAGCACCGCCGGAAGCTGCTGGACTCTTTGGCGATCGACGTGGGCGAGAAGTATCTCGACGATATCTACAGGGGCGAAGGGGACGAAGACGATGACGGGGGTAACACCTCGAACGACGAAGACAGTGATGACCCTCAATCCGCGTACCATCTGAGCCCCATCGACAAGCGAGCCCGGACGGAGAAGGAACAAGCGTGGCTGAAGGTGAGGAAGTTGCTGATCGAGGAGGAGGAGAAGGTATCGACCCGGAAGAAATCCGTGGACTCTCACGAAGAGTACGCCATCGACTGCTACGGCACTGTCAAGCTGCTGGATTCCTTGGCGCGGTCGGGGAGTATTCACAGCAGTGTGTCGTCCGAGAGCTCAACTCCAAAGGTGAATGCGGCGATACCTCCGACACCTGCGATGTTCACGAGACAAATCGACCGAATGGGTCACAGAATGGCGCAGTTCCTGCAGCGCGGCGGGCCGCCATCGCACGGAAGTTCGAGCTCCTACGGCCAGCAGCCTCTCACTCCTGGGAAGTCGTCGACTCACTCTGCTATGATGACGATGCTGGGGCAAGTGACTGTCGCTTGTCAGCGAACGGAGCTCTCGGAGGCGGCAGTGGCGCGCATTTCGACTCACGTGGCGACGATCGACCGCATCGTACGCGAAGAACTTAACGTCCAGCAGAAACTTGGAGCAGCTCGCCGACTCTCGAGCACCCAGGGGTCGAACGACTCGAGCGACTACGACTTCCGAGTGCCCACGTACCCACTGGGCAAGCTCCACGTGAAGGTGGCGTCCACTGTGCGTGAGGCGTTCAAAGCATTTACCGCAGCGCAAGATCTGATGGACACGGTGGCTGCGTTCGACCGCCTTTTGGTCGAGTGTGGGCTCAGCGGCGTCACAGTCGAAGAGCCTTGGTACGTGTACTACCACATCCGATCCGCTGTATACAGCAAGCTGGGCTTCCGTCAGAAGCAGCTCTTCAAGCTTCTGGACGCGCGGTTCAACACGGACGTCTACAAGCGGAGACCGGCCGCCAATAAACGCGCGTGTATTGTCGGAGCGGGCCCGGTTGGACTCCGTGCTGCGGTGGAGTTGGCGCTGCTTGGGAGTCACGTGACTGTGCTGGAGAAGCGCACCAAGTTCAACCGCGAGAACATGCTGCACTTGTGGCCGTGGGTGGTGCAGGACCTGGCGTCGTTGGGAGCGAAGGTCCTGTTCCGACACTTCTGCAGATCCAGGACGTACTTCCACGTGAGTACGCGCCAATTACAAGTCGTTCTACTCAAGGTGGCGCTGCTGGTGGGTGTCCAGATCCACACATCGACGGACTTCGAGGCTATCGTCCCTCCCGGGCCGGAGCAGAGTGGGGAGAACCCGTTCTACTCGATCAAAACCCAGCCCCAAATTCCTGTCGAGGAGTTCACTGCCGTGCTGGGGGCTACGGGTGTTAACGATCAAGTGGCGGAGTTCGCAGGCATCAACCGCTTTGTATTCAACCAAAAGGAGTCACTGGGCATCGTCTGCTACTTCCCCAACCTGGAGACAACGGAGGAGACCAAGGTCAAGGAGTTCTCGTGGACGGCGCAGCTCAAGCACCAGATGCTGCACAAAATGCGCGACGTCGGCCTTGATCTGGAAAATATCGTGTACTTCCGAGGCGAGATGCACTACCTGGTCATGACGCCAAAGAGGCACAACCTGCTGGCGCGTGGGGTGGTGAATAGGAACCACCCCAACTCCGCTGACCTTGTCAAGGAAGACAACGTGAACCACAACGCATTACACGCGTTCGCCAACGCTATCGTCAAGTTCGCTGGCATCCCCCGGAAGACGGACTTCACGCGCGTGAGTCTGTTCGACTTCAGCTCCCTCACTCGAGCGGAGAAAGCTGCGAGCGTCTTGACGTCCTACGGCAAGAAACTCTACGTCGGACTCATCGGTGATTCTCTGCTGGAACCTGTATGGCACGAAGGCGTCGGAACCTGTCGTGGATTCTTGGGAGCACTGGATGGCGTGTGGATGGTGGCGCAGATCGGTCTGAAAGCGGATAAGCAGCTACTGGCCGACCGAGAAGCGGCATACAAAGTGATGCAACGACTCTCAGGCCACCACCGAGACGAGATGCAGAAGAACGTACGCAAGTACACTGTTGACCCAAGGTCACGGTACATGATCGACTTTCCTCGAGTCGTTTAGCCCTTTCAACCAATATATATAGTTGTGTGTTGAGCTAATAACTTGTTGTTTTAGAGGTACCTATCCTAGCAATAAACCTACAACTTACCTTTAACTATAGCTAAGCAACGCGAGAAAAGTCGACCGTGTAGCGCGACCTCGGATCTACTGTGTACTTGCGCACATTCTTCTGCATTTCATCGCGGTGGTGGCCCGACAGGCGCTGCATCACTTCGTAGGCCAACTGGCGGTCGGCCAGAAGCTGCTTGTCGTCCTTCTTCCCGATCTGTGCGAGCATCCACACGGCATCCAGCGCACCCAGGAATCCGCGGCAAGTGCCCACTCCTTCGTGCCACGCAGGCTCCAGCAGCGAGTCCCCAATGAGACCAACGTAGAGTTTCTTGCCCTGCGACGTGAGAACGCTGGCGGCCTTATCAGCGCGAGTGAGCGAGCTGAAGTCGAAGAGACTGATCCGTTCAAAGTCCGCCCTCCTCGGGACGCCAGCGTACCTGATAATGGCGTTGACGAACCCGTGAAGAGCGATCTGGTTGATGTTCTCCTTCCTCACCAGATCATTGGAGTCCGGGTAGTTTTTCTTCACCACGCCAGATTCTGGCGCTTGGGTGTCATCACCAGGTAGTGCATCTCGCCTCGGAAGTACACGATGTTCTCGAGATCGATGCCCACCTCGCGCAGTTTGTTGAGCATCTGGTGCTTGAGCTGCGTCGTCCACGAGAACTCCTTGACCTTCATCTCGTCGGGCGTCTCCAGGTTGGGGAAGTAGCATACGATGCCCAGACTCTCATTGCGACAGAAAACAAAGCGGTTGATGCCTGCAGGCTCGGCCAGTTGGTCGTTCACTCCGGTGGCGCCTAGAATTGCGGTGCACTCCTCCATCGGGATCTGAGGCGAGGTCTTGACGGTGTAGAACGGTAGGCCGCCTACGTCCGCTTGAGGAGGTAGAATTTTCTCAAAGTCCGTCGATGTGTGGATCTGGACACCCACCAGCAGCGCCACCTTGAGTAGAATCACCTGTAGCTGACGAGTGCTCACGTGGAAGTACGTCTTAGACCTGCAGAAGTGTCGAAACAGGACCTTCGCTCCCAACGACGCCAGGTCCTGCACCACCCACGGCCACAAGTGCAGCATGTTCTCCCGACTAAATCGCTTCCGCTTCTCCAGCACGGTCACGTGGCTTCCAAGCAGCGCCAACTCCACCGCCGCACGCAGTCCAACGGGACCAGCACCGACAATACACACGCGCTTGCCCACCGCCGGTCTCCCCTTGTACACGTCCATACTGAACCGCGCGTCGGCTCCTCCACCTTGACGCCGTTGAGGCCGCAGTCCGCCATCAAGTTGTCGAAAGCTGCCATGGTGTCGTTGAGGTCTTGGGCCGATGTGAAGGCCTTGAAGGAGTTGTGGACGCTTGGAGCGACCTTCACCTGCACGTTAGCCAGCGGGTTTGGCACGTCACGGAACTCCTTCTCGTACTCACTCGACTCGTTCGAGTACTGCGTGACTGAGAGGCGACGAGATCCTGGCTTCACCGGCGCGCCTGTGTCTTCACGAGCGATTTGGTCGATCATGGCCAAATGGGACGAAATCCGAGCCATGGACGCGTCAGAGAGCTCCATCCGCTGGCACGTCTTGGTCACCTGCTCCAGCGCGGCCAGTAGCGTCCAGTTCGATGATGAAGACCCGCCAGGGGCGACAGACTCGCTGTACGACCCGGAGTGATTAGAACGCCACGACTTGGTCGAGTTGCTGCTCTCGTCGTCCGAAGACGAAGCGTTCCCCCCTCGCATGAACTGGGAGAATTTGCTGCCCATTCGATCGACGAAAGTCTGCGGCGGGGGGTTGTTCACTTCCGCCTCGGAAGGGCCACCACTAGTATACGAGAAGTGCTGAGCTGTCGACTGCGCCAAGGAGTCCAGCAGCTTCACGGTGTTGCACGGAGCTTTCTTCACCTTTGAGAGTTCTTCGGGCCTGCCAGTGCTCTTCGTGTGTGGTCGCTTTTGGGTCGACGCCTACTCCTCCTCCTCGATCAGCAGCTGCCGCACTTTCAACCACGCCAACTCCTTATCCGTGCGGCGCTCAACGGGCATCACCATGGGCGGATACGGATTCGTATGGGGTTCCTCTCGAGGTTCATCAGCACTGCCACCGGCTGGGTTGACGCCGCCATTGCCGTTCTCTCTGTAGATATCGTCCAGATATTTCTCACCCACGTCGATTGCCAGCGAGTCCAGCACCGTCCGCCTGTCCCGCGGAGACTCGTCGATGTCGATATCGCCGATCTCGAGCCCATTCGGGTCGTTGAGCCCTTCACCAATGTACGCAACCTGACGGTCCGTGGCTCGCGGGCGATCCGAGTCGTGAACGGGAGGCCTGCGCTCCGACTTGTGCATTGCTGCTCACACTTTGACTGGAAGTCTACCCCAGTACCAAATCGATTCTGAGATGCTGCGAGCTTGAGCTCACGATGGGATCTCCACTGGCCGAGACGCACTCATAACAGCCCAGGGTAAAGTCCACTCGTGACGAGGCGACATGGCTCCCCGAAGCCATCCAAGTGGCGTGCGCGGGTCGGCTCCAGGAGCGTAAGTATGTTGGTTGGCGGCTAGTTTTTAGCGCTACATGCGGGGTTGTAGCGTCCAGCTGTGTTGGTTGTTCAGTGGTTGGGTCCCTTTCTGCTAAACGTCCGCCGTTGAGGGGGTAATTCCCAAAATACGGAGTGCTGGGGAAACGTTTGACATTTTCAACCTTTTGCGACCAAACACGGAGTTGTGGGAAAACTTATTCCCAAGACCAGCCTATAGAATCGTAGAGGTAGCCTTCACTGCAGAAAACACCATGCGGTTTTAAATACGGAATCGTGATGAGCACGATTCCGTATTTAAAAACCGCATCTTTTTTTATAGATAATATGGGTATTTTCCTATAAATCTATCCCGTAGATAACACCGTATTTACATCCTGGGTAGTCAGCTGGTTTATTCCGGGTAGTCAAATCCGGCGCTTCCCCGGTCGAAGCGCCCAACCTTCCAATCCGCACCCGCACTCGCGCCGCCCGCGGCCATGGCCAACGCGAGACTCAAGCAGGCGCGGCGCCGCGCGTCCGCCCGCGCCGTCGCCGCCGCCCAATCTGTAGAGCAGCCCACGGCGCACACGCCGGCGCCCTCCGCGCCCCCGTCGGGCGCCTCTACGCCGCGCAATGAGCCGTCAAGCGACGCGCAGAGCGAGCGCGAGGCGCTTCAACTGGCGCTGCAGGAGCGCAGGCGCGCGCTGGAGCTCAAGCTCTCGGCGCTGACGCTGGGCAAGACCATCGCCAAGGAGCCCGAGCCCGCGCGCGCGGGCGCCGCGCGCTGCCAGCGCGACTTCCTGCTGCAGGAGATGGAGTGGATGGCCGCGGACTTCGCGCAGGAGCGCAAGTGGCGGCTGCGCAACGCCAAGGCGCTGAGCCAGGCGCTGGTGTCGCACCTGGACCGGCAGGAGGCGCGCGCGGCGCGGCAGAAGAAGAGCGAGGAGCTGGCGCGCCGCCGCACGGCCGCGCGCGTGGGGCGCGACGTCAAGAAGTTCTGGACCAAGATCGACAAGATCATCGCGTTCAAGGTCAAGCTGCAGGCGGACGAGCTGAGGCAGCGGAACATGCAGAAGCACCTGACGCAGCTCGTGGCGCAGACGGAGAAGTACGCGACCGCGCTGGCCGCCAGCTTCCAGGAGGCCCAGGGGGACACGACACAGCAGCCGCCGCAGCAGCAGGGGGAGAAGGAAGCAGAGCCACGAGAAGAAGAGGAAGAAGATGGGGATTTTGAGATGCTGGAGGAGGAGCAGGACGACGAGACCACGATTGACGAGGAGGAGAGGAGGAGCGGGCCCGTGTCGAGGCGGCAGGTAGAAGAGGAGGTGGCGATGCTGCAGGAGGAAGCCGAGATGTCGATGGATGAATTGAGAGCGAGGTATGCTGCCATGGAGGATGAGAGTGCAGCAGATGGAGACGCCGTGGAGAACAACAGCAGCGAGGACGGCGATTTTGAGCTGGTGGACGAGGAGGAGGACGATGAGACCACGATTGCCGCCGAGGAACGACGCAGCGGACCGGTGCCCAGGAGCCAGGCTGCTGCTGAAGTCGCAGAGCTGCAGGATGAAGCGGAATTGTCCATTGAGGAGCTGCGCGCTCGGTACGCACACGCTTTGGAGGGCGAGGAGGAGGATGCCGCCCCCGAATCTGACCAAGATGTTGAAATGGCGGATGCCGAGGAAGAAGAGGATGGCGACGCAGGAGACGGTGACTTTGTGCCGACAAGACGCGAAGAAGTGGACCAAGCTGACGATGAGACTACTATCGATGAGGAGGAACGATTAAATGGTGGTGCGTCGCCATCCCAAACTGCAGAAGAGTTGAGGTTGTTGCAAGAAGAGGGTGAAATGTCGATCGAGGAGCTTCGAGCTCGATACGCCGCAATATCAGATGATGACGAAGACGGTGATCACGACAACAAGAGCTCTCGATCAGAAGATGGACGCGATGCTGTAGAGACGAATAGAAAGCAGGGCCGTCCTGAACATGACGACAACAAGGCAGAAGTGGTGGATCCCTCAGTTTCGACAACAGCAGATACCTCGCCAGCACGAAAAAGTGGATACAAGCGGCCTTACATATTGACGTCGCGGTTGGATTTGCGGGAGTATCAGGAGGCCGGTGTAAATTGGCTCATCAGCATGTGCGAAAGGCGTATTAACGGCATTCTCGCAGACGAGATGGGTCTCGGCAAGACTATTCAGACTATCTCTCTTCTGGCACATCTGGCATGTGCTCAAGGACTATGGGGTCCTCACCTTATCGTGGTTCCTACAAGCTGCCTTGTGAATTGGGAGATGGAGTTTAAGCGTTGGTGTCCAGCATTCAAAGTTCTTACATATTTTGGATCGGCAAAACGCCGGAAGGAACTTCGTCAGGGATGGTCGAAGCAAAATGCGTTCCAAGTCTGCATCACTAGTTACCAGCTCGTGGTGCAAGACGCGCACTGCTTCAAGCGCAAGAAGTGGTATTACCTGATTTTGGACGAAGCACACAACATCAAGAACTGGAAGAGTTTACGGTGGCAAACATTGCTGACATTTAGCTCGCAGCGTCGCCTTTTACTCACAGGAACTCCACTGCAAAACAACTTGCTGGAGCTCTGGGCTCTCATGCACTTCCTCATGCCACACGTGTTCGCGTCCCGGAAGGAGTTCAGCTACTGGTTTCAAAACCCTCTAGCACTCATGGTCGAAAATGGCACGGACCCAGCTCAACAGGGGGATAATGGCGTTGAAGGTGGCAAGGACTTGGTGACGCAATTACATGGTATTATTCGTCCATTTGTGCTGCGGCGGTTGAAGAAAGACGTGGCGAAGCAGTTACCAGGCAAGTTCGAACACGTGATCAGTTGTCAGTTGTCGAAGCGCCAGCGATTTCTGTACGAGGATTTCATTTCGCGCAGCAGCACTCGTCGCGCAATGTTTGGTCGTGGAAAAGGTCGCGGTGCCAACTTTATGAGCATGATGAACGTCCTCATGCAGCTGCGGAAGGTCTGTAACCACCCGGATCTGTTTGAGCCGCGTCCAATCGCGTCCCCGTTGGATATGCCCAGTATTCACGTGCACGTGCCTTCACGGTGCGGATATTTAGTTGACGAAATCGTAAATGAGCGTCCGCGCGTGGCACTTTGGACGGGCAATAATTTGCCAGGCTTGGAGTTGTCGCGCAGCGAGAGGTACACTTCAAAGCGACGGAGAGAACTGTTTTTCTACGATGTGAGTGCACCACTGCCGAGTGACACCGTTGTAATGGTGCCGCCGGCGTACGAGGGAAAGAAAGATCTAGTTCGGAGAATCATGATACTGGCAGCGAAGCGTCGGAAGTACTGGGAGGAAAAACGCACCAGTGTCGCACAGCTTCAGAGCATCCAGGTCGGGCTGCACTTGGATGAGCCTGTGCTTGGAGATGCTGTTATCCGAGCTTGTACGATGCCAACGTTCATTTCGCCAGCTACGGAGGTACATATGCACCGCGCAAAACCCTTTCTCGGCGCCCGTGAGCCGACAAAAGCCCTTCAGGATATGGTGCGAGATCCCGAGGAGAGGCTAGCTTCGTTGCAACCGGCGGTGAACAAGTCGGTATGTTATGTACCGAAGGCCCGCGCCCGGCCTGCTCGTGTTATATACGGAGGCGGTGGCTTCGTCTACGACGACAATTTTGTTCTTTCACGCAGAAAGCAGGCCGAGGAGCTTGAGGCCAATCACGCGCGCCCAGTGGCCACTCGCATTTTGGCTCCATACCACAACTCATTTAAGCGCACGCAATTGTTCTTTCCAGACAAGGCGCTGGTGCAGTTTGACTGTGGTAAACTTCAGCAACTAGCCGCGCTTTTGCGCACGCTGAAGCGTGGTGGCCATCGCTGCCTCATCTTCACACAGATGAGCTCTATGCTGAATATCCTCGAAGTGTTTTTGAACTTGCATGGGCACACGTACTTCCGGTTGGATGGCGCGACGAAGGTGGACAAACGACAGATGCTCATGGAACGCTTCAATCGCGACGAGAAAATATTCTGCTTTATCCTGAGTACGCGGAGCGGTGGCTTAGGCATCAACCTCACTGGTGCAGATGCTGTGATCTTTTACGACTCGGACTGGAATCCAGCAATGGATGCGCAGGCACAAGACCGTGCTCACCGCATTGGACAGACTCGTGATGTACATATCTACCGACTTGTGAGCGAACACACTGTGGAAGAGAACATCCTTCGCAAGGCGCAGCAGAAACGGCATTTGGATTACCTCGTGATGTCGGAGGGGCAGTTTACGACGGATTTCTTTTCCAAAGCCAGCTTGCGCGAGCTTATGATTGGTAGTACAGGCGAAGAGCCGGAGGTTATTGAATCCGAGTCTGAAGAGGAAGGAACGGACGAAGATATGGATGATGAGAACGAGGTGTCACTAGATACCGTGGAGAACGCCATGGCGCAGCTTGAGGACGAGGAGGATGTCGTGGCGATGAAGGGAGCACGAGCGGAGTTTCTTCAGGAGCAGAACGAGTTCGATGAAGATGGAGGTGGTGCTAGTACCGTCGCTTCCCCAATGTCTAAGGCTCGACTTTCTCATCCAGGTGACGCCGCGTCTTCGAGACCATCAACGCCGTCCTCCGTGTCACCCAGCATTCCTGCGAGTGAGAGGGGCGACGAAGAATACGATGAGTTCGGAAACGACGAAACAGCAGAAGATGATAACGCTGAAGAGACCGATGCACCAGTAAGGAGAAGGAGCAGGAGTAGGCGTGATTTGGGAACCCCCGACGCGTCGGAACACGATGAGAGCATGGATGACGACGATGATCATGAAGATGATGACACCAGCCGAGCCAGATCGAATCGAAAACGTCAACGGCATAGCTCGAAGGATAAACGGAAGCCTACCAAGCGCCGTAAATTGTCAGAATCTCAAGATCAGCATGGTGAAAAGGTTCGCGAGAAAGCGCGCGATGCTGCTGAGGAACAAAAGTTGCAGGCCTGGAAGGCTTCAATATCGTCGCTGCAAGGGTTTGAGGACTCGCTGAATCCAGTGGACCGCTATGCTCTCCATTTCCGTGAAGACATTGATCCTCTATATGCTTACACCCCGGCGCAACAAGCGGAGGCACTTGCTGGTATCGACTCGAACCCCTCTGCACCAACGTTGTTGGAGGATATAGAACAAACGGAAGCTGAAAAGCGAGAAGAAGAAGCTCGCCTTATTGCTGAAGGTGAACTCGTGGTCGGTCAATTGGATGAAGATGACGAAACCAGCGCCGAGCAGATAACAGAGCGTTACACGGAGCTTTATCGTCGTGAACGGGCTCATGTCCTCTTTGAGCAACGCAAGCGTCGTCTGACCGGAGCTGCTTGGACCCTCATGAAATGTGTGAACACCGGCCAACCGTTTTATTTCAATGCTGATACTCGCGAAGCAACGTGGGAATGCCCTCCGGTTTGGGTTGCGAACGAACAGTTCAAGAGCGCTCTGGAGAGAGGTTATGAAGGTCTGCCACCGCCTGCATTACATCGTGTGATGGCAATGTTGGCCCCGTTTCCGGAACGTTATCGGGCGCAGATGGTTTGTCGGAGTTGGCACACTGCTGCACAGCACCAGTCGTTGTTTGTCAAGGTATGCGCGAGCGACTTCGAGCCTGGATGTCCTGAATCTCTGGCGAAGGTTTTGGCGAAGGTTGCACCTGGTGATACGGTTCTTTTTGGTGCTGGAGTGTACCAGCTCGAGGATACTCTCGAAATCTCGAAATCCTTGCGATTATTGGCAACTCCCGACTCTCATGTGGAGCTGCAAATGCGTTCCTGCCGTGCTCAACTTCGCTGGAGTGCTCGTGGTGGTGTGATTTGTGGTTTTCACTTCACGCGCACCAGTAGTGCTCCTGATTCGGCTGCGCTGGAGATCACACCTAGCTCGGATGCCACTGAAAAGACACCTGCAGTCAAAGAAAGTCGGCGCGCGTTGCGGAAGAAAGACAAGAAGCTGGCGAACTGGCAGCATTTGCTGAGCGTTGTGGGCGAAGGACAACTGCGTGTGGAGTACTGTGAGTTTGACGGCAATGGGCTGGGTAATGCGTGCGTGTGCGTATGGGGTCGCAGCGAGAAGAAGAAGAAGAAGAAGAAAAAGAAGCGGAGAGACTCTTCAAGTGCAAGTACCCCCCAAGTTACTACACCAGTGGCATCTACAACTGCCACACCGCGAGCAACTCCTACACCAGCAACGGCGTCAGCTGCAGTAACGACAGCTATTGCCACGCCAAAGATTGCTGCGGCGGCAGTTGCAGCACCGGCGAGTTTAACTCCGCGGGTTACCACACCAGTGACTACGACCCCACGCGTTACTCCATCCGTGGCAGCTTCTGCAGTACCTAACGGTTCCGCACCAGTGACGGCTACAGCGCGAGCCCAGACACCAGCTGCTGCTGCCGCTCCGGTGACTGCAGCCCTGAAGGCCATCCCTCCAGCAACTACTTCGTCAGTGGTTACCCCGACCGCTGTTCCTGCAGCAGTGGCAACTACACCTCGCGTTACCACACCGGTGACCTCGGCGTTAGAGACTATGACGCCTCGAGTTGCCACACCAGGTTCTGTGGGGGTACCGGTGACTACTACACCGCGAGTTTCGATACCGGGAGCTGCGTCGGCGGCTTCTACACCGCGGGTTACTGCAGAAGCGGTTGCTGCGACATCGTCATCATCGTCGTCGACAATCCCAGCAGCGGATACGTTGTTGGTGCTCCAGAACTGTCGAATTCGAGGCGCTGGCAGTTCAGGCGTGCTTCTGATGCGTGGTTCATTGGTGATGTTTATGAACACAGTTGAGAGCAATGCGCACTCGGGTGTTACGGTCCTGGGCGGACAAGCGCTTCTGCGCCGAAACAAGATTCAACGGAATGCTCGATTTGGCTTGCGGCTGCTTTATCACGCGGGGAACGTCATCGTGGAAGATAACGTGGTGTTTGGCAACGCATGCGGAAACTTGGATGTGGATAACTCGGGCCGACGCTTCGTTGTTCGCTTGAATGACATGGACAAGGGCAAAAAGTCGTCGGAGAAGCTGCCGCACTCGCATGGCAAGTTGCGCTTGAAGACATATCGTGTTTTGGAGAAAGAGATCCCTCGTGCACAGCAGCCCAGCGCCCCAAGACCCGTCACTACCACTGCTGCAAGCGAGTACTGGAGAAGACAGCTGCTGGGAGCAAGCGCAGCAGCATCAACTTCAGCAGTTGCAGCAACGGCAGGTTCTGCTACTGCCTCGGCTAGACCCGTCATCACGGCCAACACTATCATTGCTGCCGGGATTCCTATGGGTTTCATGCGGCCCGTAGTTTTCCCTCAAGGGACGAATTCGATGCGCGTATCCCATCTACCCCTGGCATTTGCGTCGGTTGGAGCGAAATCTACGATTCCGACCGTGACATTGAACCGGTCTACGACAAGTGCGCATCCGTCCACTACAGCAGCAAGTCTACAACGTACCGTGAGTGCGCCGGGTGTTGGAACGAGTGTCGCAGCGAAACCCGGAGCTTTACCGACTCCTTCAAGTGCAACTGCGAGACCCGTAGCCTTACCTACTGCGGCAGGTGTGGCTGCGAGACCCGGAGCTTTACCGACTCCTGCAACTGCAGCTGCGAGACCTGGAGCTTTACCTGCCCCGACAAGTGCGGCTGTGAGACCTGGAGCTTTACCTGTTCCAGCTACTTCAACTGCTGTAACCACGACGACCGCGGCTTCCATTATCGAGCCTCCAAAGAAACGCCGGAACCGCCGACCTAAGACGCAGCAAATTGTCGTGGGTGGGCGTGAGATCGTACTCCGCGATAGTTGCGAGAAGCCCACGGAGAAGGTAGTGAAACCACGCCGCCCCAAGGAGCAGCAGCCGCAGACGCCATTGATTGCGTCTTCCTTGTTGCAGCAGATGACGTCGCCCTCCGCGCTCCAACTGAAGTTTGCTCCTGGCTCGACGGCTGCAGCAGTGGCAGCAGCTATGAGTGCAATGATGGCAAACACGGCGAAAATGCAAGCAAGCACTTCGTCCTCTGCGTCACAAGTACAGGCTACAGGCTCAGTGACCGCGGCTCCACAGACCGCTACCCCGAAGGCTGCCGTACCAGCGACACCGGCGGTGACAGGAGGGGTTTCAGCCGCAGCAACGAGTTCTGCAACTGTAAAACCGGCAGTGGCTACAACACCGTCGTCGACGCAAGCAACCGTTCTCCCGGTAAAAGTTACAGTACCGAAGCCTACGGTGACGACGTCGTCTACACCGGTAGCAGGCCTTTCGACTGCTGCTCCAGCTGCACCGGCTAAACCAGCAGCCCCAGTGCAGTCTAGCGCGGGTGCAACAACTACTGTGGCGAAACCAGCAGCTGCACCATCCACGGCGCCGCCAAAAGAATCCGCCCAACAAGGGGGAAAGCGGAAATTAGAGACGACGGACACTGAAGCCAAACCAGCAGTGCAGGAGAAGGAGAGTGCCGGCGCTGTGAACGGACTGGCAGCGAAGAATTGAGCAATGCTTTGACCAAGTGCAAGTTGGAGTTTGATGATAGACGAAAGCACAAGCAATATGCAACCTATTTAAATACAGTAACCTTGTGTTGGGGACCGTATTCGCGTGGCATTCGTGGTTGCTTAGCGCCAGTAATATCAGTTTTTAAGTAAGCGCCAAAAACGAAAGAACGTGTTTACCATCAAAAGGGACGCTGTAGGCGATCAGCTACCGGTATAAGCAAGGGCGGGTGCGTCAGCGTCAGGTGTATCCCAAGCTGGGCTCCACCTGGGGCCACACGCAGGGACTCCAGCTGGGTCGTGGGACCAAAGCGAGCTTTGAAGCTCGTTTTTCTGTCCGTAAAGTGTACTGCAACCTCATGGTTGTGATGGAGCGCAAGCCGGTCCTCAAAGGCTTACACTGACAACAGTAGAAGCATGCGGGGAGACACTGATTAGTATGCGCATTCGTGTGACTGCCCGCGATTCATGTGCGTGTGTATGATGGTGGTATTCCACCACCATTCGAAGCGCTCCCGCCACCGACTACGCTGTTAGTGCAAGTTATAAACTGCATAGTCCAAGCATCCCACGAGCTGAGCAGGAGCACTGCTCGCGGGAACGAGCGCGAGCAGCAAAAAGCCTGCGAGCGCGCTCGTTGGGATTTGGGCGCTCTTCCATGATCCGATTTACAGGGGAGCACAACGAGCCCGCTCGAAAAAAACAAGAATTCATTGGCTAAAAAACAGCAAAAATGTACGGAACATAATAAAAAAATTAGGCCGTTGATACAGCCCATGTTTTCTAAACGGGTTAGGGTAGTCAACATACTGAAAACAAGTAAGAAATTCCAAACATGGTCAAACATGTTCAAGCATTTCCAAACATGTTCGGCTTGTGGGACGGGTGTCATGGCCGGCAAACATGCTGCAAAGCCCATGGGCTAAGGTGACCTTAAGCTGCCAAACGTCGCTCTGCGGGCGCTAAGAACCCTCTGAAGACCGACCCAGCGTTGAGCAGGGAATACTATGGGCAGCCACGGCACTGGGGTGAAGTTTGCAGGCTCTTCGTGCCTCTCAAATGCCACTGGTGTCCATTTTGCTCAGACACTCCCGATTGATTTGAGTCAATTTCACCCCCTCCAACCGAAAACATGGGCGCTATCTTTTCCGTAAAAATATCGGCTAAGCTTACCTGCAGTAGGAGGAGGCCCCCACCGCCGCGTGCCGCCCGCAGACGTCGCCAAGAGACCCGAGTGCTACTCCGCCGTCCCGTGCATGAGAAGGCGGAGCAGCAGCACCAGCGCCAGCGCGAGCAGCAGAAGTACGAGCAGCCGCCCGCAGTGCGAGGCCCCCAGCGAGAGCTACCTGCAGTAGGAGGAGACCCCCACCGCCACGTGCTGCGCACAGACGTATTGGTAAGCGACTTGGGTTGCGGGATTGGCGTACGAGTTGGGGAGCGAAAATGGTCATGACCTGTTTAAAAAGCAAGCTAGGGCTGCCGCAGCTGCTGAATATCGGAGCGATGACACAACTAATCAAGAAATAGTTGTTGCTACGAGAAGGATGGGTGGGTTTGACGATGGTGAACGCGCGCAACAGCTACTGGCCATTGATGGGCAGTCGGAGAGCGTCGTTAACCAGTTTTGGGTGCGCACAGAGGCATTAGCAACGGAGTATGCGGCCCTACAAGAAACTTAGGCGCAAGGCGAGGCTTTACTAACTGCACAGGCGTCAACGCAACAAGGAGTGCAGCTGCTAGTAGAACGCCAACACGCGACTACCCTTCAGTTCCAGCAGGATCTGCAAGACACGAGATCTATGCTGGAGACGCATCTGAATACTCTCGCTAAGATGCAAAACGAGTACGATGTGCGCACGGAGGCAGCCCTTACCAGTCGTTTGGAGACATTGAGCGTCCAGACCCAGGAAGAAATGCGCAGGATACATGTCGAGGGTTCTTCAGCTTGACACATATGCTTAACACCCGCAACCGGCCGTAGCAATGAGAGTAGATGAATCAAATCTAGCTGATCGTCTTGTAGTGGAAAAGTAGGCGGAACTTTGTTTTCGCAAATTGCTTTTCGTGCCCTCTCATCATACCAGGCAACAATCGCAGTCCATTTATCCAGAATCCTTCTAATTGCTGTCGTCAGACTTAAAAATCGGGCTGGATTGTAATCAAGAAGTTGGGTTGTTCCAGTTTCAGTTTGTGTTCTACACAGCTCTTGAAACAAATTGCCAGTAGTTTCCACAGTGCGAACTTGGTAAATCGTTTTCTTAATTCGTGAAATCAACTTAGTCATCCCCGGATTCAGCGACTTAATTTCATCATTTCTCATTCCACATGCTTCCTTTGTCGCTGCATGGGCCATGTGCGCAACACACCATTCCCACCTGTATTTCAATTTGTTGGCCAGCAAGTTTTTGACATCAGGCCCAGCGTCGCTCGTGGCAGCAAACAAAATCTTTCCGAAGTCTGAAATCCACTAGAATTTCTTCCAGCCACGCCGAAAATGGACCTTGAATTCCAACGTCGCGATCTCCATACGATGGGCTAAATTTTCGCGTTCCAAGCATCACCGATCGCATTTGCCAATACTCATCCACGAGATAAAGCCGCAACCCTAAATATTTCCGATGAGTTGTACGACAAGTCCAAAAGTCTGTCATGATCACAAAATTCGCGCGATCGGAGCGATTACGTTCTAAGAAGTCAATTAACTCCGCTTTGGTCGAGCTGTAAAGCTCGACAATTGCCTTCGCAATTCGCTCTGCATTTACCGTAGTCTGCATCTCTTCTCTCACCACCACCTGCCGAATTACTCGGGATTCTTCGTACTCGCCGCTACAGAAAGACAAGTTATTGTTCACGATGCGAAGGGTTTCCAGCAGCAAATGAAGGCATTGAGGGTTTGTTCGATACAAATTCGACGAGAGCAGCCGTTCAACCGTCTCATCTCGCTTTCGTTTCCCTTCAACTGCAGCCGCCGTTTTCTTCGACGAGATTCGATGCACCTTTCGTAAATGCTCCGTTGCTCTAGATGTTCTTGCTCGTGACAACACCAATTTCACACCTGCCTGTCGACACGCCTCGTCGGCAAGACATAACCAACCAGTTTTCACTTCATCATTGTCGATATACTCCACGCGTACACCCCACTCAAAAATGAATGACTTCTCCGCGACAGTAGGCGGTTTAAGCGTGTAGCCCGCAGAGGGTTGATAAGCTTGAACGGCCTCACGAACTGCAACAGGTGGTCGAACCATGCCAATAAGCTCTCTGTTACCACCCACCACCGTCCTTCGTGTTTTCTCCTACCCAACGCAATGGAAATGCTCGCGATCCTCTTAGTGACGTCTGCGGGCGGCACGCGGTGGTGGGGGCCTCCTCCTACTGCAGGTAGCTCTCGCTGGGGGCCTCGCACTACGGGCGGCTGCTCGTACTTCTGCTGCTCGCGCTGGCGCTGGTGCTGCTGCTACGCCTTCTCCTGCACGGGACGGAGTAGCACTCGGGTCTCTTGGCGACGTCTGACGGTGGCGGCACGTTCAAGTAGTGCTGAATTAATTTATTTTGCCCAATAAGGGGGATCCGTAACGAGCGCTGCTCGCGGGGTGCCGTATTTAAATGGGGAAGCTGAAAAACCCCATAGTTCGTGCTCGCTTGGCAGGCACGAGCTCGTAGATTTGGGTTGTAGTGCTCTTTTGCCTCTCTGCTCGTGGGATGCTTGGCATAGTCTGTCTGTGGATTTTAGGCTCTTCTCTTAGGCAAATCTTCAAGGATCAAGTCGCTTGTGGCTTTCAACGGAGAAACAGGTAAAAATACCGTCCATTACGTTTTAGTATACGAAGTCACTGAAATCACCATCCAATGCAATTTTGCACCATCCACTACGGATCGGCACCTGGATTCACTGGACCGCACGACAAGACAACTAACCCACACCAACCAAACCAGTGTCTTAACCAATGAACGCGTCTCACTTTCCCTTTGGCGGTCCAGGAATCAAGCGGCAAGACCAAGACTCAAGGCACCAACACCCCCCAACCACCACCACCACCCGCCCGATGGCAGCGCGCCTTCGCATCCCATGGGTGCCTGTCATTGAGGGGGCATCCAACCAAGACGGCATGGCGCTCATCGATGCGTTCAAGAGCCACAAGTACGTGAAGAGTGAACTCATGGACTGCACAGTCTGCTTCTCGCGTTACCAGCGAGTCAAGTGCACGTCGACAACGTGCTCGGAGAGCATCCCCTTCCTGGCATGCCACTGGCAGGCGAAGATTCTCACCTGTACGCAGTCTGAGCGCATCTCGATCTTTGAAGATGGAGTCCACCTGGTGGCGCAGGCGTCACCGCGGCGAAGGCATTTAACGGAAGCCCAGAAAAGCTTCTGCCGAAACCTCGCCGAACATGTATTGAAACCTGTACGCATCCGCACCGTTGGCAATGCTATCATACTCCTACCGGCTACGCGTCTACCAACAACCCGGTTGAGCAGTTTAATAAACTGCTCAAACGAGACTACACCCGACGTGCGCGTTTGAAAATGGGGGCTCTCCTGAAGCAACTTGCGCTCTGCATCCACACAGAGTCGGTGAACTTGCGCCCCTTCAACGAAAACTGCACCCCGACTAGCAACCTCAAGCGCCGCGCGAAGGAATTGGCGAAGAAGAATATGCTGTTTGCGCTACCATCTCCGACGGATCCCGCCTTCGTGTTCGTGAAAATGATTGCCCCGGAACGTTCATATAACCCCGACACCAATCGTACCAAGGAATCCCTGCACCGGACGTCGAACTTCGGCGAGAACTACGCACGGGCAGAGTGGCTTGACCAACCACCGGAAGGTTGGAGCGTCAATGTGGAACTGCTTCACTGTCCATGTGCATACTGGTTCAAGTTCGGAGTTTGCACGCATTTGCTGCACAGCCTCAACATCCTCAAGATGACCGATCGCAACATGCAGCAAGTTCTGGTGAGCCGCCGAGTTCGTCGTGGGGCTGGAGGGAACAGGGCCGTCAATGAAGAACAACTGCAAGTACCAGGCCGTCCCCCACTCAACGGGTTTGCGCTGGATCGGACATAAACCACAGAAGATCACTTTCCGGGGCTTCTCACTCTCGCGTTGGAGCTTTGATACACATGAGCTTAATCATCGGGATCGGCGTAGTCTTAGTGTTTGAACGGTACTACGGAACTAGCTGACGTCGCAACGCTATGTCCCGTACCGAGCAAAGCAACAATATACAATTTGGAGCATCTCACTCACAATATGTTAGTTTTGTGGTCATGCGAGATATCAATGGAATCGTCTCCTCTTACGGTTCAAAATGGTACTACGGAAGCAAGCTGCATCGACCTCTAGGGCTTCATACACATCTACCAGTGAACTTCACGTTTCTCTGGCGGTGTCATCACAATCCAAATTAAGTTATTTACAATCAGTGGTTACTTCGACAATTTCAGGGCAACACTTGATACTGGCACTGGTTCTGCTAACGACCGCGAAATTGTCCGTTACGTCCAAGCTAACGGCGTTACTACGGCTCAGTAAGTGTGGTAGTGCTAAATCATGTATGCAAGCCATTACGGAACTAATCTTGCTGAAGCTGTAGTTCCTGTTCGGTCATACTCACAGAGTCATACTTTGAGGTAAGGAAATGATTTTTCAAGCTCCTCATGCGTAGATCTACGCTTTACAGCACAACAATGCTGCTATAGGCAAGAGCATGCGTTACGCTTTCTAATGGTAGTACGGATGTTGGTATCACACTGGTATCACACTGGAATTGCCTCGGTTCGTGTAGGGTTGAGCTGTTGTTCTAGAGAATCTTACTCACAAAACGATATCTTACTCACAAAACGAAATACATACTCTTAAGATCGTTGTTGTAGTTTCCTCTTTCCTTATTGAACACTTCATCCTTCAAAACATTTATGCAAGACAAGTTCAGTGCTGTTGGTTTGTCATCATTACTATTCTGAAGCATCTCACTCTTAATTTTGATCGCAGCTTTCTCTTCGTACTCCTTGTCACGCACGCGACGCATCTTGTCCGTCTCGCCGTTGCCTGCTGCAGGTCCGAATGACAACTGGCTGGGTTGCGATTGTTCCTACCACACCAATCGTACACGGATGGCGACATGCTGTGACACATTAAACGCACCCAATCTAAACACTAGCAATACACAAATTAACACGACCCGTACACCAAAGTGCGACATTTACGCTCGTTGAAACGGCCTCTGCCAAGGGCGCATATCTCTTGCATGGCGAAAGTCCAGGTCAGGTTTGGATGGTGCTATTCAGTGTGGTGATGGTGATTTTTATATTTTCTCCTGTCAACGGCGGATTTCGCGCTACAGGAAGTCGAGCCACCGTAATACATCTGTCTACCGTACAGTACACATGGGATGCAGACGATCACACGAGCAATTGCACGTACACGTCAGAGTTGTTGCCACGACAAAAGCTGTCGTCGTATCGCGCTTGATAAGGTTAATAATAATGTTCGTGTGTCTGTAGTTTCTCGTTACTTTTTGCTTGATTAATCAACGACGCGAAATATGCCACTTCTGCATGGGGGAACTTCGTCCACTTACTTATTACCAATAGATAACCCAACCTGAAGGCATTGTATTAAAAAAAATATTTTCCAAGTTGAAAACAGAGCGCGAGCTGAGAAATCTACCGCTACGTGTATTAAGAAAAATAAAGCTGCATCAGCCGCTTACATTTGAGTAAATCCCCACCTACCGTGTGCAATGCACACTGTGCATGCATTTACATGTTCTCTGAAATTTATTTCAGAGTTAAGGAGCGATTGGAATCCCTGGCCTGATTAATCCCTCAGCCCATACCTGACCAACTTGATTCATCGACATCAAGCAGTATCTGGAGGATTTCATACAAACAATAAGTTAAGCTAGAGTACAGTGGAAAAACAGAAGTCGCATACCCCGATTAAGATGATATTTTAGGTGAATGTTACCTGTGGCGGCAGGTTGTGTGGAACACCTCAAAAAGATACATTCGAGCGACCTGTATTTGGCGATATGCGAGATCTGGATCAAGAAATGTGCATCCTTTGGCTGTCTAGCATATTGCACAGCGTATTTGAAAATGCTGCAAATACGCGAAAATCATATTCTCGTAGAAAATGAATAATTAAATACTTAATATGGAATATATTTAACCGCCTTATTATGTTTTACGGATCCCTGATTGGAGGCCAACTGAAACAGCGTCTTAACTGGGTGTCATTTATAGAGGTGTGACTTTACTAGAGTTGTGCGACCTTATCCAAGATGAAGAAATATACGCCCATGGTGTAAACATAGAATAGCTATGCGTGGAATTATCTATTCCGCCATGTATTAGCGATATGCCTTGTACCTGGAGCCGTGGTTCTTACCTGATTGCTTGTGGTTTGCCAGTCTGATCAAGGACGTTGCAGGTGCGCTAGTATTCGCAGTTCGAAGAACTGTCGTTAGGCGGCCTCAGTGGAAGAAGTACGTGACTTCGAAAATTATTTTAGTATTTTGAGTTAGGACGTACTTCTTTTACGATCTATCGGCATCTCCTGCGGCTGCTTCATAGCCGCAGCAATTGCCCCGTGCGCACTTCAAAGCATATAGAACATTGTAAATTACTCAAAACCTCGCTGGCACGGCATTAAAATGGTGTGTCGCTCGAAAGTCGTGAGAATGTCGTTCGATGACACGCGCCTGGTGCGACAGTCTTTCAAAACCGTGCGAATTTGGTGCGAATCGTATTTAACCGAGAACAGGTGAGCTTTTCGTTTGCACCGCCAATTCCGCTACGCTTCGCTTCGCTCATGGCGGGCAAGGCGTCGGTAAAAAGATAGTAACTACTTCGCAGTGCAACTACTCCGGCCTACGCGCCGACCATTGCAGACCTCCGCTACGCTCCGGTTGCAAACGGTCTCTCCAAGGCCTCATATGACATATGCTAGGTTGGAGTTTCGCACCAGTCGAAAGAAGTCTTACTTCTCTGTCCCACGAAAGAATAGGTAGTTAGTTTTTTTTTGTACCACACAACGAATGTCATTGGTCATTTGACGTTGGTTAGGGCAAAAATTGGTTTTTGTCCAATGATAGCACACTTGATTAGAAAAACCTCGTTAATTTTGAAGCGAGATATCTCGCTTATCAGGCCTTTCCACAAGCTGTAATTGGTTCACCAAGCTAACATTGGCAATAGCAACTCATCCTGAAATTTCGATGAATTATCGCTAATTTTTGATAGAATTACGAAAAAAACCTACGGAGGACTAAAATTGCTGGCAGAAAAAGCGTTGTGCCTCCTTCAGTTCTCACAGATAATGGAGCAAAAATCAGGCGTTAGCGCCTGCCTCTAAGCTTCATGATAAGGCCTCACATGGCCAAAATTCTTGAGTACAGCAACGGACAGAATGCAACTGCCGACACCAGGAACTGCCACCGGACCAAAGGCAAGGTACCCGTGTGCATAAACTAAGATACCATGCACTATCCGTGTCACCCTAATTTATTGTTTTGGCCAATCAAATTAGATTTGTGTTTATGGATTATGTTTTCAATACAAACTTTAATATACTATAAATTTGCGCAAATCTTCATAATAAATGCGTTTACCAATAGAATACCTTCAGTTGGAGCGGGTGTTTTAGTAAGGTACATCGATGAGCGAGCTTAGAGTCTTCACCATCAATCAATGCTGGCAGTTACATTCTGTCCGTTGCTGTAGAAGCGAAGATAGAGCACGATTTCGAAATCATCATACTTTCGTGGGACAGAGAAGTATTTCCAAATCTCCCTATGGCAGCCGGCACTGATTATTGCAACACTACGGTGTTGGGCATCGGTAACATTGTGGTATCAGTGTTACTGGAACGCAACACTACCGTGGCAATTTATTGCACTGCAGAATGCATGTAGCGTTATTTTACCGTATGTAGAGACACATAATTTTATGTGGAGTCAACATCAACGATATGAGAGGCGCTTCCTAAGCTGTGAGTTGCAGCTTTACCAAGGCTTGACGCTCACTAGCAGCAATGCAGAAGTGATGATCGCCAGGCAGTAACACCCACTTCAATGAAGCGTGTACGCTTTCGACCGAGAATCTTAATGTTTCTGTCTTATACTCCGAGTATTTTGCAGTGGACAACCTCATAAGGACAATTCCACCAGTGTGGGGAAAGCTCAGTGCCGCCATAGACCAAACAACCCACAAGTGCAATATGTACACAATGCATGCACCGAATTGACTACTGTAGCTTCTACATGCAGAGAGCAGTGAATTCAGCTCAAAAAGAAGACCACTTTACCACCGTAGCGATTACTATAGGAATCGGTACATATCCTCAACACTAAGTGCTTCGATGTAAGAACTCCTCTCCCTTCCCACCACAACAGCTTACTCATGGTACAGTATACATGTAATACACGTAAAGAGTCTGTAGCACTTCGTTGTGGTTCTACATACTGCTCGGTTCGTCCAGCTTGGACGCAGCGGCACTCAGCATACAACAGTACACAACTACCTGTACGTACGAGTACTAATAGAGCAGTGTAGCAACAAGAAGACGA